ATAGATTCGTCCACTTTGGAGGCATTACTTCCAGAATACTCAGGGTCTTATATTTGTTGTGGATAGCAATGACAGGGATCGTGTTGTTGAGGCAAGAGATGAGTTGCATAGAATGTTGAATGAGGTGTGGCCCTGCTCTATTTTTTTTTCATACATAGCACCTGCTTGATGTTTTGGAAGAAAACTTGTAGACTGAATGTATTTAGAATCATATCATAGGTTGTTTCTTGTTGAACAAATGATACTTACTGATCTGCTTATTTCATACTTTTTTGTCTTCATATGTACCAAATGAAAAAAATTGGATGGAAAATTGGTGATGCTATCTCAGTTTTCTTTTTCTACATATTCAACTGGCCTTCAAACCTTTTTTTTTTTGGGTTTCTAGCCTGTTATTGTTGCAGCAGTTCTCTATGTCTTGGTCCTGTAACATTTGAACATTTCAGTTTCTTTTGATTTATTCATAATTTGTTGGCGTCTCTCAACCTTAAAGATTATAGACACTGAGTTTCACAACTAATTTGGTTTCAGGATGAACTGAGAGATGCTGTACTGCTCGTATTTGCCAACAAGCAAGATCTTCCTAATGCGATGAATGCTGCTGAAATAACTGACAAGCTTGGTCTTCATTCACTCCGTCAACGCCACTGGTAAAAGATTTTTATTTTTATTTGTATATTTCTTTCATCTCCTGAAGCTATGATTAGTATTTCTGCATAAGAAACTTTTATTCATGGTTTGATTTCTTTTAATATTCCTGAACATGTGAAGCGTTAACCATGCTCATTATTATGCATAAATTGGATTAAAGAGACTGATGGGGGATTTTCCCTGAGCATGAGATGGGCCTATTTTGTTTATATGCAAAGCCAATGAGGAGACTTAGAACAGATGATATTGAGAAGTTTGTTAGTTGGCTCCATGGCCCTCTAGTTTTTGGAATTTATTTTTTGAAATTTGGCTCGTCTGCCCCTCTCAGTAACGTTATCGGCTTACTGACGAGGTATCAATAAAGCCAAATTCATTGAGTAGAGTTGATATTTTCATTTACTTAAATGTATATTGTGGAAACATTATTATATACTGTTAAGATTTAAGAACCATGGTCTATAACAACATTTGTGCTAACATGTGAAGTAACCTTTAATTTCAGGTACATCCAGAGCACTTGCGCAACATCTGGAGAGGGTCTATACGAGGGTTTAGACTGGCTTTCCAACAATATTGCTAGCAAGGTAAGCACACAAATCTATTGACACCATCTTAAAAGTCATTTTCTCACCATAATTTAGTACAAAATTTCTTCATATTTGTATTTCGGATTAATTATTTGAAGAGAGGAAACTAAATATTACTTTTAAGATCATTTATGAATTTGGTAGCCTTCCTTCTTTTACAGGCATGAGGCAGTTGAGGTTTTTGACTGTCAGACGGGACTGTGGTAAAGGTTTGGCCGATGGTGGTAGGGGGGTATAGTTCGCTTTTCTTGAGAAAAATGTCATTAGTAGCAGAACAGTTTGCCAGACTTCTATATGTACTCTCTGTTTGTATACTTGCGACTTTGTCTGAAATTATCTAACCTTGTTCTAGTTTCTTTGGGAAGTTAACAAGCTGAGGTTGTGATCATGTGTTATTTTGTTTTTGAGATCTCCTTTGTCTCTCTACTTGGGTGTAGAGTTCTATGGGAAGGACCTTGTCTGTGCCGACCTGGCTCGGCTCTGCGGGACAAAATGTTAGGCTCGCAGATTCCAACCGACCTATCCACATCAGAACCATCCTCATAGAATTGATGCTCTAAAATCAAGTGAAAAAGGTTATCCTATGGGGTTGCTCCTACCTTTTTTTGCTTGATAAGTTGAAGGATCCCTTTAAAATCTGAATTGTCCCACTCCCAAGCTTAATATAAAGGCCCATGCTCCCCTACCTTAAATTTAACATCAATTTCTTTTAGGGACATGAAGAGATGACCTCCACACATTGGATATAGAAAGTTTGAAACCTTGAAACTTGAGACATTTACAAACCAGAACACAGGTTTCCTTTGCTTATGAATAGTATTGCCTCCATTTTAACTTCAGCCTTACATGCCTAGGGACATTGCTTCATGATTTTTAGTAGCTTTTCTCCAAAACCTATTAGAATATTGTCTATTTTCTTATTCATACTTGTTCGTTTATACTTGCGTGATTTTGAATGATCTGGGTCTGAGCCATCAACATTATGATTCTTTATGCAATTGTTAATCAGGTAGCACTTTGGAGATGATGATGTGTTTGGTAATATTCCCGTTTCTTAAATCAATTGTTTTTCCGAAACTCCGAGCCAACCAAATACAAAATTCTGTAATAGCTAAATTCTGTGTGCGTTGAAGTTCAATTCAGTGGCTGATGATATGGCATATTCATATCTAAATGTAATTTTACAGATTTTTATGCATAGGGGGTTTTCGGGTGCTTCGAAAATGATTTTTTCATATAACAAAATCTTGTGGGTTATTGAAATTGAGTTTGCCGGATTTTTGTTTTTAATTAAAGGAAAAGCTAGTAAAAATATATTTGAATAAATGTTTTACCGAAGTTTTCTTTTGATTTTTTTAGTACCATAAATGTGGAGGTGGGAAATTAAATTTTTGATCTCAAAGAAAGTAACCAACCGGTGTCCTTTTGCATACTTTTTGGAAAATAACAAATTCTTTTTGCAACTCCTTGGTCACAACCTCTCCCCACTTCAACTTTCATACTTGGCTTTTGGTCTTTGGTTAATAAATGAACTCAAATTCTTCAAAAACTTTCATACTTGGCTTTTGGTCTTTGGTTAATAAATGAACTCAAATTCTTCAAAACTATATTTTCTTCAAGTGACCATGAATTTGAAGCAACATTTATTACTACATTACATTTAATCAATGAATTTAATACCCTCATCCATGAATTAACAACGCAACCATTCCCTTTTTCTTCCTAACGAGCGTTGAAAACGATCGCTTCAAACTACTATCTAAAACCCTAGCGATCTAGATCTACTAAAATTGATTGGGTATACAACTTTATAAAAACGTCAAAAAGTCAAATTTGTCCTTCAAACTCATCTCCCTTTTCATTTGCCCAAAATGTGGCTTCCCCCATCATTTTTGACCAATTGATGTATAAGTCATGCATAGAATGGAACATGGCACATGACATTGATGTTGTAGTTCATTCACATACATACATTACATATATACAACCATTTAACTGTGGAAGTTAGGTAAATATTTATAGGCTTGTGAGATTACATGAAAAAAAACAAACAGTTACTCTCATAAGGGTTGCCCTCCCTATATATAATCCTCCATCCATCCCCACATATCAGTGGCTTCCTATACTACTCTCTCTCTCTCTCATATAAGGAAAACTAGAAACTAGAGAGAGAGATAATGGGTACAGAGAGATTAAGCTCTTCTCAGGATGAAGATGAAGTGAGAAAGGGGCCATGGACAACAGAAGAGGATTTGATTCTGATGAATTACATTGCCATCCATGGTGAAGGTGTATGGAATTCACTTGCCAAAGCTGCTGGTAAATTCCCTCTGTTTCTTTTAGCCTACTCTTGTGTATCAGATCTTTGGCTTCATGTTTTCTTATACAGAATGGAAACTTTGCTGTTGTCTTTGTAGGTCTCAAACGTACTGGGAAGAGTTGTCGCCTCCGGTGGCTGAACTATCTCCGTCCTGATGTTCGGAGGGGGAATATAACTGCTGAAGAACAGCTCTTGATCATGGACTTGCATTCCAAATGGGGTAACAGGTCAGTTTACTTCTAAAAATTCTGTTTCCAAAATTCTTTTGAGTCATAAGATTTGAGGTTATTATACACTTGTCACAGGTTTGGGAGTTTGGGAGGATAAGTATCTTCATTGTTTTTGAAAAATAAGTTGTTCATGAGAACAAACTAAAGGAAAATAGGAGAAAATAGTGTTTATTGATTAGTAAGCTGAATTTTTGACGACTTACGATTCGGAAAACCAAACAACAGCCACATATCTCTTACGAACATAAATGCTTATGTGACCACATGGGTAGTAAATTTTAGGAATGTTTGACATGGAAGCAGGATCTTCAATTCTCTCTGTACAAAATACCATTTAGGACAGCTTTATAGCACGTTTTAAAAACCAGCTAAAGGAGAGACTATAGTGATGAAAACTTTCCATTTTTAGCTGAACCCTTTACAGTTAGTTGTTAGCATTTCCTTTTTTAAAAAAGGAAAAAATGCAAAAGGGGTTTATTTTAATTTTTTGTTTGGTGATGGAGACCCCAATCTACAAAGCTTGTCTTCCTTTGGTTTATATCTGAAGAAGACACATACAAAAACAATAAGCACGAGAAGAATATGGAAAATAGTGGGAAATTCAAGTAGAAATTAGTGGAAGAAAAAACATAAATAATATTGCTTCATTCAACGGTAGGTGCATCAAAAACTTTTTCTTTACCAGTCGAAGATTCGAATATTCACCAGGTGGTCAAAAATTGCAAGACATCTACCTGGAAGAACAGATAACGAGATAAAGAACTACTGGAGGACGAGGATACAGAAACATATCAAGCAGCAGGAGGTCAAGAGTGTTGGTGAGCAGATGATGTCAGTCGGCAGTTGTTCAGACACAAACGATGACCGCACCATCAGCCCGAGCAGCCAAGTTTCGAGCTTTGGTAACGTTGCAGAACTGATGGATATCGGCCATGGCTACTTCCCATCATGTCAAGGAGATATGGAGGGCATGGCTTATCAGCAGACAACTTGGCCTCGTGGGGACGGCGAGAATGACAACTACTGGAGCATGGAGGATCTTTGGTCCATGCAATTACTTAATTGAAATGTTTCAAGGATGAAACTAGTGTTGTGTTTATGTACAGTTGAACCATAAATAAACATTTACTTTTGTATAATCTTGTAATGGGATAAAAACTCAGGTACTAAAACGAGCACCGTGGAAACACGACCCTAAACTAAACCCTTTGAGTTCATAGCATTAGTATCGAAKTTCTAAGTCCAAGTGGTAGCTAGTATATATCACCCTTAGCTTTTGTTCTCGAGAAATGACTCAATCTGATTACTTTGTTTCTTATAAAAAGTTTTCATAGGATCCCTGTTTGCAAAAGTTTGAACCCGTCGAGTTCATACGTCGTTTTCGCGCCTGAGCATGCAACAATGAAGTAGAGATGTTACAAGCAATGGCATATTGTGAGGAAATTTTCTCACATGCTCATCATCAAAGTTTGAAAGCTCTGTTGGAACATGACAAGTCCACATGTGGCTGATCTTATCCACAGATTTGAGGCTAATGTTTTTTCCGTGTCTTGAGCTTTGAAATGTCTTGCTCGTGCCTTGAAATTAGCCTAATCTGTTGTGCGAGTGTTTGTTCAAAAAATAGGTTGGAATTTTTTTTTCCTCTTTTGAGAGTAGTTTTGAAATTACTTTTTTTAAAAAAATCAAACTCTGTTCTCTGGAGAATTGTACACGAGTTCCTTGAGAGAATATATTTTCAGTATCTTAAAACCAGATACAAATGAAATAAATTATATTCTCCTCGCAAATTGCAATGACGTTATTCAATTATTATTCTTTTTCTTTTGCTATAATGTTTCATGTTTGTAATCTTATTTGTAGTAATGAATAGTTGAGTATTAATTTAGCATTTCCTCTAAATTGAGATTTCAAATGTTATGAGATCCAAATAGAAAGTATAAAAGTTCAAAGATTAAAATTAAACTTGAAATTAGATAAAAGTTTTAGAGTAAAATTATATTTAGTCCAAAATGATAAGTACAAAAGTTTAATTAAAAAATTAAAAAGTCTTTTTTTTTTCTTTCGAGTTATGAATAATGCACTTGGTGGTTTTTAGGGCTTTAATCTCATTTAATTAATATTTTAATGGTAATAAATACACTTGTATTATTTAATTTTAAATTTACACGTTGGAGGTGAAAACCGAGTAGAAAACAGGGAAGCTCATGAGGCGACATCTATCGTTGAGGACCAAACTCTTATTGTCGTACAACCAATAGAAGGAGAGACGTTAATTCTAACAAAGTTCGTACACGGGTGGGTCCCACCACGCCTCATGTCAAACATCCTCCCTAGTCAATTCTAACCGGAGATGAGATACCATGGCTATAGAGTGAGTAAAAATCTGTCACTAAATATTAAGGTGCTTACCGTTTCTCACATCTCTCTTGCAATTACTAACTTGATAGTCGGAAGACACTTGGCGAGGCACCACACCGATATCGAGATTTATTGCTGCAAATTAAACTTGTTTGGCGACCCCTAATCGAAAAACACGCGGAGTCCAAATTTCTGCATCAACATTACATATTATAGTGATATATTAGAAAATCGAACTCGCCAAAAACAAAAAAAAAAAAAAAAAGAAAGGAATTTGACTTAAACTAAATGCCAAAATGCATGTTGCTATTTTTATTAGCTCACTTTTATTGAACGGACCATATGAAATCTTAGAGAAACATGTGGCCTATATTACTTAAGACGAAAAATGTTCCGGTGTAAGTGCTCGTATGTTGCTACGGTGCACTCCTTTCATCTAACGAACAACATTTGATCAAAGTCATATCAGATGGCTCTCAAAATTCAAAACTTCTTTTTATTTTTTATTTAAAACTAATCAAAAGTCAAAATTTTGATGCTTACTGAGATCAAGGGACTACTGTACTGTACATCAATTGCATTTGACGTTGTACACCCTGTCCTCTTTAATTTATTGCAATTTAATTTATTATTTAAACATAAAAGTACTAGGTGATGAAAATATATAATTAATTGCCACTAAAATTTTATAACATAGGGATATATAATTTTCTTTTCATTTTTAATTTGTTAACTAAAATTTACTAATTATTGTTGATAGATTAAAAACACCTACAGCTTTGGTATATGGCTAATTAATAATGAGATAAATAAAAAAAAATAGTAACCCAAAGAGCTAAGAACTTAATAACTATAGTCAATTTAGTGATGAATAAAGAAATGGTATGCTCATCCATTGATGTGTTGCCACGTGTCCAATTAATATTGCTTCTATAAATGGATTGAATTTGTGATGGATTTTGAATAGTATAAAAAGAGGGGCTAAAATTTTTAGAGGTACTCCAAGAGTGGACCTAAATTGTGATTGGTTGATCTAATCTACATCTCAATTATTGCAAGATATATATTTGCACTCTCTCTAATTTATTGCAATTTGATTATGAGTATGTTTATTTATTGATTTTGCCAATTAAATTGTTGTGACTTTAAGTTGCTAGAAGTTGAATGTAATTGAATTCTTGATTTTAGGTTAAAAATGCATCTCGCCCTTACGATTTAGTATCKGAACTTTAGTTTATAACGATTTAGTCATTGGGTTGTCAATTTGGTAACAATTTAGCTTTCGTAAAAATCTAATTAGAATTAAATATCGATTTAATTATGTAATGATTCATAGTTTATAACCACACTTGGTCACTCAACATTTTATATCGATTTAAATATATCAAAAACCACATTAAATTCTAACAACATTTTTCACCATGGGACTAAATCGTGTTACAAAAACTTAAATTATATGGACTAAATTGTTACATATTAATTTTCAACGACTAAATTGTTACAAATGTAAAAGCACATTCGAAATCGTTACAAATTAAAGTGGAGAGATTAAATAGTTACTGGGATGAAAACACGTGAAACAAAAATTATTTTTAACCTTTGATTTTATATATTACGTTTCAGTCAAGCACTTATTAATTAAAAAGTGATTAGTTGATCAACACATGAATTTAGATAGAGATGCAAGGTTAATTTTTTTTCCTCAGATTCTCCAACACATTTTTCTTTTCATGTGTGGACTTAGATATAAACTTAAATTTACAGGGTCAATAAAATTTTGCTCAAACACATTAATACCATCACTATGCCAAAAAATTGATGTCTCATACGAAAGAAAATATAAATATAATTATGATAAAAGCAGGTTGGTGATCGCACGTGATATAATTCAAATCCATTATAGACAAACTTAGGCCATGATAAATCATATACGAAATCAAGATTCAAAATCAAAATTAAACCTCAATTAAACGAGACGTTTTGACTTACGGATCAGATTCGTTTTGCAACCTAGATTTAAGAAGAACCCAAACTCGGAATTTATTTAAATTATTTATTAATTATCTCATTGACTACATAAATCCATGTTATATAAATATAGGCTCACTGACTAAACTTTTATACTCCAACTACCTTTTACGAATCAAATCATAATTAAACAAACTCACGTACCAAACACAAATTACACAAACCAAAATCGAGATAACATATTTTTTCTTTGTACAAAATCTAAACACAATATTGTAGAAACTCAAACTACTTAAACCCTAGACTGATAATAAAGTGTGGTTGATTATAACCACGAGCACGAGCAATGAAGGACAATTATAACATGGTCCATAACATAACCAACCCAAAAATAATACTTTTTATTGAATCCCAAAAAGTCCTCAAAAAGTAAGTGTAAGCCATTAAACATGCATAGAATTACAAAGCAAATATATATTATAAAAAAAAAAAATGCAAGCCAAAAAGCATCAGATAGAGAGATAGAGAGATGATGTAGGTAGGTATTTAAAATTACTTACATTTGAAAAGCTAAACGAAGGACGAAAGGTAAAATGACCAAAGAAAACCTCCTTTTTCTTTTTGCCCCCAACACAACCATATCTTAAAATTAAAATTATATATATCAAAACCCTCTTTCTATTTATTGCACATGTTATATGAGGCTAAAGGATCATGAGATACATGACAAGCACGTGGAACATTTGGAGAATTTCATCACATGATGGGGTCGGCCATATATATATATATATGTGTGTGTATATATCCCATCCATATGGCCCTCCTAGAATTTTGAATTTTGTATGTGTATATACATGCTATGCATCACATACATATAGATATATATGTCATCTAGATTGGAAGGGTTCAATTAAGAATGTCGAGTTTAAATGGGCCAATTTTCCTTTGGGTTCAAATTTGCTACGTTGGCCCAATTTTCAATCAAATAGATGGTTCTAGTTTTCTTTTTTCTTTACATGTTTGATCGAGCCGTGAGAATTTGAACTTGAATAAAATTATATTCTATCAAAAAGAGGGATAAATACTACGTGTTTTTGTTTGAAAGTATAAACAAACACATGGTATAGACGGTTAAAGAAATTGACGAAGGACCAATTTCGAACTTGACACGTGTCATCACTACTCTATAATAAACTTAAACTACTCTTTTCATTGTCAATTGATTTGAAATTGAACTTCATGAATATTGAGATGGTATCTGAATACGATTACATGCACGATTCCCAAGTCGCCTATTGTTTGGATTTAAGTGTTTTGTTCAATTTTTGGCTATAACATAAATATTTATAAATCTAAGCATAATCTATAATGATTAAAATGTTTCTACTTTTCAATAACTTTGGAGGTTGAAATCTCTCATTCATGTTAACAATTTGTAAACTTTTAAATTTGAAAAATGGGATACTACACGCAAAGCCCATTAGAGAACAACACTACAACCCATTCTAGAAAATAAAAAGAAAAACAATAAAATCACCAAAACAAAAAAAAAATGAAGGAAAGAAAAAAAGAAAAAAGAAAAGGTAGTATGTGGCAGATATTGAACCGGTATGTATCGTTATCGTTATCCTCCTCCCCACCCCATGCTTCCATTTGATCTCTCAGTCTCTGACCGCCGCTCATCTCAAACGACGTTTGTTGTCCGTTACATTCACGACAAAGCCACGTGGCGTCATACGGTTTGTCCAACCACTCCGATCGGTCCCACTTCTGCTGGTTTTCTTGGCGTAAAAGAAATCTCCACTCTCGGATTTGAGATTCAAACAGAACAGCTAAATTATCGACGGTTGAGGTTGCTCCATCATCCACGGTTTTGGTACATCCAGTACCACTGGATTACAAAGGACAAAACCGTAAATTTGAATCATTTCTTTGACTGCCACACGTCGCCGATGTAGGATCGCTGGAAACCGATTATCTTCTGTCAGCCGAAATAATATTTAAAAGAATGTTAAATTACCATTCTAGTCTTTATAATTTATGTTTGACTTTCATAATTTCAAAAGTTTTAATTTAATTTATGTAGTTTTGTTAAATCTCTTGAAATATTTCTATTATCACCAAATATTGATACTAATTTTGTCTTTGAATGTGTGGAGCGATGAGCTGATGGTATTAAGAATGTGCAAAAATTAAATTCATTGGTTGTGTTAGGCCGACTAATAAAATTTATAGTGAGTAGAAAAAAAGTTAAATTACAAAAAATAAAATAAAATAAAATCTTCAATTTTGTACTATGTTAAAAAATACTCATAATTTTTCAAAAGTTTCAATACTATTCTTATATTTTATAAACGTCTCAACAATATTTTTTTCATATCTTTTTAAAAATTTCAATACTACCCTTGTATTTTATAAACGTTTCAATAATATTTTTCTCATATATTTTCAAAAGTTTCAATACTACTCTTATCTTTTAATGAACAAAAAATTAACATGGTAGAATTTAGAACAATCGGTATAATTAARTATTACAAGAGAGAAAATGTGGAAAAAATTAATGTCTTTAAAAGAATATTAGAGTAGATAGACAACAGAGATGCAAATTTTGTTAGAAGAAAGATGCAAACTCTTTGACAATAGAGAAATAAGACTTTTAAGACAAAAATTGTGACATTAATTACTACATTATCTTAGATTTTATTATGTCAACTTTTGTTTAAAATATTAACGAATGTTCACTCACTCAAATAGTCTTTTTGAAAGGTTTACAATCGCTTGAAGCTATTTTTGAAACACGATTTTTTTTTTCTTTTTAGATCAAAGTTTTTTAAAATTAGGAGAAGTGGAGGGTAGTTTACAAGTGAAAGACGTTTGGAGAGATTTAATCATACTTTATTAATAGATATCACATATGCACTAAAATGGTAATTTGACCTAAAAAAATCGGAAAGAAACAACAAATTAAATATTGTAATTTTATCTTCTTATTTTCTGGAATGCTTCCAAGGGGAGCTTATGCCCAGAATCGACACCTCGTCCGAAGACCAATAGCCAATAAAGAGATAGGAAGAGAGCGGCGGAGATAGCGGCGGAGAGATGGGACGGGCCTTCGTTTATGTAATTCTTGGTGGAGGTGTTGCAGCTGGATATGTAGCCCTTGAATTCACGAAGAGAGGAGTCTCTCATGGCGAACTCTGCATAATTTCTGAGGAATCAGTGAGCAAAATCTCTCCCTCTATCTTGCAAATTCTTTTCGTAACTTTATACTTTCTGTTACTTCTTGTTCGCAATAATCATCGCATGTCCTCGCCAGGCACTTCACGATTCTACTTTTAGTTCACAATCAGAGTCTGACTTTCCAAAAGTGAATTTCCCATTGAGGCATTGTTTTTGAAATCTCAAGATTTCTCCAGTCTCGTCATTATAGCTGTCTTATATATGTATTTGCCATCATATCATAAAGAGCTGGGGACCGAAATTAGCAAATTTCATTTACTAAATTGAAATCTAAAAGCCTAATATGAAACTAAAAATGTTTATCTGTTTTAGGTACCTTAAAATTTATAATTCTACCTGTGTTCTTTTCTTCACAAATGGAAAAGTTTTGCGTACAATTTGAATATCATATAACATATGAAATAAATTTCTCCACGGTTCCCTGCTGTAGTGGAGCATCTGAGTTGGATTGAACATGTAAACTGGAAGATGAATTGGTTTCTAAATTAAAAGCCATAAAGTTCTTCATCGACATTAATAGATCAACATTTTGTTATTTTCTTCCATTTGGTAGCTATGTATCAAGTGGGAAGTCTCTTTGATTTTTTATAACACGGAGTTTCTTTGAGTCTCTGATAGGTTGCACCTTATGAGAGACCTGCTTTAAGTAAAGGGTATTTACTTCCAGAAGGTATGGCTTCTTATCTTGCTGTAACATTGACTTTTCTTGCACAATAGGATAGTAAATTAAACAGAACAAACAACACCATTTTGAAATGATTAAAGCCTTTAAATTGTGAAAAATCAGACAGTTCCTCGAGCATAGGATGGCTGCTCTGCCTAGCTAGCATTTGAACTCTTTGGAGATAAAATCGATGCAGCTTGATGGATATTATTTTTACTAAGATCGTTCTTTTTATCATTTATCTAGATATGATAGTTTTGTAATTATCCATCTTTAGTAGCACCAGAAAGAACCTTTTGCCATTGTTATTGCTATTTTTCTTGTTGCTTTATAAGACCACAAATGTAATTTAGAATTCTATGGTGATTTGCAGCTCCAGCACGCCTTCCAGCATTCCACACATGCGTTGGTGCTAATGAGGAACGGTTGACTCCAAAGTGGTACAAAGAACATGGCAAGTAACTCGTATTTACCATGCTTCGTCTGCAATTCTAATATATATTGGTTTAGGAAGTTTACAGTCCGGTCCATTTGAGCATGCTAATTATTTTATACTTATTCTCGCCTCTAATTGAGTCATTTCATATCAATTTGTACCTTTTACCTGTATATTTAAATGTACGCTACTTTAGCACAATAAATCTATGGAGCATTTGATTCTTTAGATTATCTCATTTCATTTCTGCATTTCCAAATACAAATTTGTATATCTCATGATTCATGCAGGTATAGGATGTAAAGCCTGGCACCCATCTTTATATCTGTTGTAACATGTTGCATGATTTTGCTTTTTCAGGAATTGAGTTAGTTCTTGGGACCCGAGTAATATCTGCTGATGTTAGGCGCAGGACCCTGTTAACAGCAGCCGGAGAGACTATTAGTTACAAGATTCTTATCATTGCAACAGGTGCTCGGGTATAGAACCAATCTTTTAAAGAAAGCACACTCTTCACGTGTTCACCCTTAAAAATTAGCTGATAGTCTTAACATTTCCATTTTCTTTAGTTTATATCTGAGTTTAAGTGGTCAAAACATGTTCCTGTTGCATTTCATGTAGATGTATTTCACTGGTTTAATAGATCTTGAAGTTCATGGAAGTTTAGTGATATTAATATAATCCAAACCATGGTGGCCACCTACCTAGGATTTAATATCGTACGAGTTACCTTGTCAACCAAATGTAGTAGGGTCAGACAGTTGACCCGTGATTAGTCGAGGTGCACGCAAGCTGGCCCAGACACACGGATTTCAGAAAAAAAAATATATATATATATGTATATATATATAATCATAGTCCCTAGATTCAAAATATGCAAATATACTTTGTGCAAATGATGACTTCTCACAATGGGTTAAGTAAACTTTTTCTTTGAGTCTAGGCTTTGAAGCTAGAAGAATTTGGAGTGAGTGGTTCAGATGCAAAAAATGTATGTTATCTACGAGACCTAAATGATGCAAACAGGCTTGTTGATGCAATACATTCTTGTCCTGGGGGTAATGCCGTTGTAATTGGTGGTGGCTACATAGGAATGGAGTGTGCTGCATCTTTGGTGATCAACAAAATTAATGTAACAATGGTTTTCCCTGAAGCACAGTGCAGTAAGTAACCTAGTTGTGATGCTTTCTTTTATGCTTGGTGATTAACCTTCCTTGTTTTATTGGAAAATGAATAGATGATTGGTAAACTTAAGGTTCTTTTCTTCTTTATAGTGCCTCGTCTATTTACCCCCAAGATCGCAAGTTTTTACGAAGATTATTACAAGTCTAAAGGAGTGGAGTTTGTCAAAGGAACTGTCTTGTCATCATTTGATATGGACTCTGATGGAAAGGTACTGCATATGCAACTTTAGTGATTGATATATTGTGGGATGAAAAACTGTCCTCGATGTTTCTTGTAGAGTGACAGATAGGCTAGACACTTTTGATTCAAAGTATCATCTTAGTGTAACTGTAAATTAGGCTGATTCACTAACCATTTTCAGGTTGTTGCTGTCACCCTGAGAGACGGAAAACAGCTACCCGTAGACATGGTGGTTGTTGGAATAGGAATCCGCCCAAACACAAGCCTCTTTGAAGGCCAACTGACCTTGGAAAAGGGTGGAATCAAGGTAAATGGAAAGATGCAGTCGAGTAACAGCTCGGTCTATGCGGTTGGAGATGTAGCAGCATTTCCAGTCAAGCTATTTGGCGAAACTCGGAGACTGGAGCATGTTGACTCTGCCAGAAAATCTGCTAGACATGCTGTTGCTGCCATTATGGAACCAGAGAAAACTGGAGACTTTGACTACTTGCCATTTTTCTACTCCAGAGTGTTCGCACTGTCATGGCAATTCTACGGGGACAATATCGGGGACGTCATACATTTCGGGGATTTCTCAGGGAACACATTTGGGGCTTACTGGGTAAACAAAGGTCACCTAGTTGGATCTTTTCTTGAAGGTGGAACAAAAGAAGAGTATGCGGCAATTGCGATGGTGACCAGTTTGAAACCTGCAATTGAGGATTTGGGTGAATTGGAAAGGCAGGGGCTGAGCTATGCTTTGGCAGTGAGTCGTGAGCCGCCAACATCACCACCAGCCACTGATGTTGCTGCCTCTATTTCTTCCCTTGTTTTAGAAAGACCTGTGTATCGATGGCACGCAACTGCTGGGGTCATCCTCGCCGGGACGATTGCTGCATTTGCCTTTTGGTATGGGAGGAGACGTCGACGATGGTGAGACTCGTTTATCGGAATCGACAAACGTTAAAGTTTTGTTGATGTATAGGGTCGACCGTAGGCAAAAGTTTATATTTCACTTTTTAATTTTTTGAACAACATTTATATTTACTTTAATTTTAAGCATCTCGCCTTTTATCATGCATAGGATCCGATCAGCTGAGCAATTTTGGCCRCTATATAGAATAGAATAGATTAATAGAATGTGTTTTTCACCATTTAAAAGTACTTCTATTATAGTTTAAATCATTACTAAACATTTCCTTAATTAGTTCTTTTCTCTCCAAAGTGTTCTAAAAAAAAGATTCACTTAAAACTTAGGAGCAATTACTCTTTTTCTTATGTTGTTTGGTAACCTTCAATATTAGTCCATTCAAAAAATGAATGAGTCGAACTAGTAATATGGAGRAGTATAGGATGGACCCGTTTGATAATGCTTCAGTTTCTCATTTTTTGTTTCTAATTTTATTAAGAAATTTAAACCTTTGACAAACTATTTATATTTATTGTTTCTCATTTATTTGAAGAACAATCTCAAAATTGTATATAAATTTTGAAAACAACAAAAACAAGTTTTTTGTTTCTCATTCTCGTTTCTAATTCATTGAACATAAATAAAGAATTTATTTATCATTTTTTAATCCATGGGCATTTGGAACGTGAAAATTTTTTAATCCATGGATATTAGGGACGTGAAGACGAGAATGTTGCCTAGGATTTTGTTTCATTCAAACAATTTTGTTTTTAATAGCAGAAAATCAGTGGCCAAAACTCGTCTTCGATCCTTTAATTGATATACTTCTTCCTTGTTTTTTCCCTGTAACTGTTCGAGTACAAGAGGGAAAAAAGACTACATAAAGTAATATATTAATTAATGTCAAAACATTAAACATCAACGGGCATTTGGTCTAGTGGTATGATTCTCGCTTTGGGTGCGAGAGGTCCCGAGTTCGATTCTCGGAATGCCCCTTTTTCCCCGTCATTTTACAATAACTTCCCTCTCTTTTAATTTGCTTCTCTTTATTTTTTCCAATTCTACCCTTCCAGTCTCTGCTCTGGGTAGTAATAAGTAAGAAGATGAGGGGTAGCGGAAGGAAAATAAAATTATCAAACACCTCCTGCAACCTATAGTAAACCCAAATTCCTTATCCTATCTTCATCTTCCTCTGCTGATTGTTGTTGCAGAAGAAAATGGCTTCCACACTCTCCACTCTCACCCTCCGCTCCCCATCTTACCTTTCCCACTCCCCTCGCTCTATTTCTACGCACTCCTCCAAATCCGCCGTCCAATTCCCCTTCTACCCTTCTTCCGCCGCGGCCATCTCCCACCGCGCCACCCTCCTCCGCCCCATCGCCGCCGTCTCCGCCCCTGAAAAGATCGAAAAGCTCGGCTCCGACATCTCCAACCTCACCCTCGAAGAAGCCCGGCTTCTGGTCGACTTCCTCCAAGACAAGCTCGGGGTGTCGGCCGCCGCCTTCGCTCCCGCCGCCGTCGTGGCCGCCCCTGGTGCTGCCGGGGCCGGGGACGCAGCCGCCGAAGCGGTGGAGGAGAAGACGGAATTCGACGTGGTGATCGAGGACGTGCCGAGCAATGCGAGAATCGCAGTCATTAAGGCAGTGAGGGCATTGACAAGCTTGGCTTTGAAGGAAGCCAAAGAACTTATTGAAGGGTTGCCGAAGAAGTTTAAGGAAGGGGTTTCGAAAGAAGAAGCAGAGGATGCCAAGAAACAGCTTGAAGAAGCTGGCGCTAAAATCGCCATTGTTTAATGGGAAAAATACTTCATTTGTTTCAGAGAAACTTACTTCAATCTTGTGGATTTTTCCATTCTCTCTTGATCTGAAGTCTGCGTTCTGATATAAACCCATTTAGATTCTGGCATGTTTATTATGGTTTCTGTTTGCCAAATTGTTGTCTTCTTCTTTCTTCTTCTTCATTGGGTCTGTACAATTTACAAAAACTTGTAATTCAACTATGTTTCTGTGGAGTTCAGTACAAAAGACCTGTATTCTAGAGAGAGAATGGTCTTAGTTATCTCACATGAATGGGAAAATGTTGCCGATTCCTAAATGGGAGTCATCAATCAATTGAACAAACAGTGACTGTATGCTCGAACAAATCACAACACAAGAGAAAATCAGTGGCGAATTGGTAACTTTTGCTCACTAAATACACAGACGCTCACTAAGAAGTTTCTTATTTATAAACAGGATGAAACGAAATCAAAGATGCCATGAGTTATACTGGAAAGTCGGTCAGTCGTCGACTGGATCTTCGGGTGTCTCGTCCTCCCCGCGTTTGATTGTAATGACGGGGCACTCGGCATGTTTTACACAGAATTCACTTACAGTGCCCACGAAAACCCTGCAGACATCCACAAGAGGATTTGCCAGGTAGTTAGGTTTCAATATCCATCAAAAAGTAAAAACAGGCTCCGGACCTAAACGATGTGTGCCTTATATTTGAGAATCAGTAATTTTGAAGAGCTAATACACCTGAAGCTTACCTTTTGAAAGGGCCAAGGCCTCTACTTCCCACAACTAGAAAATCAGGTCGCACACGTTTTGCCTCGAGGCAAATTACTTCTGTTGGATCGCCTTTCTTAAGCCAAGCTTCACAACCAACCTACATAAGTAACCATAAAATAATTACAGCAAAAATGACCTCGACCAACTTGCAAAAGAACTTTGTCCAAAAACACAAAACAGTGTTTAAATATCCAAAAAGAACGGGATTTATCCAAACACTGCATTCTTTTTGGTGTTTAAACAGACAAAATAACTTTACAGCTTGACTATAATTTGAAGTATTTATGTTGACAGATCACTCCAGCAAGAAAAGTCGTAAAAATATGGATTACCCCAATTTCATGACATCTATTCACAAAGAACTCCAGTAGAAGAAGCCCTCTTGCCCTCTCCCTATGCTTTAAGTCTTTAAAATCATCAGGTGACGCAAAGATGCTATCGACGTCATCAAAAGCTACAAGAAACAAAATGAGTAGATACTATTCTGATTAGTAGATATCTTTCTAACATATGATTTATGGAATCAGTTGCATTTTGAAATCACTGCCATGCCATCCCACACCTCATTTCTCATTGTAATTATGTAAGAGGGGATAAACCGAAAGGAGAAGTCATCAAGAAGGTCAAACTATTGAAAGAGTTACAAGAAATGAATGCATACTAATTACTGCAGAAATTGTGATCCACTTCCTCAAGTCATAGTACATTACCTACTAATAAAACCAATAAACATTATGTTGAGAACTCTAGCGTACAGTGAGAAGGGAGATGGTCTTTCTCAAAAATGGCCAATGAATTTAAAATTTTCATGAAATGGGTAAAAATGATATATATAACCACTCAAGAAATCATTATCAGCAATATATGTATAAATTGCTGATGTTATACGATCTTTATGGTAGATTCTAGAGAGTTAGTGATAAGTGTTAACTGCAAAACAACCAAATATGACAAAAGATTCACAAACCAAATACGAAGCTCAAGGACGCGCAAGCATCAAATTGAGCACTAGTGTTGGTGCCTAAGTATCTAACATGAACATGCTCTCGCAAAACATCCAATTATGGCAAAAGATTCACAAATCAAATACAGCTTAGGGAAGCACAAGCATCAAATCGAGCAAAGTGTTTTTGTCTTGAATATCAAACAAAAATATGCTCTAAGCACATGATTTGGAATTCATGTTCTTTCACCCGTTTTTTTAATATTTAAGTTTTGGGCATGTTTAAGACATGGAGACATGCTCGGGAGAGAAAATGAAGGCAAAAAGACACTAACATTGCTTTACTCCCTTATCAACTACTTCAGCTAGCTTCCTTAAGCTTCAAAACAAATTTGATTCCATCTTTCTCTGCAAAGGCCATGTCCTAAGCTTTTCTAAAATGGTTTGTGCCAAGTTTGTACATGATGTCCATATCTGAAACTTTAGATAAAGTTATATTCCACCCACCGCCCATAACAGAGAAAATGGCAAACGAAAAGAGGGAGAAAAACAGCTAATGCTGCAACATCATCATTCATCAACATTAATAGAAACACAAGCAGTAAGCATGTGCAGCACTTTTGATTTTTTAAAAAGTTATTCTTAACTAATTTTTTTTTTTGATAACCGAGAATCGGAGCTTTGCTCCCCTATACCCAGGGGCAACCGCACTCGTCCCAAGGCTTAGACCCGGGAGACATCGAAGGTTTTTTGTATTAAACTCACCAGAAAGTTCAAACTTGAGACTTCTAAACCAGTAGGACAAAGAGACCCAAGATTTTGCTAACAGGATTGCCCCTTGGGAGCAAATTATCCTAAACTAATTAAAAACATTTTTTTCGTAATGGTCGGCTACGTTGATTTAATAAGTTCCTTAAAGAAAACAAAAACATTTAGAAAGAAATAACAAGCCCTCCTCCCAAAAATGTTAAATGAAAAAAGTGCTTTACCACCCCAAAAAAAAAAAATAAAGGACTCAATCACCTAAATATTACACGTATCTAACAGGGGAAAATCCATTAACAAAAGGACAGAGGAAGCTTGTTTCCTATCCAGAGTCTCCGAAAGAGACAATCCTGAACCTGGAGAGATTATAAAACAGAGAATCCACCGAGCACATGCTAATCATATATAAATCAGTCATCACTGTGATCGCTATAATTCTTATCAACTAATTCACACAAGTTCAGATCAAAAGAGACGATTGGATGAAAGAAGAAAACAAAATTAGGGCTTAGACGACATTAAAGACTTGAAAACCGTACTTCACAACACATTATTGAATTAAATGCGTGACTATATGCCCTTACACACACTTTCCAAACAGTACTTCCCTCCTCTCCGTCTGCTTCCAATTAATCAACAATTGATCAGACTAAAGGCCGGAATTCTAGCAATAACCAAGTTCGCGATTCCGCAAAACCAATAGAGAACAAACAGAATCACATCGCGCTCCATCCCACAGAGTTGAGGAGCATCAACAACAAAAGAAGAAAGAAATGGAAATGGTAATGGAAATGGAGATAATGAGAACGAACCGTCTTCGTCGGGGATTTGGACATGGAGGAAGAGCAACTTGAAACCGGAGGTGTTGGAGCGGACGATCTTGTGGAGAGTCCATTGGAAGGCCCTTGTGCTACTTATGGAAGCGTGTGGATAGCCTTTGATGGTTGACTGATTCACAGCCAACATTATTCGAGTAGGTTCTCCCTCCATTCTTCTTCGCTCTCTCCTCCAACTTCAACGATCTCTCTCTCTCTCCTCTCGATGCTTCGTCGCCTGCCTTCTGCAACCCCCACAATTTTATGTCCTTCCAAAAAAGACAAAAGGAAAAAAAAAATAAAACCCCATAATTTTATTTATTAAAAAAAAAAAGTTTATCCACGCAGCAGCGACTTAATTTCATAATAATTTTATGTTGTATCTTTAAATTTTTTTCTTTTTTTATTTTATTTTAGCCTTCCTGGACAAGAGAAAGATAGATTTTTAGTCAATTTGGACGGTTTTTTTTTTAAATATTGTTGTAAATGAAACTTATTTTAAAAATATTGTAGTTTAATTAAAAATATTGTAGGTTTTTAAATTTATTTTAAAAATAATGTAGTTTTAAAAATGGAATGATGGTCTTTGATTTTAGCCTTCGTGAACAAGAAAAGATAGATTTTTAGTCAATTTGACGTGGTTGAATTGTATTCGAATTTTCATCCTAAAAAAAAGTCTTAAATTTTTAAATTTATCTTTTTCTTTTTTTTAAAAAAAAATTTCAAGACATTTTTAGTTTAACATGATTCAATAAATATTGTTGTAATGTTAATAAAAGTAACAGAATAAATAAATCATCAACTAAAAATATGTTTGGAAATTTTAAATTATTTTTTAGTAAAATAGCAACCTCTAGAAGTATGAATTTGAACTCATGACTTGTTTATCGAAACATGAGTCTTGATCAGTTGAACTATGTTGTTGTACTAAAAATTGAACTCACGATTATTTTTGGTTGGAAATATGTACCTTAACCAATTAAATTATATTTAAGTCGATTAGAATTTGAAAATTATTAAAAAGTGAGATAGGTGTGTATATATATAAATTACAAGTATTCCATGTTTAAGTAAAGCAAAACAAAGATACAAATTATATATTTGTTTTCATTTCTAGAAAGATGAAATAGTCTTTGGTTTGAGCCTTTTTCTTGAAAATTTCTACAAAATTTTTAAAATACTAAGCATTTTGGGAATTGGGCTCTTTATTATTCAAGTTAGTTGGTTGTGTTAATTATTTCTTGTCCTGATAAGCGTTTAAATTCAACTCAGTTCAAACAACTATAACTATTAAAGGAATTAATAGTTATAAATTAAACAAAATAAGGAATTAATTAATTAAACTTTCCAAAAATATTATTATAAAATTCTAATGATTTCTAGTAATGAGAAATAAGCTAGTGAAGCATGAGAGATGTGTAAATGTCGGTCTTGTTTAGCTGTAATTCAACGTCACATACATAACAAAGTGAATACAGTACACTCTTTTATAATCGACATTAAGAGAGAAAAATTTTTAGTGACAAATTTTTAAATCTTCAATATTGGGAGCTTCTTATCTAACCATTAGATGATCATTAAACGAGATTTGAAAGTCATCACCAATGATTGGACAACTAATGAATCTAGAAACAAAACATTTACGACTTGTTTGATAATATTCATGTTTCTTGTTTCTTGCTCCATCTTTTTAATTTAAGAAAAATATAACTATGTTATAGTTGTTTTCTTACTTCTCGTCCTTTCTTTTTGGGTTGAAAAAAGAAACAAAACATATTTAATAATAATTTCTTGTTTATTGTTCTTAAAAAAAGATAAAAATTCTATATGACATTTAATTTTTCAAAATTTTCATGTATTTAATTTTTGATATTTATAATGTATTTCAAAATAAAAATTGATAAAATAATACTTTTATCTATCTATGTTTTTGAGAAAAATAAAAATAGAAACAATAAACAATAAATTTGGAAGTTTTCTTATTTCTTGTCTTTGTTGGATCTTTTGTAATAAAGAAAAATAGAATTACATAGTCCACAGTTCATGGATTCAAAAATGATAAAACAATACTTTTATTTATATTTTGAAACAGATCGGAAACAAGAATAATAGACAAGAAACTAGCTTATTTTTGTTGCATCCAATAGTTGAGATTTATATAATTTTGAAAATGTTTCTAAAACAACGAGAAACAAGGAAATATAAATAGTTGCTAGATGTTTAGAATTCTTTATAAGATTAGATACGAGAGCGTTATTAAATGAACCCGTAACTTTGTCATTTCCAAAATTTATACACAATTCTGAAAATGAAAATGAAAAACGATCAAGAAAATAAACAATTACCAAATACTTAATTGAAAATGATAAACAAAAACGTTACGAAACAAAACACGGCCTTAGCGGTTATGATTCCTACCCGTCGAAGTCTTTAATCAACACGCCAACTCGGGGAAAAGCCAAGGTGTATTCACATGGATCCCCCAATATTTGAATCCATGGATTGAAGGATGAGACCAATTTGGAGCGAAAGGGAAGGGAATATGCTCATCACATCATCAAATCTCTTCAAATAAGAAAAAAACCCGATACACATTCTAACCTCACCACATCCCTCACTTTTCTTTTCTTTTTTTTTTTCCAAAATTAAATTTGCAGTGGTTGTTTGGTTTCCAAAAAGAAGGAAGACAAAGAAGAAAATAAAATGAGAATTAAATTATTTAGTTTAGAAGTAAAGGGCAGAAAAGGAAGTTATTGCTGTGAATACATAGTGGATCTGCAGAGATGGTATTCAGTTGAGGATCTTACTATTCCATTCCCAGCTGCCAAATAGAAATTCATGTCCCCTCATTAATTAACCCAAATCTTCTCCTCCATCACTTCTAATTTCACTATTAGGGAAACCTTTTTTTTTTTAATTTAATTTAATTTCTCTAAACTCAATGATAAATTGAGAGGCTAAGTAGATACAATAATATAATACTAAATTAATGATTGATCTAATTTGGAACTTTACAAATTAGTGGCTTAAATTTGGGCTAATTGAGACTTGAATTCCCAGTGAAGGAAACTCTTCCAAAACCCAATTGACCAACCTGATACAATTGCAACCATATTCTCTCTGCTTCAAATCTCGCACTCAAATTCCCTGTCTCTGCTTGTTCGCCGCCGAACGCCGGCGAAATTTCCGGCATTTTTTCATCCCTGTTCGCCGGAGTGCCACCTGTGTTTGCCGCAGGGCCGCCGTCGACTTCCCCTCTCCGGCGGAGGGATTTCATCTTCCACTTCTTCCTGGCGTGCTGCAGGGTCCTCCGGCCGACCATCCACGGCAGTTTGACCAGAGCCAGAGCCAGGAAGCTGACCACAGAGCAGGGGCAGCAGCAGACGGCGACGCAGTCGGCGATCAAGCCGGCGGTGCACGACCGGCAATGCTTGCCGGAGCAGTCGATTAGATCGGCGCCGTCGTCCACGGCGAATCTGCGCCGCCGCGTGGGTCTCGCCGGCGAAGGGCGAGATGGGTTTTGTTCCATTTTGATTTTTGTTCCGATTCAGAGGCTGCAACTGCAAGAGAATTAGGAGGAAGAAAATGGGGAGTGAAAATTGAATACTCTGAAATTGAATATCAATGTATTGTTCATTTATCAGTTTGTTTGGAATTTGGAGTTTGGGGAGTCATATAAATTCCCTTGGAAATTTTCTGGATTTATGACCTTATTATTTATAAGTATAGGAAATGAAAACTTTCTCTCTCTCATTTAATACACTTTTGTTCATTATATGAATGAGAATGACTGTGTATTTGCATGAAGAGAGAGATTTTCTAAAAGTGAGTTGGGGTGAAAAGCATTTTTGGTTTAACCTAAAGGACTTCCAAAAGTGTTTTCACTTACACTACTTCTATATATAAAAATTAAAATAATAATAATAATAAAAAAAACACATTCCAAACTTGCTATAAGTTAAAATAGGTTGCAGATTACCAATTTAGTCCTTATACTACATGGGCTTACATTCAAATTGGTCTTTATGAATTTTTCTTACTTTTGAAATTATAGAAATTAAATTGAAAATATATAAATCCAAATCATAAGGAATAAATAACGTAATTAAGTTTTACTATAACTAAATAAAAACAAAATTATACTCAAATATCATGAACTAGTTGGGGGTACCGGTAATATCTTTAAAAATTGGAGGTTATAAAATAAATAAATTTAACCAAAATGGAAGAGGGTGTGGAAGGGAAGAAAAAATGGAATTGGATTGGGTGAGTAAAAGGAGAGAGTTTCCATTTTTGGAAAGCGTGGCAGCGCGTGAGAGATTTACGAAAGATGCCGTTTTGGGATAAAATAAAACAGACTTTGGGATCCCAGCGCGTGGGTTAATACATTTTTACATGCATTCTTTTAACAACAAATTAGAGGTACCGTTTGAATTTAGACGTCAATTACCATTGATAAGTTAGCACAAGACACGCTAAAAACTAAAAACTAAAAACTAGAGGTTAAAATATTACTTTGGTCCTTGTATTTTCAGCATCGATTAATTTTAGTTTTCGTATTTTGAAAATATTCATTTTAGTATCTGTATTTTAAAAATGTTCATTTTTGTCCATGAACTTGTAAAAAGTGATAATTTAGTCCCTATTTATTTTTCTTTAACACAAATTTTACATCTAACAGAAATTATTTAGTATAAAGTAATGTTTACAATTTAAGAAATATATTAATTTTGTTGCCGTATTGAAATTGTGATTAAAAATAAAATTAAGGGACAAAATGGACCAAAATGAACACTTTGGAAATACAGTGACTAAAACGAACCTTTTGAAAATATAGGGACAAAAAATGAACCAAAGTTGAAAAGTTCAGGGACCAAACTAATACTTTAACCAAAACTAAATTACAAAATTATCTACAAACCAAATAATAAATCACACGAAGTTGTCAACATCAACATAACTTAACCGTAAATAAAATTTACTCTAACTACCGAGCAATAGAGTGTTCAAACTCGACGTCAAAATGAATCCAATATAGTTATAAAAAAAAAAAGAAAAAAGCAATAGCACCTACAAAAAAACAATCATGTTAAATTAAAAGAACATCCATAATCGCTAACAAAGTTGAAGACAAATGGATGGCGAACAAAGAAAGGACATCAATTTTACTCAACTTAGTACAAGGTAAAAAAGTAACTAAAGTTCTTTCCTATAGATATATATATCTATATAGGTATTTTTGGTAAAACGATTTATAAATTCTGAAAATAGTTTAAAGTTATTAAGTAAATGAGTCACTTATGTATGGACCTAATAGTGTAATAGATAAATGAATATAGTTCCTTTTTCTTTGTTTCTAGAGTTTGTTAGTAGCAAATGATGTTATATATCCTAGTACTTCTAAAATATATATATATATATATATATATATATATATATATATTTTTACTCCATAGTATATAAGAGTAAATAAATTTGAAGCATTAGATCAAAATTACCAAATCTTTGTTAAAGAAAGCTCACCAATTCAAAGAAAGAGGCCCCATATGTATGATCTTCTTTTTCCCCAACACTTGAATAGGAAAAAGATAGAGAGAGAAATGAAAATGAGTAAAAGGATAATATGGGTATTAATTGGAAATTGAAGAAGTGAAATGTGGTGACCACATTAAAACCAAAGCAAGGAAAAAAAAAATTATTAATAACAAATTTCCATGAATGAAAAAGGTGGGCTATGAAATGGGGAATGTGAGTGAGACCACACACTTCACATCAGAGCCTAAGTTTATGAAAAATATTCCTCCTTTTGTTATTTAGTAAATATAATTATTACTTCATGTCTCATTCCTATTTTTGCTTTCTTACCTACTTTTTAGGTCCCATACTTTGATTCCTAAAAATTTATATCACTTTTTTATGTAATAATTTAGTTATTTAGCTCTTGAGATTAAAAATTTGAGAAAATTATATAGATAACATTAAATATACATAAAGTTTAAAATTTTACAAAAATAACATCATTCAAATCAAAGTCAACAATTATGCTATATTTGAAAAAAGAAAAAAGACAATTGTGACATTTTTTATAATATATATTAATTTTATGGTAAATATTAGTTTAGGTGTTTAGGTATTTTTTTAAAAATTTTTATTTTAGTCCCTATTATTTAAAGAGTTTTAGAATGTTGAAATTAGCTAAGGATAGACTTAGATAACATGATGAAGTAAATAGGCGAAAAATTTAGGAAAGGAATTAAAAAACGGTAAGAAATTTTGAAATTTATACCAATTTCTTATAAAATTGGAAGAATTAGAAATTTTCCTCCCTAACCTGACATTTTTCCTCCTATAAATTTAAAGCAATTTATTAAGAGAGAGATTGAATAGTTGTTTGAAAGTAGCGTTTTAATAAAGAAGTTTTCTATTACAAGTTCTTTAAAAGAAAATTTAAGAGCAAAAAATGACATATTTGTTCTTAAAAACATGTTCTAACCAAACTAGTTGGAATTGGACGACGTATATTTCATTATATTTTTCTTATAAAAATATTAATGACAGAGAGATTTAAAATGTTGATGAATATATTTTTTTTAAGCTAGATTATATTGATGGGACATATATTCCTTTATTTATGAATCAGAGTTATTACCTAACTTAATGGCTTTCACATATTGATGTAATTGGAACCTGACAGATTATACTATGAAGTCAAGTGCCACCCCAAAACCTTTTCTATACCTAACAAATTTTCTAAAATTTGTACTTGGAAAAAAAACTATTCTTTTTTAATTTATTTTTCTTTTATGGCTTTACAAAATGCACTAAACTAAGCTTTAATTTGTGGTCGTTCGGATTATTAAACCCTAAAATAGGCAACAAAACAATAAAAGAGAAAGGAAAAAAAAAGGACATGGCCATGTGTTTTTGAAGATGAGGTAAATAACATGGCATTAAAGTGTATGATTTGTCTGTTATGGGCAGCAAAGAAACAAAGCAAAAATTGAACAATAATAATAGAAGAAGGATGCTCTTATTCACATGCCATGATTTTTATTTTTATGGGGTCAAACTCCATGACTAGGATACCCCAACAACATGCCCCACCAAAATTTATATTTCTTTTGTCTTTAAATTAATAATATTATCTTTTTTTTTTTAATATTACTCCCCTGCCCATCAACTAACATATAGTTTAATATTTGATTAAACTATGCTGAGAATATCTCTAGGATTCAGAAAAATAAAGCTATTTATTTATTTCTAAGATGATAGAATAATATTAGTATTAATCAACTTTGCTTAAGGATCTTGAAAGAGTGAAATGAAAAATTATATATATGAAAGATATTTAAAGTAAAGAGGGGAGAGGCAATTTATAAATAAAACGAAAAAGTACTATGCTTTTGATTTGTTATATCATCCTTGGAAATATAATCCTGCCATATATATATATATAATTAAAAAAAAATTGAGCTACCAGTCAATAGTAGGGAGAGTAATTTGAAAAATAATTTTTAAATTATATATTTGGCGACCTCCACGATAATTTGACTGAGATTATTGTTTCCATGTTAGGGATGACATTAAAAAGGGTATTTAGCAAATGTTTCTTATTTTTTTTCATATTTTAAATTTTTAGAAAATATAAGTGGTTGGTAATTATTCCTATTTTTTTATTTTTTATTTTTTATCCATTCATTCTAAAACAATAAAAAAGCAAACTTCTTATTCTCATTCCCAATTTTTTCCAAAACATAATTTTATCATTATAGTAAATATTAAAAAAATATATATATATATATATAATTTTTTTTAATATTTAATTTTTAAAAAGTATTGTTCATATAAAAATTAATTTTATTTAAAATTTTAGAGAACCTAAAATAATCGCAATTCCAATTATGTTTATTATAAAAAGAGGGAAAACAAACGCAAATGTTACCCAATAAAGCCCAAAATACTTTCAAATGATTTCTCCCTATTTTAATGTTTTTTCTCCCTAGTTTGAATCTGATCCAATATTTTCATTAGGAATTTTTTAGTGTGTATATATATTTCAAAATATTATTCGAGGAAGTTAGAATCTATGACTTTTATTGGAAGTAGGATTTTTTTTTTCTTTTAACTGGAGGTATGATTTCTTAATTGCCATAAAATTATATAGTCATAGTATGAAACATAAAAACTATATACAATTAAATTTATTTAGTTCAAACCATTAGCAGAATTAATTTTCCGATTTCATAAACTACACATAACTTCACTCACAAAATAAGTTTAAGTCTCAAAATGGTTTTCGAAATTAAACAAATGAACTTAGCTCAGCTCACGATCATGACCAAAAGATCGTGAGTTCAAATCCCCACCCCCATATATTTGTATTTATTATTATGGATAAATAAAAAAAAGGGTTCCAAAAGTCTATGAATGAAGTTGTTTATTAGATAGTAAATACCAAAAGTAGAGAAAAATAAGAAAATAAATGATTTAATAAGTCAAAATATAGGGAAAAAAGGATAAAGAAATTAATCCGATGGCCATAATTTCTAGAGTGGTTTCCAACATCCAAACAATATCACAATTAATTCAAAAAATGCAGAAAAAACAGAAATAATCTTACAATTTGAATTGCATTTGCTATTCAAATTATAATAAACATCAGAAACACAGACCACAGAGATGAGAGCAGAAATCACATCCGAATATTAAAGAAAAAAGGAAAAAGAGAAACCCAAGAATTAAATTAAAAGAAAGCGAGAACGAACGAACTCACCGGAAAACAGAGGAATGCGACGTCGTTCCAGATCAACTGTTGCGATGACTATGAGTAGTAGTTCTTCTTCTTCTTCTTGGGAGTGATTTTTTAACTTTCTGAATATAATTCAGAGGTTCTTATAAACTCAGTGATTTAAGTAATATATGGAGAGATGTGGAATGTGGTGCGAGGAAGTGAGAATAATATATTAAATAAATGCGTGAGCATTTCTTGGATTTATAAAAAAAAAAAAAACGATGGGATTATAATATAATATGGCGAGGCATGCATTAAAAAACTGGTGGATTCATGGAGAGATCAGAGAGAGAATTAAAAAAATGGAGAGGGAAGAAGAAGAAGAAGAAGAAGAAGAAATTAAAATTAAAATTAAAATTAAAGGCATCTTTGGGGTTTGATGAGTACCGATGGCAGTTGACAGCGAATATTGGGAACTGCTTCTCCCCTTCAAAAACAGTTTCACTTTCACTTTTCTCCTTTTTAAATGCCACGCACACTTTTGCACTAATATTTATATCAAGTCCTCAATCTTTTCAAATTTTCAATTTTGTACTTCCTCTCAAGTTGGAGTTGCTAAGATGTACAAACATAGCCTTAGATTGATTAAGGAGGAGAGTACTTATAATATATACGTGAAAACAATGATCTCCTTTAATATGAGCATTTTTTGTGAAACAAAAAACAAAACAAACAATATTATAAGATACTTAGAGTATCATTTTCCTTAATACTCTAACTAATTATCAGTCTTTCTTTTTTTTGTCTCCCATGTTCCTCAAATATAGAATTTGATGGATAAAATTATGAGTCTCATCAATCATACCTGTTGATGCAGAAATTTGGTCTCCTCACATTCTGCCAAATTCGCATTAAAGACCAGCTCTTGTCGCACCAATCTTCAAGAATAAAAAGGATCGACGAGACCTGCAAAATAGTATTAAAGACCGGTGTGGCTCTTGCCACACAGGCTTGGTGGAGTAGTTGAGTATAAAATATATAAAATGTAGAGTGTTGTGAGCATAGGTTTGACTTACTTCCCTATTTATAGAAGTTGAATCCTGATCTCTAGGATGGTGATCGTTCAAACTAATTATAAAACGTATTTGCACGTCACATTACTATTATTTTCTTGTCAATGAGTTTTAACATTTTGTAATAGTAAGAATGTGAGGGATGGAATAATTTTCTTTTAAAAGATTAGAGACTAAATGAAATTTAAAAATTTCAAAAGAATTAGGAGTTAAATTATATATTTAACAAATAAATTATATAATAAAATAATGTGTCTGTATATTTTAGTGTGCATGGCTCATGGTGTTGCACTCGGAGGGGACGCCGCGGCACGTGCACCCACATCCAACCGACTCCTTGCTTTTTGAACCACTTTTTTTCTTACTCAATTTTGTACGTCAGATTTTGTTAATTAATAATTTGTCTGGAGATTTTCATACTAATATTTAACTATTAAATTTATATTAAGATGCTCATTGTCAAAATTAAAAAAGTATCAATAAAATATCAATATCGATGTAAGAACTAAAATAAAGTATACCAGTATACCATAGAGTTATGCAACGGTTGGTATTTGTTAGTTATAATTTTGTGTGCTTATATGAGACCCGTAAGAGGATAACTTTTTTTTTCTTTCATTTTTAATCTCAACAATTGTGAGGTGGAGGTATAGGATTAAATCATCGATCTTCACTTCGTTATGCTCGTATTAATTATAAGATACCTAACGAATATTCGAAATCACAACTTTTTGATCGAAAATATAAGTGTTAAAATCAATTGATAGGTTGACATGAAATGAAATAATTGGACTTCGATATGTTCAAAGAAATTAGGGAACAAACATATGCCCAATTTGTTGGAGATATGATGTCTCCGGCATCTATGTTTTTTAATTTAGAGTTTTAAATTAATGATGTTAAACTTAAACCATATTCAAATAATTTGAATGATTCAATAATGAATTCTTAAAATTACAGGTGTGGTATTTTGTTATATGTTTTAATTTATTTTATACATTATGAATAAATTATCTAATATTTAATTATCGAATTCTTTTATTACCTCAATGTTATGTTTCTCATTACTAAGGAAAGAAACTTTTCTTAATTCATACTAAAAATTTATCTTATGGAAAAAATTGTGAAAGAGTGGAAGAAATTTTAGAATTTTACCATTCAATCTATTCATTTTGTTGTATTTCTTTGTCACCATTTTCGAGAACATGTCAACATAGAAATAATGATTAGGAAAGTCATTAGAATTGACCAAAAATTTTCTCTAATAATAATAATCTGCAAATGAAAAATAAGTCAAACAATTTGATAAACAATTTTATTTCCTTTTTCTTCTTCCATAAATAGGTTTTGTTTATTTCTCTCTTATTTTTTTATTGTCTAAATTACAAATTTTAAGAGTATACGTTTTTTTTCCTTTTGAAAAGTGATAACTTTTCAACATATATAATCTTTATTTTCATTTTGTTTTCACATTTTTTTCCAATATATATATAAACATACTTTTTCCACTAATTTATTTGGAATACGATTTCTCCCCTAACTCATCATTAGCACTTTTCTAGTATTTCGATATTTGATAATAACTTCCTTTTATCTATACCTCTTTTAAGCTTTTTTTTTTTTTTACAATATACCTTTAAAAAGATATTTTTTATCCACTTCTAAAATTTTATATTCTAATAAATAATAGAAGAAAATATTTTTTAAACCTATAAAAAAATGCTATCAAAATACTTTATTTCATTTAATCGGCAAAAAATAAAAAAAAATAAAAAACAACCTTATGAAAGCGATTCCTAAAATTTCTTAAAAATTAGATTGGAATAAAAACAAAGCAAATTGTCCTTTGATGAATACGATCATTCACGAGACAATATGGTATAATTGGTGTATAATAATTGTACTTTTCTTTTGGTTGAAATGTGAAGTCAAATATATCATTTCATTTCAATCGTAACCTAACGCCAATCCGATCGTTAAATTATATATCTTTAATCCTTGAATCTCATGTGATTGAACGAAAGAAATCAACCAAAATAAAATATGAAGAGTGACAACATATATGCAATGTGGTATTATGAAGGGACAAGCCCAACATGAGTGTGATTAAATAACACAAAACAATGACACAACATTTCCTATTCTATCATTTTATTTCTAATCTATATCGAATTTAACTTTGGACCCATATTGTTCATTATATTGGTTAGGTTAAACGACATGCTTGTCAAAAATTTGTTCGATTTAATTAAGATATTTTTCTACATTTGAACGAAGGAATGTGGAAGTATTTGACGTTATTCATTAAATTAAAATGAATCAATATAATTAATATAGGTGAAACTTAGCTCCTTGATAATTCATTCTAAAAATGAAAGAGAATTCAAGTTTTGTCCCTAAAAACGATCACTTCGGTGTCGGTATTTTTTACAATTTAGTAAGGGTTATAATATATATATATATATATATATATTTAATATTAGTTTGCACTTTTTTTTATCATTTCTCTATCTACATTAATTTTAAAATTGAAATATCATGTCAATGCGAACCTAGTTCAGCGGTAATTGATATACATCTTCAATCAAGATTTGTGAGTTCGATCTCCCACCTTATATTTTTTCTAAAAATAATTGAAATATTATTTTTAAATGTTAAACCTTTAATAATATTTGAATTTCAAATGCTACACTAAATACACACACGTAAATGATATTATATGAACATTTTTTTTTTGACTCCTAATTCATATGAACATTATTTTATTTGAATGGGCATAATAGGAAATAATTTTTTCTTCTTAATCCCCATCCAAAACATTAATTCTAATTAACACTAGGCACAAAAATTTATATAATTATGAATAAGATGATTAATGTATAATGATTTCTATTCAATATTATTTTTATCCCTCAAATTACTCTATAGTCAATTCATCACGTGCACCAATCGTAAATACTAGACCTATAATATGTCATAATTAACTTAAGATTATGATTAATAAATATCGGCGATATCATTGTAATTATAATACATTACAAAAACATGAAGGAAAAGGACTTAGAGAGGGAATACGTTTCAAATAATTAACCCCACTAATCTACTCCACGAGAATGTAAGCACAAATCCGAGAAAAAGAACCCAAGAAACATAAAGGCAAGCTGGACTTGGAAGTATAATCTAATTCTAAATTTGCCCCACACCTAAAGGGCAGGCCCCTAAGATTTTGGCATGCAACAACATATAATAATGTAACATATACAATAATTTTATTTTGGTTCTTCTTATTTATAAGCATTAAATTCAGCCCACCAATTATAGTTAAGGCCATTCCTAGAAGTTTGGTTGGTATAATTTTTTACAAATCAATTGTAATGTAACCAACGTGGATTGGATTGTTATATATATATATATATATCTCGACGTGTTATAGTTTTTTTTAGTTCAACAATTGTATGAGCAAGAGATTGGGCCATTAAATTTTGGGCATCGACTGTTTGAAAAATTTAAAAGCTTTTTGGTTAATATTTTACCGTGAAAAAATGTTCAAGATTGACAAAATAACTCTCATGCAGTTCCTCAAAATTGCATCTCACATCCGAAAAAAAAACTTTATTTTATCTCTTGATCGATTAGCCTTAAACTCAAATGGCACGTATTTCTCCTCTTTAAAATTTCAGCGTAGAAACCATAATATCAATTTTTTTCCTTCTAGTACTATGACGTGAGCTCTTAATATAATTATGGATACACCCTATAAATGTCCACGAACTAATTTTCTATTTAAATTTTGACCAATTTTACCTTTTAATTTTTTTAATTTTATGATTCAAACTCTACAATTCTAACAAAAGAGAAAAGTTTAGAAAAAGAATTGAAGCAATTAGGTACTAAAACACCTAGTAGTAAAGCATTAATGAAAAATAAATGAATAATAATTACTGAGTATGAGTTTATATAGAAAGAGATTTAGTTGTCAAAACACAAATTATTGATCCTCTCATCTCTTGGGTTATTTTTTTCTTATTAATTAGAGGGAGTAGTTATCTTTCAACTCAATCATCACACTATATAGTTAAAGTTATATATATATCTTCAAAACTAATTTCAACTTATAATATACTTTTCATATTCCAATTATATTAATATGTTTGATATTCTTCTCTAGAATTTTGAATTTTGTACATTTAATTAAGTGACCTACCCCCAATGAAGAAGATGAATATAGCTTCTTGTGCAATTGTCAAAGAATAATTAAGGGTTTTCAAAATTCTTTCTAGCAACTACCACCTGAGATTTGAAAGGAAATTGTTGGGAGAGACTATAACGATCTAGCTTGAGATTGCTGTATAAATGCGTAAATAATTGTTGTCAACTTTGCTTTTAGAAAAATGGACTGCAAAGTGAAGTAAACTACTGTTTGGTGAATTTTAATTTTAAACATAAAAGTTTAGGTTTTAGTATTTGATAAATTGATATTAAATTGTTGTGATTTAGCTAATCAACAAAATATATATATATATATATATATATATATATATTTTGTTAAAAGTTTAGGAAAAATAAAGTAGAATTACTTAAATGCGTTTTTAAAAAGTAATTTTAGAAGCACTTATATTAATCAATCCTACCTAGTTTAATCGAGGGAATCCTTCATGGGTTAAAAAATATAATTTGTAGACTTATTTGATAACCCTTCATTTTTAGTTTTCTATTTTTGAAAATTATATTGTTTTGCTCACAAATTTTTTTTATTTGTTAATAACATTTCTTAAAAACAAATTTAACTTTTAGCCGAANACAATTTTTTTTTTTTTAAATTTTGGTTTAGATTTAGAAATAAATGCAAGGTAAATAAATACATAGATAGTAAAGCAGAAAAACAAAAACAGATTTTTGTCAGAAGTATTGGATTTCTGGAAATCTAATCTCAGAAGAGGCCTATGACCAAAATTTTCTAATCAACATAATAGAGAAAAATGAGTTTGCCAAATTATTATATAATCAATTTTCCTAAAAAAACAATTAAAATTATTTCATAATCAATTTGAAACGGTCTCGTATCACTAAGTTAAATTCTACGGAGAATTGAAGGAAAATTGTCATCTTGAAGAGACTGTCCTTATGTTAAATTCTACTCCACCTACCACATGCTTCAATCAAGACTTAGAGGAGAAAAAAAATATATATTACCTTCTTTTTAAACAGTAAATCAAAACTCTTAATTTATTATTTATGTTGTACCAAACCAATCAACATTTATTCAATAAATATGTTATAATATTATTTGGTTAACTGTGATTAAAAATTTAACTTGAAAATTTTTAAAGACTATAGATAACATAGTGTAATCATCAAAGTTTATAAGGACTAAATTTGCAATTTTCCCTTAAAATTTTATTTCTAATTTTTAGAATAAAAATTCAAGTAAAACTGTTGAATTATTTTCCGAACTATGTTAGTCTTTTTAGCTTGTTTTTTTTTTACTCTCACTAGTGACTTTTTTTCTACAACAACTTAAAGTTGAGTGTCTTTTTTCTTTTTCTTTAAATGACTTGTCTTTTTTCTTAGGGGTTAATTTAATTAAGCCTACACACTTAATTAATTTAGCAGATTACAGTGATGTAAGTGTAGAGTAGTTATTTAATAATTAAGACTTTGCACGATATAGCTTATGGCTCATTGATTGACAACTCTTTCAAAGTCCGTTATTAATTAATTTACAAATAATTTTATTTTTCTTTCCTTCACGATATTTTTTTTTTCAATAATTTCCTTGACATTTAGTGGCACCAATCATATTGTATTAATTACACATTAATATTTTCTCTAGACACTTCTTTTTTTCGTTCTTTTTACTTGGCATTTAGGTCATTGATAGCCCTTTGTTTATATATATATATATATATATATATATATATATATTTTAAATAATACTTTCTTATTTTGGTCTTTGTATTTTTTATTTTAATTTATTTTAGTCCCTATATTTTTTGGTAATTTTTAAAAGTGACTATTTTGTAACATCAACAATAAAGTCGATTAAAAAAAAAACAATCAAGAATACGGGATTAGAAGTTTGCACCCTCTTCAATATAAACAAAGTATTAAAAAAAGTACACATTTTACTTTCTAAATCAATAAAGCTTAGAAGCTCATTTCTATGATATACTATTGTTGACTTATATTATATTTGATTTGATGAATAAGTAGATCTCACTAATATATTTATTTCTTTATTTTTTTCTTAAAGAAATATACTTTCATTTAAACAAGTACGCGGAAGGTCAGTTCTAGACATCAGATGAGAGAGCTTCTTATTTGACAATTGAAATGGAATTGATGAGTGTGTTGGAGGGGTTGTTTGGAGCATGGTGGTGACGGGGACGGCCATCTCCGCCGCCAACTTCTCCGCCTCACCGACCGTCGAGATCACCCGATCAAAGCAAATGTATCTGCCGGAAGCATTCTCCTTCATCCCTTCATAGACACAGACATGAGCCTTGGCCAATTTGGTCACCTCCACTGTTGCTAGCACACCATTTGCGTACATCTCTCGAGCTCCTAATGGAGAAGGATTTTGATTTTAGTATGAAAGTTGGTTCTTGATAAATGGATATGAATGATAAAGTTTGTTGTTTTGGTGTTGAATTTCTACCTTTGAGATAAGCCATGGTTGGAGTTGAATTTCTGCGATGAAAGTTGGGACCAGTTATGAGAGCAGAACAGATGGTGGCCAGTTTTAGGCCACTTTCTTGTGCCATTCTCCATGCTACTTTTTCAGATTTCAGCTTCCCCAATGCATACCATAGCTGCACAATCCATTTACCAAACTTTCTTTGTTAGAAACCCATCAACATAAAATTTCTCCCAAATTTTTGTAGTTTATTTCAATTTTACTTTGTAAAATGTTAAAATTAACTACATGCGTCAAGAGTATTTTGCATAATTTAACCTTATCCCAACTTGGTAGGTAAATTTTTGGGTTTCGTAAATAGCTTCGGATTCAAATTTTTGTAATATTATTTTGATCTAATTTTGTGTTTAAAATGTTAAGGGCAATGGTATATCAAATACTCCAAGTATCTATATAATGATATAATATTGTCTACTTTAAGTATAATCTCATGACTTTGCTTTTGCTTTTGGTTTCACCTGAAAGATATCATATCAATGAAAATAATTGTCGGTATTTATATATCATAGATCATGCTCGTCTCTAACTAACGTGAGACTTTGTTTGAATTCACCTCATACACCCAACGTCAAAATTAAAGCCATCAAGTGTTTGATTGAGTTTCATAATGGTTTGAGCAATAGAAGAGGRAGAAAAGGGGCTGACCTTTTTGTCTTGGCAGAGCTGTAAACTGCTCCAGCAGCCATGGTCAACGACTCTTGAGGTTTCACTTTCACTTTCACCGGCTTGATCCTGCCAGATGCAAGCCAGGAGAGAAGATGTAAGCACACAATTTCGTACAGTTTCTGTTCTAGTGCACGCCTCCATCACATTCTCAGTGGTCTTCATTTCCACTTCGCTCATAATTTTCTGTCCAAATCCCCAAATCTCTGTTTAGAAAACTTGAAAAGAATCTTGACAATGAAATAGCAATGCCTACAGATTCAAAGCTATATTATGCGATTGAAAAGAAACTCACCGTGTAACCAGAAAGACCAGAAGGATCGATGGAGGAAGAGGTGTGGAAAACGCCACGACAGCCATCGAATGCTTCCACTAAGCTCTCTACATCTGTAAGCTTCGCAGCAACCACCGTCACGTCATGGCGGTTGCTCATCGTCTCTTCCAATTTGCTCACATCCTCTGCAATTCAGGGCTTCGATTAGTGATCGATTTTTTCATGATAAGCTCGATTAATCATTTATTCACAAAACAAGGAATCGGAGTTTTAGCAATTGAAATCTCTCCCTACCGGACTCAATCGAATGTCATTTATGAAGATTCATCGAATACGTAACTTCATATTCGAAATTGAAGTTAAAATTGAAGATTTGAAGCTTCGATTACTTACCAGGATTATCAACAATGACTCGAACAGAGTATCCGTGAAGCAAGAGTTCGTTGACGAGGGCGGCGCCTAGAAAGGAAGCGCCGCTAGTTACACACACGATCTTCTCCTCGGCGTCGTCGATAGGCTTCGATTTGAGGTTTCTATATTCGTCGCCGTCCTTCCTCCTCTGGATGCCGCCGCACGCGACGAGCTTGCGGCGGAGCTGCTCCAACTCCAACACCAAGGTCTCTTCAGCCCGAAAAACAACACCCATTTCTCCGAGTACACTGAAAATCTAGAGAGAGAGAGAGAGAGAGAGAGAGAGAGATAGAAAGAGAGAATTGGAGCTGGAAAATTTGTTCGTGGTCGTTGGCTGCGTTGGATCTTCCCTTTTTTTATAACAGAGCTAACGGAACACTGAGGAGAAAAATAGAGAAAAAAAAAAGAATAAATAAATTTTGGGTGCGTTCAAATTAGACTGCGGAAGAATAATAATATAATTTATAGTCGCCGGAAATATCCGCGTCGGCTTCCATAACCTCATTTTCGGAGAAAGTACACAAAAGAAGGGATTTAAGAGTGAGTTTTTAATTTATTTTTTTCCCTTTTTAGTCACGTGCGTTTTTAAATTCATTGACATCAAAGGTCGAAATGTGACTTTCTCGATAGAAATATAGTTAAAATATAAGTGATTGTCAAAACTAAGGTGGTAAGTTCCATCCTCACCTCAAACCTCACCTCAAACGAGGGATATTATTATTAGAAAAAAAATATTTAAATTAATAAATAATTATTTCCTCACCTCAAACGAGGGATATTATTATTAGAAAAAAAATATTTAAATTAATAAATAATTATTTCACTCTTCTAAATAAGTTAAAAATATTAATATTAATTTTATGTCTATATAAGTGATATTTTATTAATATTTTTTATTTTGTCGATTTTTTTTACAATACTGTGGAAATGTCGATTATATTGATATCAAATTCATAAATATATGAAAATGTCAATAGAAATGTCGACATATCCAATGTGCATTTAATACCTTATTTGACATGATTTGATATTTTTCTTATGTTATAAAAAGGTCGATGAAATATATAAAAAAATACATATCATCAAAATATCACTAATTTGGACCTAATATTTTCTTAATGTGAATTATAAGTTTATTTTAAAATGGTAAAATATATAACTTTACAATTTTTTAGTTCATGTCTCTCAACATTTAATTTTATTTTATGATCACAGAAAATTTTATTTTCTATGATCCATTCATATTTTCACTAAATTTAGTATGTTGATAATTGTTTTAACAAGTATATATTATTAAAAAATAATCACATGAGAGCTATTAATTAATTGGTTATTGTGTAGCCAAGGAAATGTTTAGAGATTGTTTTCAAAATAGATTTTCTATTTTCTAAAGTAAAATTTTTATGAAAATGTATTTGGATAATTTTTATTTTAGAAATTTTTTTCCTACTGCAGTCAGACAAATGATATATATAAAACTACTCTTTCAAAATTATGATTTAATTATGAAACATAATATAATTAAAAAAATGATATTTCATTATAATATTGATATACTCCATTTTCTAACTTGGTCTTTAAAGTAAAAAAAAAAAAAATTATATATATATTTATTTTAGTTTCTCAAGTCTTCATATTCAATCCTTAGCATTAGAATTCAAGGTAGCATTAGTAAAAAACTAATATAATTTAATCTATTGTTATTTAACATTTAAACGAGTCCATTAGTCAAAGAAGATTAAAGAAAATGTAACCTCTCTCAAAATTTTAAAAGGTAGAAAACAAAGAGTTATGATGTAAAGGTAAGATGGCTTACCTTGACTTGTTGTCCTTTTCCTTATATATGGAGAGCGGGCAAGTCGAGTGAGGTAGGATGGATAACCCATTGAGGGTGCGGGGACTCCTCCTGAGTGCATTCTATCTTCTTTCTAGCTATCGCTGAGTGGTGCGACAACGTATGAGGTGCGCGTTCATGACACCATTTTGACAGTACCCCAAACCGTGTTGGGAGCGTCTGTTGGGTGCCTCTATCCAATATGCTTATTGTCCTTCTTTCAGTGCACTCGGCGTTGCCTCGATGTGCTCCCCTCACCCACTTTGCAAGTGGAGAAGGATAACGACGTGTTCCCAAGAGGTAACTCCACTTGGCACCGCGTGGTTTCCCCTCAACAAACTTGATTCTAAAACTTGAGGAAATAGTGAAATCAATGTAGTTAATTAGTCACAAATGTCTGTTTTTATGCCCTAGCTATGACCTATGGGCATTTTTTGTGGTTGGATGAAGTGATTTTTGTGTGATTACTAGTTTATGGTCATGTTTGGATGTATTTTCAAGATTAAATTTGGTAACTTTTATGGTTTGATTTGGAGCATTTAATTAGTTTAATTTTGTGTGATTTATTGATTGATTAGTTAATAAATTTTTTAATTTTAATTTAAAGGAGGTATGGATCTTACTATATTTATTTAAAATGAAGATTTTGAGGTTGTCTCATTTCATTCCGACCAAGTAAAAGTTGTTCCCAATGGGTAGTTAGTTGAGCACCAACCCAAAAATAAAATGCAGAAAGAAGGCTAGTTTTTCAAATATAATTTAAACTTCAGCCAATCGACTTTGTGGCACATTCAATGGTCATACCAAGTTTTATTGACTAACTCAAGCCAAATTTCAAACCTCATGTCATTATTAAAAATTCTTTCTTTYTTTTTTTTTTAAGAACATTCTACTTCAAGAAAATAAATAAATGTATGTCGTGATTGTTGAGTTATTACATTGTACCAAATCTAAAATTAAATTTTTTTTTTTTAGTTCAGGTAGGGATTTGAACTGTACTTTCGGCTTTTTAGTTGATGATACATGTCTTAACCAATTGAGTTATATTTAGGTCGGTAAAATTGGAATAATGTTGATAATTAAGTTTATTTTGGTTGGTATTTTTTTCTCTACAAATATCAAAATTACAAAATTAAGTATATTTATTCATTTTACATGTTCCTTAACTTTTACTTATTTTATTTTAGTCTTTAAATCTTTAAATGCTATTTTTAATCTCTGAGTTTTCCATAAAAAATTGTTTTAGATTTAATTAATTTTTTTGTGGATGATTAAAGTTTGATTTATTTCATAATATGATAGCTAGCTACCACGTTTGGCTTTTTAATATATTTGAGCACATAAATATTGATTGATTAAGTAAATATTTAAACAAAGAATAGATTTAAACCATATTTATTAGATTTTTTTTTAATAAAATACGTAGGGGAGATTCGAACTCATAACTTATACCAATTATCGGTGCACTAAGTTGATATAAAATATTGATTGATTGAACAAATATTAAAAAAATATATTTATACCATATCTACGCTAAATAGTATTAAGAAAAACTCACACATACGTCAGGTTTTGGAATTAAGATAAAATATTTAAAATTTAGATATAAAAAATAATTAATATAAGTTCAAGGTCTAAGATAAACTCAAGTTACCACGAAAGTTTTTATGAGGTGACAAAAGAAATTTGACTTAATTTCTCAAATTCAATATTTGTTAATTGAATAGAAAGGTAAAGAGATTTTCAAATTTTTATTCATGAAAATTTAAAACACATGCTATAAATTTATTTAACAATTAACAACTTAAATGTAAATGCATACATGTAGCCAAGGCAAGTATAACGAATATATATTTCAAACTAAAAAATTTAATAGTCAAAATTTAATTTAAATTTGAGGTTTAAGTTTTGTTTTAACAAATTCAAAGTCCTTGTCATTGGTCCACAAAAATGAAACAAACCCATGAGGGTGGTTTTACTATAAGAATACACACTAAAATGAAAAACAATTGGGGGATAATTGACTTCATCAGCTTGACTTGGAAAAAAATGTTTGATATTATTTTTCATTTACTATTTAAAGTAAGTAATTTATTAAAAGTAATGTGGAATTCTAATTACTTAATTACTTATTTGTCCCTATTTGATGAGCTCCTCGCCATTCTTGAGGAGTCAAATTTGTCATTTCTTTGGATTGTTCACGGTTAATTGTTGAATCAGATTCTCCCTACGCAATCTTTCTTATTGTAGCGATTCAGAGTATTTGGAAGAAGAACATATCGGATTTGAATTTATGAAATCAAGACGAGATCTTGCATTTTCCATTCGTGCAACTTCCTACATGTCCATCATGGTCAAAACAAACTAGCTAATTCTCAATTGAATTTTGGTCTTCGGTTTTGCAATTTCTTTTCATACTGCGTTCCAGAGGGCCTCGTTTCAAAAAAATACGCCGTCTGGAGGCTTTACTGGGACTAACTAGTAAAAGGCCCAAAACCGGAAACGATCTTAAAAACCAATCGCGGTCCGGTAAAAAATCTCAATATCGTATTCGTTTAGAAGAAAAACAAAAATTGCGTTTTCATTATGGTCTTACAGAACGACAATTACTTAAATATGTTCGTATCGCCGTAAAAGCCAAAGGATCAACCGCCGACCTATAATCTTAGAAAAGAAAAAAGTTTAAAAAAAAATTTATTTATAAAGATAAAATTATAATGCCAACATGCGAAGAAAGAAGATCAAACCAAAATCATAGTGGATTATTGAAAATTTTCCCATTGACCCGACTCTAAACGACTTTGATTCTACAAATGTTAGTGGGCGAGGCCTACTTGATTTGCTGATTTAGTTGACCCGAGTCTAAACGACTTTGATTCTACTTCCCCCATGGAAATCTCGGGTACCCGCTTTCCCGTTTCCCACAAGCAGGTCTCAATCGAGATTAAGGTAATTTTTTTATTTTACTTGCCCCCGATTGAAATAACCCATCCTCCACGCCCCCCGAACGAATTCGGGATTTCTGTTTCGTGATTTTTCCTGTAGAAACGTAGTTCTGATTCTTAAGGGTTCTTATGAAGGATTCGAGTTTGCCCACAACCTGTTTGATTTAATGCCGCTGCTATTTTTATTTGCTTTTATTAAACGGATTGGTGAATCACGGGCGGGAAGCTTGAATTTGGATTAATAGAAACGAATTTTAAAGTGGGGTTCGGTGATTTGAAAGTTAAATGGATAATTTGTTCGCTTTTTGGTGAATTCAAGTTATGAATATGCAGAATGTGTACCGAAAATAAATGGCTTTTTTGGAAAAAGTAACTCTCGTATTAACCATTTGAAGAAATGCTTCATTCTGCATTCTGGCTGAACTAATAGTTCTCCCTCTGGCTAGTTGCCTTTCATCTATGCGGTTATATGATTTGGGGAATTCCATTGCCTATGTTCTAGTTCCAGGCACTTTACTATCCATCTGGCAGTGACCTCATTCGTACATTTTGTGCTTGCAGGGAATCAAAACGGATATAGTCATTTGTCGTCACGATGATCACTATCTTGTCAGTAAAGGAGTTTGGTTTTTATTATTGCTAGTAGTACATATGTTTTTGTTGGGGACGATGGGGAAATGGGGTTTCTGGTAACTAGAAGTGTGTTATTTCATCTCTGATGTTTGAAACTGATTGTAAGGTTATCGCAACTCAAATTGGAGCAATGGGGACAATGCTGCAAGCCAGGTGAGCAATTACCGGTCGTTACTGCAAAGCAGAGTGATTTTTTGTGATCAAACTGCCCCCAATTAAGATCACAACTATTACAACTTCATAGACTTAAAATATACAATCCCTATGGCTAAATAATGTTTACTTTCCTTGAAATCAAAACTTAACTACTCAAGTTCTTCAAACCCATGATATATGCTTAACACCATGATACATGACTTGTTTCCTTAGAATATAATGGTTCCAATATCATCATAATTCATAAAAGGCCTTTTTTTTTTCCTTTTAGCGATCATCTGCAAGAAACCTACATAATGGCTTTAGAACTTTGAGATTCATAGGCACAAATAAAACATTGCAATAAAGGCTAAAATATAGGATTTTGTTATTTGATTGTTCTATATTAGAAGCTTCTTACATCTATATGTTTTAATTCCCAGGAAGGAGGAAGGGATGGCAATGCAGCCAACCTTCTCAGTTTCGACCGTTTTTGGCAAAAGAGATGAGGTAAGTCAGCTGCGTTTTAGTAGTTTGTTACTGAATACTGCTGTGACTGATACATGGAATATGCAGCCGATGCTGGTCGCATGTGCCCGCCAGTTGATCGAACAAATCAGGTAAACCTTTCAATTCAACATTGTGGAAGCTTACAGTTAGGATTCTTCACCTACGCCTTCCGGACATCTGACTTCTTGTGTGTGCGTGCATGCCCTCTTTGAATCTTTTGAAAGTGGATAATCTATCTGACTATGAAAGTAGTAATTACTTGTAAAAGTTTGGGATCTTGACTTTTTGGGTTCCTTATGATGGATAGGATACTTTCCATATTTGGTGTTTTTGAGCCTGTTTGATTTTTGTTGAACGGCTTGAGTATTCGAAGCTCAGAACATTTTACATCCCATCAAGATAACAATATTCGAATAACATTGCTGAATTTTTATTTTTTTTTTCTGTGTATTTGCAGTTTGTCAGGTTCCTACAAGCCATTACTAATCTCTCTTGGCCTCAAAGACCATTCTGTGGTAATTACTCAATTATATATTTCCCTGCTTTCGGGAGTTGAGCTGAGTTTAAAATGGATTGTTTTATGTTTTGCAGGAGACGATGAAAGGCATTGTTTCTGCTGTGTCTGAGAATCGACTTTGGTAAACTTTTGCCTTGGAAACCCCCGTTTGTTCTTATTTAGTGAGGAATACATATTTAGATTTCTACTTGCTTTATATGATGTTGCACATGTACTGTATTCCACTGTGGCTGGAACTGGATAGTGGAATGGAGGGAGTGAGAAATGGAGAGAGAAGAGTTTATATCTAAATAAAAATATAAAGATTTTTTTTTATATGTTTGCATTACTAAAAAATAGTATAAAATTAATTTCTATGAATAAAAATTCACTATTAGCCTTTTGCATCTCAACAGTAGTTGGAAAGTGTTATCTCTACCCCTCACCAACGTCTATTAACCTCTCTTGACCTCAATCACAGTCTTGATTTTGGGCAAAATATCCTTTTGGTCCAAGTTTGTGCACCGATAGCAATCAACGATGGGTAAAAGTGGAAATTTAAACCTTTGACCTCGCTACTTTGCCTTTTAACTAGATACCAACCGTTCAATGTGCACACATATGGCTTGCAAGTCATTTTATTCTATGCAACTTTTTTACGAAGGTTTAGTTATTTAAAATACTTGATTAAAAAGAAAACTGATGTAGCTAATGGTTTGTTATTGTAGATCAATTATATATTTTGTCCTATATTTGAGATATAATTACGTAAAAACTTGCTTTGAAGCACATAATAAAACTTATGACATCAATAAACAAGAGTCATGGCTACTTATTTCAAATGCAATAAATGAATCTCTAAAATAGGTTTTCAAGTGTTTGGTAGTGGAAATGTTGAACTTTAACGCTATTGTTTTGCACGAGAATATGATTCAATATTCTGTGTATTAACTGTAGGCTTAGAAGCAAGTGTGAGAAAGCAAGAGAAAGAAACTGCAATATATTACACGATCAGCATTACAAGATACATAGGAAATACATTAAAGAACATCACAAAATTTTTGGTGTCTGCCTTTTGACATCACACTTATAGTACACTACAAATACAATAAAGATTTGGCCATATCATCATCATCCACTGAAATTTGCAGGCAGAGACAGCCTCACATGAATTGCTAAAGAATAATCCAGGAACCAAGGCCTCAGGATGAGAGCTACCCATTGCGCATCATGTGTCTTTCAAACTGTGAAAACCAAAGAGACAAAAAGACTGATCACTTGCATCACAAAGCGCACTATATTCGAGGCAATGAAACAAAATAAACTTGAGTTTCCAGTCAAGTATGATGCAAAACCTCGGCGTTTTTCAACTTCTGCTTCTCTAATTCCTCAGCAAGATTATCGATTCTGAAATTCGAAAAACAGATATAACATTAGTTCCATGAAAGTTTGGTTGGAAATAGAAAGGCAAGTTGAATTCATTGGACTTGAAGTAATACCTCTGTTGCAAATGAACGACCTGAGATTGTAACTCTCTTTCCCTAGAGGAAGCCGGAGGCATCTGGACATCATATAAACATAACTATTACTTTGAGGCCTAGAAATTGTCACGTTCAAAGCACAAATAGTTGCATTCATTTCTTTTCACTGGAAGTTGGTTGCGCTCAATTATGTACTAGTTAGCAGCTTTTAAATTCATCTACATACCTGCAGAGTTTCACTGGTGACTGTCTCTGATACATCTGGATTCTTGCCTGAGTCAGTCAACAAAGATATAGCAGAAGAAAAGGTGCCAAAAAGCCATTTATAAAATAAAAAATGGGGAAATACCAGTCATTTGTTCCAAATACTTGATCAATTTGACGATCTCTTCCTGTCAGCATTAATGGAGAAAAATAAGAAATTTATTTTGAAGCGTTGCCCTTGGAAATAAGAAGGTAATCAAAACAGACCCGTTGCAGGATGTTCTGCTGCAAAATGCATTGCATCGGTGGGAGGAGCAGAGCAGGTGTAAAGTTCAGGGACGTCGGACTTATCGTCCCTCCGCAGACTGGACTAAATGAGCCCGTCATAGGACCCTAAATACAAAAAGAGAATGGCAATGGTTACAAAGCCATTGCCTAAAAGGTAAATGTCTAAGTTCATTGGTTATTGAGAAGTCAAATGAACAAAATCCTATGTCATACCATATCCAAACTGGTGATGTAGGAAATCAAATGAAAACTAGTGATCAAAAGTCCACTTAAAAGCAATGGTATACATTTGACAGGAAAGTTTTTTACCAATCAAATGTACCAAGAGCCTCATAAAAAGTCGATAATGCAGAATAAAGTGCATGAAATTAACCAGCAAAGATGAACAAAAATGCATGCAAGGTATAAAATGGAAATAACCGGTAACAGATCCACAAGTACCACCACTTGTTCACTATAACATGTAAACTTAGAAAGAGCACATACTTCAATTTCTATGTAAAGAAACATTTCGTCACAAAATTTTGCTCAAATTGTTCAAAATAAGTCATATCCTAAGTTGCACCATACCTAAATTGATAAATTGGGACATGAGTTAAAATTAAAAATTGACATAATCAAAACTTCACTTGAAAACAAGGCTATGTTTGATGGGGAAACTTTCTACCAATAAAAAGTACCAAGAGCCTCAACTAGTCAATAATGTAGAAGGAAATGCAATATACTAAATCAGTTGCAAAAGCAAGCACGAACAGCATGCATTACGTGAAATTGAAATAACAGGAAACAAAATCAAGTATCAAAGTGGTTCACTGTAACAAATAAACTTGAACAGAAGATAATAAACCCCAATTTCTGTGTAGAGAGAAATATCTTAACGTCACAATATGATGTGATCTATGAAGTAGTCAATTCTAAATTTGAGTTATAGGTTAGTTAGCTGTTAGGTTCTGTTAGTTTGTTAAGTTTGTTTCGGCTAGCTCTAATCTGTCCGAGGTCCTCTTCCTATAAAAAGGAGGCCTACCTCCCTTGTTGAGGTTACTCAATAATATCATATTTTCTTATTATTGGTTTACGCCACAATATTTTCTCAAATTATTCAAAATAAAATGTTTCACAAATACAAAGGAATTTAACTAAAACTTGAGCAGCCTAGCATGTGCTCACGAGCATAATGAAAATTTGCAAAAGAAAGTTCATCTTTCTGAAAATGTTCAAACAGCCCATGAAAGAACAAAACTGAAACTCCTGACCTTTGAGTTTTTTTCTCCCTGACATGGTTACATAAACATAATAATGAGGATCAAACTTGATGGTATTTCAAGGATCACACTAGAAAAGGTAGCGTTGGCCAGGAAAAACAAACTGAGACAAAAGTTAGCATGCTTTCTATCATGGACCAATTTACTATAGATTTTTTTATTTTAATGAAAAACAAAACTTTCATTGAGAATAAAGGAAAGATTACAAGAGGGAAATATATATTTAAAAAAAAAGGAAAAAAAAAAGTCTAAAGGGCCAAGAAACAACCAAAACAAGAGAAAGAAAAAAGAAAAGAAACAAGACAAGCAAATTACATAAAGGGGCTCCAATTCAAAAGAATGTCAGATTTTGTGTATAAAGAACCTTTAAGTTGTTAATCTCTACGATACTTCCCTTCTAGACATGGTCAGAATCTGCAAGATGATTGAGTTGAGTACAGGATATCAAAATTGAATCAAAAATACCTTTGGACTGAGCTCTGCCGAAGTAACTTTAAATCGCCCCTTGCGTTGGACAACTGTTCCATCTGATGTATCATCGACTAAAAAAGATATGAAGGAATATTATTACCTTAAGTTGTAAATATGAAATAATTTAAAACCAGAGAGGAGATTCCTAAAGACATACCAGCTGAAATATTACTTGTATCTCTTTTCTGGCGATATAATAATGGACCACTGTAACTACGCTCAGCTGGAAGTTTTGACTGAAGATAGTCCCTTCATTGAAAATTGAAGAAAACGAGTCAAGGCCATACTTGCCTAAACCACATTGTGAACATCCAAAAAAGAAACATTAAATCAACCAAAAGAAGCTCATTCTCAAATTTAAATTTAAAAGCAACATCATGGACGGTGGCTGCCTTTCTTTCTGTTAAGAATATTGGCTGCTTTTTGCCTTTGGCCTTAATGGTGTTTGTAGTGTGAGGAGATGGCCAAGGATCCCTCGGACTTAAAATAAAGAAAATAAAATAATAAGTCAATTTCCTTCAAATAATCAGTTGAACAAAAAGGCTCACCCTCAAGTAACAAGCTTATTATCTATATAGTGGGTGAGGACAGATGAACGGTGGCTTCTCTGAAACTAACGAACCATGAACACAAAAACATAATGCGCAATTGCATACACAACACTATCAATATTAATCAGAATAAAGCATACCTATCACCATCTACAATAATCTTTTTAGGGGAAACTGCATTGTCAGAGATTAGTGAACCACTGAAGGACCTCTTATTCTCTGCCATGTAATGACGTGGTAAGGAACCACTTTGCCCTGAACTTTCACCCTCAGTTCTTCCATTTTCTCGATCCCCTGGCCTTACACTGTCTGTGCTTATATCTTCATAGATGTCAAAACAATCTCTGCATTGAATTATCAAAATGCACCATTACAACAAATAGAAATTGTTATTTCCGTTTCTCTTTAAAATATCAGATCAAAATTCACTAGTTTTTCCAAAATTGTAAAGTAAAATATGAATGCAACATAAAATGAAAAACTTACAAATTGTTCAGAGTACAAAATTAATTTCTTGACGTTTATTTAGTATAGATGTTCTAGGGAAATTTACATAATAACTAATAGACTATGGGGGTTAATAGAAAATAACCATACTTCAGTGCTTCGAGAGGTTTTATAGGGAAAGAAGCAAGGGAGCTCTCCAGATCATGAAGATCACTGAAACCATCCTAAAACAGACGGACAGGAAAAAGGATGTCAGAAAATGTTTGGTCTATAGTCAACAGACTATTTGAACTATTGATTCAAATAACAGATGCTAGTTTTTCCATGTCAACAATAAAAGATTTTAGTAAAGAAGGTTTTGAATTCATAGGCAGTAAAACCTCCTGACTAGCTGCAGCAGTTAGGTGATTCGGCTTTTCAAGGGATGAACCCTCTACTGGAAAGCTAAAATCATTATTCTTGTTTCTTTGCTTTGTTGTATGTACATCTAAATCTTCTATGTTTGACATATCATCATCTTGAATCTGCAGGAAACTCAATAGTCAGAATGTAAAAAGACTTCACTAACAATTCTGCTAAGAAATTGAGGCATAAATTTCCGTAAACACTAAATTAGGCAATATTAATACTTACAAGGGCAGCCTGATTCTTTAAATCCTCAAGATTGAAGTTCCAGGCACTAATTCCTCGAATATACTCTTGCTGTGCAGGATAACAGAATTTAGATAACAATAACGCAAAGCCAAGACAAAAGATACTAACTTTTTCTTTATTTTAAACAATATACAATTAACAAACTTGAAGTACATTCAGATCAAGCAATTGAGATGTACAAATAAACCGAGGAGTAGAAAACTAGTTGTTCCTGTTTGCCCTTACTTTTACATATTATTTGTCTCCAATCAATGGTCCGATAAGGTATCATTTCACAATTATTAAAACAACCAAGAATTATTTTGGATCGCTATGGGGTTCTCCATGACATGGGTCGTTTTCCTGAAAACTATTAGAAGCAATTTCTTGAAGAAGCCTTGAGTTATATTGATTTTCATGTGGTGTTTGCAATCATTTACTCGAGTCATATGCTTTTGTGTTGAGTACAACACACCTGAAATCTAGGGTCCAAAGCCAAAATGCCAATAGCACAAGCATGCATCTTAAACCATCATACAAAAATTATATAGCCTTCAACATCTCAGATGTTAAGTTTTTATAATTAGCACCTGTGACAAATGCTCCTTGTCCCCATACAAAGCCTTGTTCTGCCCTAGAAGATCAGCTTCTTTTGCCTGTAAAGGAAAAAGACAAACGATTGAACGAACTATCCATGTTTTCTAGAAAGTTGTCCAAGCTGGGAAAAGAAAGGCCTGAGATAAGCTTAAGACCTGTAGCTTCTTAAAACGTTCCCCTAATGGAGAAAGGCCATCCAGAATTGTTCGAGCAAGATAATCAACTGAACGGGCTTGTTTAAAAAATGGGTGCTTTAAGAGCTTCTCTGAACTTGGCCGTTTCTTAGGATCCTTCACTAGGCATGTAGCCACCATTTCTTTGAACGACTGAAGCCAAAATAAATAAATAAATAAATAAATAAATAAATATATATATATATATATATATATAATAAGAAATTTTTATTACAAAAAATGATATAAACAAGAGAGGGGAGAGAAAATAAAAGGAAGGCTCCTGAAATAACAAAACATAAACAAAATTATAAAAATCGGTGGGTATTTAAAGCTCCCTATGAGATCACATACCTTAGAGAACCTCTTATCTCTTTCATAGTCGAGACCAGGAGGAGCATTTTGTAATGTCATTAGCAAAACCTGTAATGCCAAAGAACCGAGTGACATACAAAAGTTGAACTTAGTCAACTACAGCGGTCATATACACCAGTAAGTTCACAATGCTTTCGTTTCCACAGAAAAAATTGATAATGCCAAAGTGCTGAGTAACATACGAAGGTTGAACTTAGACAAATACAGCAGTCATATACATCAGTAATTTCACAAGTTTTTACATGTTCACAGAAAAAACTGATAAGGACATTGAGAACATACTTTCATTGGTGGGTACTTTGAAAATGGAGCATGCCCATGAGCCAGTTCAAGTGCTGTTATTCCAAATGACCAGATGTCTGCCCTATTTCAGAAAGGAAGAAAAAGACACATAAAAGAAAGCGTATCACAGAAAAAACTTCTGGCTTAGCCTTACCCTTCTGCACGATACTAATAAAAAAAAAAAAGAAGAAGAAGAAATACTATAATATAAGTGACGAGATATCACATCACATGCAGATAAGCAACCTACTCACTTGAAGTCATATCCATGTAATTGCTGCATAACCTCAGGTGCCATCCTGAGGATTTCAAAAGAGGAAATGTCTCAGCATTACTTCCCTTCTTTTTAGTTACAGCTCTAAATCAACGAATAACAGAACAACCCCAAAATATCTAGTGAGGAATGGAAGGGTACCAGCAAGGAGTTCCAACAAATGTGTTTCTTGAGCGTTGCCTATCTCCAGTATCAAACATGCAGGCTGAGACTCCAAAATCAGCTAACTTGACCGTACCATTAGAATCAATTAAAATATTCCCAGCCTGCCAAAAAATAAGGCAAAATACAAATAACAAAAACAACAGAGTAAATAACTTTACCTAGAAAAGGGACAAATCACCTAACAACATTATGTCTTGAATTAATGTCTTGACATGCAGGAGAAGAAACTCCAATGCCACCCAATGGCCAAAGTACAAAATTGAGCTAGATTGTTCAGTATGTAGTCGTCCATTAACATTTAGTTCAATAGGAAACTCAAGAGACTTATGTGGGACTACCATCGTTGCTAGCAACTGCATGGAGGTGTAGTTCAATGCAAGGCATCAGTTATCTCAGGTGGGAAGTAGTTGAAAACTTGAATATTATTTTATCTCTAACACGAGAAGGTCTTTCACCTCTCATCTCCTTACTGGAGTTCATATGGATAAAGAATGAAATTAGCTATTCTCCAGGTAAAGCTCATAAGTTGAAAAAACTAAATTTAGAGACAAGGTTCTGCATTCTCCATAATAAAGATTTCTAGCCCTGTCAAACACATTACATGTTTTTTGAACAAATTATATTAAATGCTTGTGACCTTAGTTTCTAGGATGCTATTGTTATTTCTTTTACTAAATGTTGCATTGGTATCCAGCAGTGCTATTCAATTATTAACAATATGTTTGTCAAAATATGATAAGATCTTGGAGCTGTACTCAACCTTTACATCTCTATGAATGTGGCCATGAGCATGAAGATAAACAAGAGCTTTCAGAACCTCGCGCAACAAAGTAGCTATGACAGGCTCATCAAAACCTTCAGAATAAGTAGATTTCATAATATGAAGGCAAGATCCCCCAGACATGTAAGGCATCACAACCCAGAGGTGGTGGCCAGCTGTGAATGAACAATGTGCTCTTAATAAATTTGGATGATCAATCAAAGTCATTGTTTGAACTTCTCGTCGAATACCATCCTGAACAATTTCTTCCAACATTAGTTGTAAAAACACAATGCATAACAATTGTTTTTAGAAAAATTTTATCAGACTAGTTGCTTGTCTTAAAATGACTTTGTCAAATTTGCCAAATACTGCGCGGGTAAATCTAAAATATGCTCCTAATGTAAATAAAATATATATATATATATAAGAATTATGCTTGAGGATATTAGGAAAGAAAGGGGGAGAGAGAATATCCTCAAAGTGATATCCCTAATACAGCAAACTTAAAATTTTCTGGAATGTAAATTGAATGGTTAAATACATTAAATGCTAGGTCAGATAAAGAAACACATTAAACGGAAGGGAAAACAATAGCAGGCATAACAGAACAATCTGTGTAGAACAGAATAATCCAGTTCCCCCAAAATGATGACATTGCTTACTTGAGAAACGGTGACTCCACTTTATAAAAAAAAAAAACATTAAAGTTCGGATATATAAGAAATATAAATAACTTTTTGCTGAAAGATACAGTTAGGACTTATGAAACAAGGTAATCACATACAAAAGGTGAAAAAAGCTCCACAAGTGTTATTAAAATGAGAAAGAAAAAAAATCCCAGAGGTTGAACAACATACTAGGTCATTGTTGCACTTCTCCAAATCAAGAACCTTTATAGCGACAATCTCATTTAGTGGAATGCACAGTGCTTTGTACACAGTGGCACTGACGCCTTCACCAACTTCTTCATGTAAGTTATAATCCTTTGCATTCAATGGATATTTTTTTTCTGAAGGATTCTCCATAATTTTCCTTTTACATTACAGTAGTGAACCTTTTTTGCCCACCGATGTCCCAACTGATGTAAAATTAAATAGAATGTATTCTGAAGAAATAATCTTCAAATCAATGTAAGGCATCTTCCATTTCGATGGCATGTTTCTCAGAGCAGCAGGACACTGTAAATAATTCGTAACTGCATCAAGACAATTGGAAAATGAGTTCATCCGATGAACCCCAAAAAGTTGATATCAATATGCATGCCAACAACTGAACAAAGCTCCCAAGACCACTGAAAAAATTTCTGCACATATAAATATGATGAAGAACAAGGCATATTAGAGGCAAAAGGAACAAGTGTGGTAACAAACTCAAAAGGGGAAGAAATTTAGAAAATCTAACAAAGCTCCAACAAAGACTTACTTTTAGATTTTCACAACTGAAAATGAATGTAGACAAATCAAAAGTCACTTTACTTCATGAACTCTCTGAAACATGCAACAGTTTGGGTCAAAATATATGCACAAAATTCCAAATTTTCATGTCAAATTTGCCAAGATCGAAAATTATTTAACCAGCTACTTTTCTTAACTGTTTATTCTAGTAATTATCATTTCATGACTGATGTGAATTTAAAAGTATACATCATATATGTAGAAAATGATAGGAACTATATGACTGCAGAAGTACATTCAATAATTCCATCATAACAGCTTTCAAGAATAAGCAACTAATGCATGTATTTTAACACTTGTTAAACACCACACAGCCAAGCCCAGAGGCCATACAAGGTAATACAGGATGGTACATTAGCCACACCAAGAAACGTTGTTCAATATTGATAGAAACTATAAAATTAGAATGGATATTGTATAGAACAAAAAAATAGAGTGAAATAATTTAAGTAATCCAGGGACCTTTGATACCTCCCTCTTGAGCAAGCTCAATCCCAAACTACAAATTTCCAAACATCACCCCCTCTCGCACACTCCATTTATATAGTCATCTTCAGACTAACAAACTCCCTGATTATGACTAATATAACATTAATGAAAATCCTATCATTACTGAGCTCCCAAAACACACCTTGTCATCAAGATGTGCATCAAGTGTTGGTAATTGATTGGCACCATCTCCTCCCAAGTTCATGGTGATTTATGTGGAAGCATGCCAATCGACTATAATTTTTTTACCAGGGACTAGGGCAAATTGTATGAGGCTGAAAGGATGCTCTAGACCCAACATTCTCCCAAACTATGTCCCATTGCTGCACAATGGCAGCTTGCATAACATCATCTCAACCCTAAAATAATGCTGCCTTTCGACTCCTGCTGTCCTGCACAATAATATTTGGCTCCTTTCTGTCATCATCCTTAACCATTGAATATATACCATATCATCTACGATTAGTTGGCCACAATTGGCAACATCCAGCCCCCACATTGCGGTTATACTTGTATTGTTTTTTTTTTAACAAAAACGAATTTCATTAATGGATACACCAGTCAAAGGTTATAATAACAGCTCCCTTAGGGAGAATAAGGAAAAATAAAAACCCCACAGACCTTCCTAACAACATTATACTTGTAATTAGCCTCTTTCCTTCTCTCCTACATTTAAGATTTCTATTATAAAGATTCGCCAACTTGCTGAAGTTGTTCATTCACGACTATTCCAGCCGAATTTGCTACACCAAACTCCAACTACTTCCATCCCACCTGTAAACCACTTCCAGTTCCAACCTTCCTTGTGTGCTTGCTTGCTTAGGAAGATTCTCCAACTTCAGCAAGTTGTACATTTGCTGCCACTCCTGCCAAATTCACTACACTGAACTCCAATGGCTTCCATCTGACCTGGAAAGTGGAACGATCAACCTAGTCCCAACCTTAGTTATATTAGTATTGCTATGCTATTTCCCTGCGTCTTACTGAAAGCTAGAACTCCAACCCTAATTACAGCATTGACCATCAATCATAGAGCCCAACTGTGATTTTTCTCTTACATTGTAAAACCCAGAGACTCGTACCCAAAATTTCCTATCCCTAGGCATTTTGGTATTACTACCAATCTACCATTATATCCTTTACCTCTACTGCAATCCAACCGAACCCCAAGTATGTTGCCATCCCACACTACCCACAGAAGAAGTATGGACACATGCATGTATCTTTCCTTAGGTAGGTTGGTATGTCCTGATCGTCTTCTGATACAGTCCTCAATGCTTCTTCTTAAATATCCGTTGGCTTACTACCCTATCCCTCTATTCTGTATTCTTAATTGTTAATTGAAGGTGTGATTCCTATAACTGGGAAAAAAAAAATAATAAGGGGAGGGAAAGGGGTGTAAAAACCCTTGATCCTTTACGGATATCAAATGATAGAGGCTAGGAGCACGCTTATGCATGACCTGACTCTTCTAACACGCTCTCCTAAGAGCTTGCTACAGGAAGGATGCTAATCTACAGAACAAGCTATGTTTACTTATTGTGGCTCTAGCCCCCAACCCAACATAGCTTTTCAAACAAAATTTCTCAAACACTGGATTCGTGACTACCCATTCATCACCTCACTAACAAGGAAATACGTCCTGTCAGCAGAACGACAAATAAATGAATAACCTTTCGATAAAAAGACCATAGTGTTCCAACTTTCAAATCTTCAAACTAAAATCTACAGCAAACACTGACAAAAATCTCCAATTCCCAAATCCAGACACCACATTCAATTGGCGCAAACAAACGAATTCCAACTTCAACTCGTAACTAACAAAATTCTAACTTCACGATGCACAATTAACACTCCACATCAGCAATCGCTTAAATCCTTTTAGTTTAAAGTAAAAACAAATGCATATCAGATAAGAGAAGCAGCTGAAACGAACAAAAACAAAGTCGACATCAGATTGGAACAAACAGAACAGAATTGCAATCAGATAGGAGAGAATACCACAGAAATTGACTTCCCGCAATTGTCAAACGCAGCTAGGGTTAGACGAGTGAAGCTAACAACAAACTCCGGCGAAAACAAAAGCGGAAAAAGCAGCAGAGAAGTGCATCGAAGTGGATTTCAGTTTGCAGTCCAAGTAGAAACAGACGATGAAGGTCCAGATTTGGGCTCTCCAGTGACTGAATTTCACCTTCTTTTTTTCCTATTTTCCTTTTTTCTTTTTTTCTCTGCATCCAACTACTAATTATTGAGCCTGAGTTCCCGTGATCGAATCTCTCGCCGTCGCCGCTAATAAAAATATCAAAGAGAAACAAAAAAAAAATACAATATAAATTAAAAATGACAATTAATAATCAAATATATTTTCTGGAATTTAATTACAATCCCAGAAAATATGAATGGAGACGCATTAGATGCAAATGAAATGGTCTTTTAAGAGGAAAAGTTTTTAAAATGAAAAATGAAAATAAAAAATAGTTATGGTTATAAGATCGTGCAGGTGGAGCTGGGTAGGTGGGGCCCGCCCCAGAGGCGAAGGGCTTCTCAGTTCAGCGGTTGAAAACATCGGCCGCACTGGATTTAGATCGGCGATTTTTTCAGTTTCAGTTTAGTTTATGCCATTTGCCAACTTGCAAATTTATAGATAAAACGTGTTCACAAAATCGGATGACTTGTAAAGGGATTTTTGTTTATTTTTAAATGATTTCAAATTTAGTGTGAGTTTATCATTATTGACAAAATTAAGGGGTCAATTGTTCACCACCAAAATTAGTCTAAGAGATTATTTAGAATTATTTTGATAGTTATTCATTTTTAGGAATTTTTTTTTCCAAAAATCTACTTAGATTGAGCGGTAAAATGTAGTCCTCGAGATCATTTATAGAATGGGGACGTGGCAATTTGATGAAAGCTTAAGTTTTTAGTTGGAATGACGCTATTAATAATTTTCTTCCTATTATTTTTTTATATATGATTGAGAATGATGGAGATTGAAGACTAATGCCAAGAATGAGATTGCTTTCGTGTGATTTGGGAGTGCAATATATGATTTCAAATCAAAGTTCTCTAAGAGATAATGGAAAAGTTTATAGCGATTTATAAGTTGAGTTTTAGGGGGTAGGAGGAATAGATCCATTTTTTGAGACGATTGCATCAATCAAGTTAGGAGAAAGGATGTGTGGATTGAGTGCAAGAAGTCAACATGGAAAACATTTTGACCTTGTAGTTGACTAGTAGATTTAACTATTTATATTATGTTACAAAAAAAACGTAGAAACATCTTCATTCATTATATCATGTGAAATAATCTAAAAATATAGACACTTCAATCTGCTTCTCTCTCGTCGTAGGATAGGAGTTGGAGTTATTGTTGTAAATTTAAATAAATAGAAATAATACTCACCTTCCTCAAGAAAACTCTTCCAACGTTAGAGAAATTGTCGAATACTCTTATTGACGAATGCAACAACTATACATTTCCATGGATAAAGAAATCAAAATTAGTTTTATCGATACAAAGAGCCTTGTCCTGATGCTCGATGTTTTTGTTTTAGAAAGTACTCAAGGACCAATATTCTCAAATAATATCTCAAGCTATGAGTACTCGTTTGGTTTTTCCTTCATTTTAACTACGTACCTAATTATACTCACTTTGCCCACTTTGTTAAAAACATCTTTACTATCGATCTAAAAGCAATATCAAACTTACCAATTTTTCCTAACTTCCTATGGTCATAGCTAGCTAGACATGATACTACAGAGAAGAGAATGATGTATTATATTGATGTGAAAAATCATCCATGAACTTCATTGATGAATTCAGCCCAAGAAAGTATTAATACAGCCACTCCCTTACAAGGCCTATTTCAGCCCAAAAAAAAGGTATATCCCAAGTAATTTGCTTTGGCATCAGGAGGAAGCTTTATTAAGTTGGTTGAGTTTTTTCATGGTTGACAGAAAATATTGAAAAAATGAGATATAGGAGAATGACATATGAAGAAGACAGCCAGGGCTGAGAATATGTGGCTTTTCTGAGAAGTTATGGCCCTTTTTTCTCTTTTTGTTTTCTTTTCTTTTAGTTTCCATGTGGTTTCTTGCTCTTTATGGAGGATTGTTTTTCTCTGTTGAAGACCTTGGAGTAGGGTAGGGATTCCCTTATTTAATAGTGGACGTATAGGATTAGGGTCCCGAGATGGGAAAATGTTACGAGCTTTGTGTGATTGTTATATGTTTTGGCCTAGTTTATGAGGTATATGTGTAGTTTATTTATATGTTTTAGTTGCATTGTTGACTTTTTTGTTAGTGTTTGATCTCTAGAACTTTTTCAAACCGGTCTCCTTATTCTTTTGTGTGTCTTGATCCATCTTTACAATATACTTGACCTTTAGCGTGAAAAAAAAAATCTTAGGAGAACAACCCTAATAAAAAAAATCTTAGGAGAGCAACCCTAATAAATAGTTAGAAATTTAATAAATACAAATTATTCAACTTTATATTTATGTTTATTATCTACTATGGACTTAAATTGGTATAATTTTATTTTTGAATTACACCTTATGATATCGCGTCATGTATTCAATACCATATGTGAGTTCATTTAATTTTTCAGATAAAGATCCTCAATGATGGGTGCAAAGTAGATTTTAACGGTTAAAAAGTTATTAACTATCAAATCACGATTTAATTATTCAATTTTACAAAACTTAATAAGGATCACCTAGTTGAAAAATAATGTTGTATAAAAACCAAATGATATGTATATTTATTTTTGTTGCTGCTTCTTTCATAAATTAAAACTTTTGTTAGCATGAAACTTTTACATGTGTATTATATTAATAATCAAAGATTTAGGTAAAAACTAGTATTGCTTAGGGGTGATTGGCATAAAAAAAAAATCAAAGATTTAGAATTTCCTTCCCCATCTATTATTTTTCAAGGAAAAAGAACTCAAAAACTTATATTCAAATCCAAATGTTCTAAATTATATAGAAACAAGAAAGAAAAATTAGGTGCGGAATTTTGATGTTGATCTCATTATCATTAGACAAGCCATTTAGCTCATCAATCAAAGTCATACTTATTCTGAGGAGAGACGTTCATTATCTGTTGACATGTTTGGTAACGTTTTCATTTTTGTTTCTTCTATTTTCACAAGGAAAAATATAATTAAATATCCCACAACCCAACAACTCATACATTCAAGAATGATAAAGCAACATTTTTTTATGTTGGAAAAGACTAGAGACATGCATAAACAAAAAACTTATTTTTGTTGTTTCTAAAATTTTTATACAAATTTTGACAAGGTCTCTAAAAATTGAAAAACAAGAAATATAAATAGTTGTTAAATGATTAAATTTGTAGATAAATTTGAAAACAATAAACAAGAACGAGGAACGTTATCAAATATGTCCTAATATTTATGTTTATTGTTTCTCATTTCTCATTTCTAGGTTTTGAGAAACATAAGCTACGGTAATGGTTCCTATTTCTCATTTCTCATTTTAAGAAACGTTTTTCTAACTTGTGTAAAAATTTCAAAAACAACAAAATGAAATTTGTTATTTCTTGTCTCGTTTCTTATTTTTTCCAAACACATAAATAAAAATATTATTTTATTATCTTTAACTTATAAAATGTGTAATAAATATTAAAAATAAATATAAGATAAATTTTTTAAATATTTAATTTTCATATTAAAAATTTTAGTTTTTAAATTTAAAACTTTAGAGAATAGGTAGGATGTTTCTATTTTTTTTAAATAAAATAAATAATAAACAAGAAATAATTACTCATTGCATCTCTTTTTTTATTTATTAAAAAAAACAAGAACAAAAAAAATGTTACCACACGGGCTAGGTCTTTTTCTCCCTCTATTTAATTTTTTTTCTTTTTTTTCTGAGGTGTTATATATAACTTTCTAGAATGCGTGTGTTTGCGATTGTTTGGTGATGATCTAAATTTTCTACCCATTTTTTCTATTGTAAACAATAAATTATAATGAAAGAGGTAGCGATTGTTGCTTGTTTTATATGATAATGACTTCATAATAATTGTAGGGAAATTTCATCAAAATTTTCTTTAATTAGGATGTGTTCGTGGGAAGCTTTTGTTAGAAGTTTTTTTTAATGGAAAAATATCAAAATTAACTATATATTATAAAAGCGAATTTTGGATCCTTTTTAGAATAATGTTTTTAAATACAAGAACAATGGAGTGTTTTTCAAAGGACTTTAAAATACAATATTTTTAAAATTTCTAAAATAATCTTCAAATATATAACCAAACTCCATGAAAAATAAGCCTGTAAGTAAAAGCTTTAAAAGCTTGCAAAGATCTAAAATTATTTATCTGCTCAATTTAGGTGATGAACATTAATTCACATCACATCATGATAAAACCAAACTCTAAACTCCCAAACAACAAGTTTGGAGACTTAATAAATAAGTTTTTTTACAATAATATTTTTATTAAGGAATTGAGAATCTCGATTCTAAACTAATTCTAAAGTAGAATCGTTAAGGCACGTATCTCCGATCTAAAAATTGTAAGTTTGAACTTTCATCTTTATATGACCTGTTAAAAGCTACGTTGGTGTTTGATGGATTAAATTTGAGTCGGCCATATATTTTAGGTTATTAAATTTTTTAAATACAACTATGGTTATACCAGGGTTGGGTTCACAAAATAAAGTAAGAGAAAGAGCTTCTTTAACTTTTTTTTTTTTTTTGGGCTATGAGAAATGAAGGGCGACCAAGCTAATTAAACTCATAGCATTAATGAATGATTGAGGGCAAAATGACCATTTTGCCCTAGAAACATAAAGGAGTAAAAAAATTCTACTAGTCCCTCTAAATACTTTTTATTATCGTCCAAATATAACCTATTTGCATTATCTTTGTGGCATGCACAAATTACTTTTTACTCACAATTATTTTTAGGGATCTAAATGATTAGAAATGCGATCAAGTCAGTTATTAGCTAGTGAAGCTGAAGATCCATATATATAAGTGAGAGACAACATCTTTATTATTATGAGACTCTTTTTGTGAAACAAAGAATAAAGTCACGAAGACTTATGTCCAAAATAAATAATATCATATGTTTATGAAAATGTGGAGGGTCATTGTCCCAACATAGATATTTAAAATTATTCTCTTTGATCAGTCTTTTACTCCCTATTTTTCCAACAATTATAATTTTTATTTATTTCTATGATTAAAGAACAATAATATGAGAAGTCTCGTCGGTCTTAATAATCAAATCCTTAATTTATTTATTTTTTCGGTATAGAATTCTTTTTTACTGTATAGAGTTGAAATCTCAAGCGAAGTCCTAATGAATTATTTAAATGATTTGATTAGCTCATGACATATCAGAAGCTTCCTTTCTATCAAAATCAACATTATCCACCAATGGCAAAGAAAGGCCACAAAAGAAAAAAAAATTAAGTAAATCATGGTGGTAGGTGAAAATAGGAAATTAAACAAAAATCACACAGTTGATTACTAATTAAAAATTTTACTCAACATAATGATTAAATTATACCCCTTCGCTTGAACGAGTAATCGTAAAAGTAGGGAAGGAAACTCTGCCTTCTTTGTGGTCTTGTGACCATTTACATTATTATCCACCTTTTAAGAGAAAGGTCTCCGAGTCCACCTAGCGAACTTCTCGTTTCTTTTTTTTTCTTTCAAGTTTTATTAAGAAATCTAGACATTTGACAAGTATTTATATTTCTTGTTTCTCATCTTTTAGAAACGATTTTGGAAACAATGAAAATAAATTCCTTGTTTCTTGTTACCATTTCTAATCTATTGGAAGCTATTTACCAAATGTCACGTGTCAACAATTTAAAGATGTTTCTACTTGAACAATTGGGATTATGACAAGTTCCTTTAGCTTGAAGGTGCAACACCAAGCCGAGCTATCGTAACTTAACAAAGGTACAAGCCAACTTATTTTATTTTGTCCACAAGAATGTAGATACCATGTTATTCCGATAGCACACCGTATTTCATGGACAGTTAGATGGCAGTTATGTTGCTGTCGAGGGTCTTGTCGGAGTTCATCCCTATAAATAGAGATGCATGCTCTTTATACAAGATACGTAAATTCATATATTGACTGACTTACTCGTTGGAGTGCTAACCTTATCTTGCATGTTCCTCATGAAAAGAGGAGGGATCGTCACAACTATTTCGATCTATTTGGATTTTGAACTTAGTCAATTTTCGGATCAAAATTAATCTATTCCAAAATAGAAACAAAAACATATGTTTGTCATTAATCCTTAATGCATTTCTCCAAAACAGAAACAAAATCATATATTTGTCATTAGTCCCTAATGCATTTCTTCATCGACTTCGACAATGAGGCTGTGGCGTGTTCTACCTTTATTAAAGGCTTAAACAACGCACAATGACTGATTTTGTTGCTTAAGTTTTATTTATATTTGTTATTCAAAAATGAAAGAAATAAAAGACCTTCAAGGGGGAGTCCAAAGCATTACCTACTTTTTCCGTTGGATAATTACAAATATTACCTGCTTATTCTGTAAATACCAAATCTATCCATTTCGTTAATATTAACTATAATAAAGAGTATAATTTATAAATTTATAAGTCATAAAAGTATTTAAAATTTTAAATACGTGGAAAAGGAACATACCTCAAAGTATTTATTCATTTTTTAGGAGTTGGAGGTTCAATCTTTCATCTCCACGTTTGTTCGATGAAAAAAACATCCTTGGTTATAAATGTTTTGATTTTTAATATTTTTTTCATGGCAAGTAAATCTATATACTCAATATAAAAAGAATAAAAAATACAACGAGTGAATCTTTAATATTACAAGTATTATTACAATCAAGTCATACATTATAAGACATGTAAAAATACATCATATAAGGAAGATTTCTTTTCTTTTCTTTTTTTTTTACAAAGAAAAAGGAAGATTTATAATTATATTATATATTTTTAGTATTCCTTATGAATAATAAATAAATAATTTTATATTAATTAATGTTAGTGAGCATAATATTGACTCTTACGTATTCCCAAAAACAGTTACCTTAGATTATGGGTCAACTTTATTTTCCAAGCATACGTTTTTTTTTTCTTTTTATTATTTTTTTTCTCTCTTTTCCCCCTTCATTTATGAATATTTTCTATTCTTTTTTCTAAGGAAGATATTTTTTATTCCAAAGTCTACTATTCTTTGCCTTCTAGAAACCAAAATCACACCCTAATGCTAAGCCACATTCATTAGTTCCTAGGTTTGCCCACTATCTTTGAAAAGAAATTCAGCTAAATATATATACTTTTGTTATTGATATTTGTATTACTTTGCAATTTTATTTACACTAATTTTTTTAAAAATAAAAGTCTTAGGAGCGGTGACATAAATTTACTAATAAAATGAATAACGTGATATTTAAATATAGTATAGTAATTGAGTTACAAATACTTTATATTTTTCTCGGGATTTAAACTTCTAACTAATTTTAACTAGTAGATTATTGATGCCTTAATTAGTTACACTATACTATTGTTAGTCAAAATATTTGGTATTCAAGTTAATTAAAATATACTAGATTAGACATACACATTCTTAAAATCTCATACTTAGCCCACTTTATATAATCTCATATGCAATAATTAGCCAACTTGAACCTAAGACATTTATCCCCGATTAAAATATCGTGAGTGACATCACTTGTCTTATCTTGAAGGGTGCAATCCCTCCACTCATTTTCTCCAGTCAAGAGGCTGTGAGTTCGATCCCTATCCTCACGACTCAAAAAACATAAAAACAAAATACTACTTTATTAATTTTACTCATTTAATTGAAAAAGAAAGTTTATATGGATTTGATTGGAAAAAAAAGTTTATGTGGAAACAACAAATTTTAAAATTGTATCTTTCTTGGTTAAAAAAAAAAAAACTTATTTAAAATTTCCGCCATAGTCATGAGATACATGAGAGATAAAAAAGAAGTTTGATCCATTTTAAGTGTTGTAAAATGAAAGGATAATATGTATTAAAAAGAAATAGAAAAATGAAGGACAATATAGAAATAATAATGCAACAAATGAAGGGCAAAATTAGAATTAAAAATTTCTCCTTATATATAGTATGGATTATTAATATATTGGACTTTTAATCCATCCAAACTTCTTTTTCAATCGATTATTTTCAATATTTAATAAAAAAATCTATTATTTTCAATTTGATAATAATTAATGATATTTTACTACTTTTAATCCATCGAGACTTTTTTTTCTTTGAAAACTAATAATCCCACTTTCATACGAAGTTTCTTGCGTTTATTGTACCATCAAAGGAAGAAATTTACTTTTTAAGTTATATTTAAATTATTGTAAACTTGGTTTTTTTTAACTTATTTCAAGATAGATTTAGCTAAGATTTCAAAATTATGGAGTCATGAAGGAAGACTAATTGTGTTACTAATAAAGTATAAAGTTTACTTGCTAAAAAACAATTTTTTTTTATGTAGAGAAAATATTATAAAATCGTATTGTTGCACCATGTTTTCAATTGGATATATTTATGATTTCACCTGTATTTATAAAATAATAATGTGCTTCAATAATAATGGAATATCATTCAATAATTATTGAAAACAAAATATTGAATAGAATTTAATCATTATCGAAAATTATTAAATGATTATTGCTATTTCTTTGGAAGTTGTTATAACTAAATATCCATGTATAATTTTGGCTATTAAAAAGAAAAAGTTAACATGTTTATATGAAATTTTTTATTATTAATAATTAGAATGGAACATCATTAAAAAAATAAAAATAAAGATATTGTTTAATCGCTTATTATAGCCAACAAAAAGTTTCAAAATATAAAAATAAAAATGTTTAAATTATGAGTTAAATAATGTATTTAAGAGATAATAAAATTATAATTAAACTTTTTTTTTACGATGTGGTTTTAAACCTTATTTGCACAGGAGTCATATAGGTGTTTATTTATTTTTCTTGAGGCAAGTCATATAGGTGTTTATTAATTACTAGTGAAAATTAAAATTTGATATTAATTTTAGTGTTAATTTTTACCCGACTCTTCTTTAATGTTCTTCTCTCTCTGCAACAACCTCCCCTTTATAAATATGAAAAGGCCGCTTTAACTTCTTCAATGGCGGCCATGGAAGCAGAAGAGACAGAGGAAGAAGGATCGCCTCAATTTTGGAAGGAACTAACTTCTCCTCCAACTATGGAAGACGACGGTGCTTTGGATTTCTGTCCAAGCTTCAACAGCTATTCTATCGACGGACTTGCAAATACTGCTGCGAGAGTTACCAGGGAGTTTGAAGGAATGGGCGGCGGTGAAGAGGATGAATTCGAATTTGTTTCGTTTCAGAAGACTGGAGAACAAATGGTTTTCGACTGTCCGATTGGTTCTGTTTTTCCTATCTTCAATTACGACCTATTGGAGAAGAGTGATGGAGCAGAGGTGTATGATTTTAACCACGGAAATGCTCCGACTGTAAGGATTTCTCTGGAGAAGCTTATAATTGATGATCGTGATAGGGAACGTGACCGCGATCGTGATCCTCCGTCGTCGTCGTCGTCTGATGCCGACGAATTGGACGGAATTCCACCGGGAACATACTGCGTTTGGACGCCTAAGCCAGAGCAAGAGGCGGAGCGAGGAAAATGCAAGAAGAGCAAGTCCACTGGATCAGGATCCTCGTCTTCAAGACGGTGGAGGCTCCGAAATTTGCTTCCACGAAGCAACAGCGAAGGCGGAAAGAATCTGTTCGTCTTCTTAACACCGTCTTCGAAGGCGGCGGAATCGACGAGGAAGAAAGAAGAGAAATCAAAGAAATTAGGCGAAGGCGTCAAGGGAAAGAAGAGCTGTTCAGAGGCCAACGTCGTCACCGGAAAATCAAAGGTCAAAGGAGGCTCCGTCGAGAAGCCATCATCGGCGCACGAATTATTTTACATGAGGAACAGAATGTTGAAGGAAGGAGATAGGAGACGATCCTACCTTCCCTACCGGCAAGAACTCGTCGGATTCTGGGCCAATCTAAACAGCGCGAGCAAAGCGTTCCCTCCATTCTAGGGCTTCTCATCAGGTTCTACTAAATTGGATTGCTTAGAGTAATTATTTTGTTAATTTTGATAATCGTAGTTATTAACATACATCCAAGATTTTTTATCTTTAAACACAGAACCGATTGGTTTGTTTGGCTGTATATATAAATATATGATTATATATTTATATAGTTGATGTTTCATGTTTGTTTGAGATATATAACATAATCTGTGATTTCGTAACCCTTCCATAGTTCCATTAATGCTCTTTTTGTTAATAAGGCCAGACTGGTAGAGATCTATACAATTTATTTAATCCCTCACCAAATTTCAGTTTCTGTTCACCAAGTGGCATCTCTCGACTTTCTGATTCATTTTTAGTAGTAGTATTCGGTAGAGAATCAAGAAGTGTTAAGTACTACAAGGCAGAAGAAAACAGTCTGATGATGGATGAGTTGACCAAAATATGATTAGTTTAATTAAGCAGTTCTAGAAGTAGTGTTTTCATTTTAAAAGACCCGACTGGTTGATGGTGGGTAAAGTAAGTGCTTGGTTTATAGAGTTATGAGGAATATATTTAAAGCGAACAATATCATATCATTATAGAAATACTTAAAGTAATTGGAATCCGGATTCCATTGTCGTGTAAGGGGAGCAAGGAAGCCTGAGGCTGAGTTGAAAGAAATGGAAATTTGGATGATGATGGAAGGTGGGATGTGCAGCAAAAGTGAGATTAGGAAATTGGGAAAGAAGGTGGGGGTGGGGTTGGGGTTGGGGGAGAGGACATGCAATGCAAGTGGGGTTGATTTGATTTGATGCCACAATCTTCTCCAACGCTACACCTGATATCTCTTTTTGGATTCAGAATTAAGAAAGCCCACATTATCCACAAAATCAAGTACCAGCTGTACACTTCTTTTTCTTTTTCTTCCTCTTCCTCTTCTTTTTCTCTTTTCTTTTTAAGCCTCTTCTCAAAAAGTTGTCTCATTCTTATTTTATTGTTTAGGTTCAGATCCTATTTTATAACTCATGGACCTTTGTAATTATACCATTTTAGTTTGTAAACTTTGCAGACAAAAATTATTTTAAGCAAATTATTTGTTCATTGACTTTTTAACTATTTTGCAGAGGAAAAAATATTATAGAAATTTTTTTAAACATGAGAGTGTCTTGCATATATCACACCCCAATAATTTTAACCATCTCATTTATCTGCCAAATATTTGAATGGATGGTTTTATTAGACCAATTTATATGCTAAATTTCACGATAGAACTACAACACCTGATCTTACTTTATTTAGTTATCATCGAAATTCGTAAAACTTTGAATCTTAGGTAGATAACTTAGATATTAATTTACTATACTCCTTACAATTACTAATTAACCTAAACATTAACTAATTATAATAATAACAATCATTTACTTGTGTGTTTTACAGTTTGCTAAATTTACCAATATTTTCTTTATTTAGCTGCTACTTGCACAGCATTTTGTCTCCATCATACTATATTTACAACCATTCAATTCTCCAGTCGAAAGACGAAAAGCTTGGAAGTATAAATATGATTAATTGAGTGGCAGCCAGAATGGACTATTTACAACAGTATACTGATATTGATTAATGTAATGTACAAAAATACAAACAAGTCTGCCTATTTTTGGCTCAAGATTCGTCAGGCTTTGGCTCCAGAGTTACTGGAATTTTCTCCATGTGATCACCACGTAGCACCTCCACAGTAACCTGAACACCAAACAATTCTTAGCTATACCAAACTAACTACTCCAACTCCAAACATCCATCAAAACATACCATTTTCTTGTTGAACAAAAGTTCAAGTTCACTCATAATTCTCATCTTAATGGGAACATCATCATCCATGCAGACTTGATGTATTTTATTTTATTGTATTACATTTGTTTGATACCTATTATAATTCTTGAACTTCCATCCTTGTTTTATTTCGGTATATAAACTTTCAAACATTTTGTTTCATTGTTTCATTATGATATATTTTATTTGGGAAGCTTTGTTCAATGTGTTAAGTTATAGTATGAATTAAAATAGTTCTTTTACGTAGAGTTTAGAGACAGGATATTTAAAAGTTTAGGAACCAAAAATAAATAGGTATGACGAACAATAGGATACCTTTTTCTTGTCCTATCTAAAAAGCCTAATTCAAAGGTTTGTGGTTATGTAATGTCACTCAAAGCCACATGCAATGCTACTGTTCTGGATCACGAGGCAATATATCTTAAGGCAATTGGTTTCATCACATGGAGTCTTGCTGTCTTTTTCAGGACCCAGAGTTTTGAAGATAATTCATTAATTCAAGTGGTATTCAATATATTAATTTATATTGTAATATTTTAGAGAGAAACACTCAAAACTGACCCTAATTCTTTGGTCAGAAACAACATGATTAGTTGATACCTTTTGTTATTCCAAGTTAGTCCCTATGGCAGACAGAGCATACTTCCAACAGATTCTATCAAACCAGCCTCTTTGTTAACTTTATGATGGATCCACTCAAGTATGAGCTAAAATTCTGATTTCTTTCCCAACATCTCAACATAAAACCAGAACAAGGCCTTTCCATCAAAAGTTAAGAGTTTGAGTTCACAGTACCTTGTCACCAACTTTACACTGGTCAAGAATTCTGTACAAATCGCTTCCATTCGTCACCTTCTTCCCGTTCACTGATGTTATTATGTCTCCCAATATAAGTCTCCCGTAAGCATCCCGCTTAGTTGGTAGCAAGCCCTGCATAACGTGAAGCGATCAGATGGAGTTCTTGAAACCATAATGGAATATTGAAAACTATAGCCTATAGGTACAAGAATAGAAATGAAAAGAGAAAAAAGAGAGGAAATGAATACAGCTTTCCCAGCAGGACCATTTGCAGGAGCATCTAAGACGAGCACTCCGCTCACGCCCAACTGTTCGACAGACTGATCAGGAGCAAACTTAATTCCTAAAATCGGTCTCGTCACCTTCCCAAACTGCACCAACTGTTCAACAATGCCACTCACCTACATTGACAGAATATTGATGAATAACCGACTTCAAACCAAGGGAACTTCAGCAGCTTGTTAAATATAAGTCATTGTTTACTAACTGTGTCAACTGGGATTGAAAACCCAACGCCTGAGGATGCCCCTGATGGAGAATATATTGCGGTGTTTATTCCGATAAGGTTTCCCGAACTATCAAGAAGCGGCCCTCCGCTGTTGCCCGGATTAATTGCAGCATCTGTCTGTATGACATCTTGTATTGGCCTACCAGTTGCAGCAGAACTAATTTCTCGGCGAAGGCCACTGTCAAGAGCAAGATGAATGCTTAGAACAACACTCTCCGTTCTCCAAGCTTGGAAATACAGGTTCTAACAGCAATCAAACAGTAAAAGTAGAAAATTAACATATCTCATATACGCTGAATCGCGAATTCACTTCTCATTTCGACGACCACAAAAAGATAAATATATTATCGTCCATGACTATGATGCTCTAAAATGTTTATGGGGCTCAATTATAGTATAAGATTTGTATAACCAAATTAAAAGAAAATTTTCTAAATAGGCTTCGTACCTGATTACGCCAGTCGTAAGAGTATGATCAAGTCCAAACTGCACAAACATAATGATCATACTTTAGGACATCAAATGGGAAACGTACAAGAGAACAAAGAAACATTGTATTATATAGTAATATTCTGAGAGAATGGTTTTAATGGTGAATTCTGTTTTCCAAACAATGCTCCATCATAGATTGATGGTTCATTTTTTGTTTTAAGAAATGAATAACCTGAACACGAAGGCCAAAGCAGTGAATAGGAAAACTTACAGGGTTTCCAATAGCAAACACTTTCTGACCAACAAGCAAGTCTGCTGAGATACCAACAGGTATAGGTCTTAGCTTGTCTTTGGGCGCCTCGATACGTAAGACAGCAACATCCTTGTCTTGGTCGAACCCGACAACTTTAGCATCGTATGTAGTTTGGTCGGCTAGAGTGACTCTGTACATAACTAAAACCAGTTTAAATGTGAATAATAAGGAGCCACCTCTAAGTCCAGAGTCCAAAATCAAATCCAAAATTTTAGCTCAATACAAGGAATAAAAGAACTTGATGATATTTTTTGGATAAAAAAGGACCTCATTGAAATCATTCTCCCAAGGCAAGAAAGAGTTAGAAAAAAGCTATTGAGTGTTGACTAGAGAAATATCTCTAAAATATCCTTTTTTTTTTTAATATAAGAAACGAAGATATATTATAACGAACAAAAAGAAGGGGAACAACATTCTAGAGGCAAGGGCCGAGGAGGCCCTCCCAAAGAGCTACTACATTACAGCTTGCCAATCTTGTTGGAACAGACTATAATGTAATTACAAAAGAATTTTCTATGAGGTTATAGTCATCTGTACATTATCACAAAAAATATCAAAGGATAACGATGAGTTGTTGAAGATTCTTTGGTTCCTCTAGAAGGCCCCAGATTAAAGCTCTAGCCACACAACTCCACAAAAATTTTGCCTTTTCTTTCAAGGATCCTCCGAGCCACCTCTAGAAGCCAATCCTCTATTGACCGGGGAAGGCATCCAGCAATACCACATTTTTTCATAAAGAAAGACCACCCTTTATAGGCAAAGGAGCAAATCTCTAATATATCAAACTTGAGAGAATCTAATTTACTCATTAAACTCCATAAGGAAATTTCCCACGATGCAAGCCTCAGAAATCTCTTTTTCTTCACATAGCCAAATGTGGTCGTAAATTTCCGAAAAATATAAAGCCTAAAAGCGTTCTTTGAGGACCATTAGCAACATGGAGGTTCTACAATTAAATGCTTCAATGATGTTCGTGAGTGATTTACAAGGAAAAATACTTGGATAATAACATGTCAACACTCATCTCGCTACTGACCACCACTAGAAATTTGACATCCCTTACATTCTTTTGAAAATCAGAAAAAAGAAAATATATATCTCTTTTTCTATATTTCTCTCTCCTGCATATCAAAACTGTAATGGTGGTCGGCAAAAGATGACACCTAAGTATTGTTCTTCTAGAAGTTTCACAGACCCTGAGGTAATAAACACACACAAACCAGTACAAACTCAAGTAGCTCAAGATGCTAAAACAACTGATAAATATACTCCAAACATAACCAAAATCAGAAACCTCAAACCATAGAAGTTAAGCATAAAGTCATCAGCCACTTTAGACATATGGAAAACAAACTGCAAAGAAATCTAGAGTGTTCAGAACTAACCTGAGATCAGAAGCACCACGAATTACATGATAATTGGTGACAATATGGCCATCTTTGTCCCACACAAATCCAGAACCTGACCCCTGTGGTACCTCCAGCACATCCAAAGTAAAAGCATCCTGCCTAAACCCACATCAAAATCACATTTCAAACATACAATCGTGCCCAAAAAAGAAAAAGAAAAAGAAAAAGTAAGAAACGCCCAATTTATAATCAGAACTCAGCTCCAAAAAGGTACAATTACCTTGCAGCAAGATTGGTGATATAAACCACAGAAGGAGTATTCTCCTGAAAGAGACGAACAGTGGCGAGCTCATCGGTCTGCAATTTCCTGGGCGTGGTGACGACAAAAGCAGCCGCCGGATCCACATCTGTAACAAAGAGAGAGAAGGACAAGAGAACCGAAGTGGAGAAAATTAGCAGCGACTCCCAAATTGAAGCAAAGGGGTTCGAGGGAATGGTGAGTTTTGGGGCATTTGTGGCTGAAATTTGGGAGTTCTTCTTGAGAAGAGAGAAGATGGGGAATCGAAGATGGCAAGTGGGGTTGGAGAAATTGTGAAGAGAAATGGATTTAGGGAGAAGGAAGGCAGTGGATCGTCTGTTTGGAGGCCGAGAAAGTGGAGAGAAATGGAAGAAAGTGGAAGCGAGGGAATATGCAGCAGCCATGACTTTTCTGTTGTTTGGACAGTTGCCGCAAATTGGATCGCTGAATCCAATTCTTCTTATTCAACCAGTTTTGTTTTATGATAATAGATTATTTTTATAACTTTTGCCAATATAAAATTTGTTATTTATATCCTCTGAGCTAGCTGCTGCAACTGTTGACTTATTGGTGGACGGGACACACATTTCTCAGATTTTTTAAATGGCGGTTTTAAAGTCATTTTTTAATGATCCTAAAAAATACATACAATGATTATAAATATAACGGTCGTGTTGAATTTTTTTTCTTTATCAATTGAAAATAATTTCGAGGTGCAATCTTTGTAGATCCATGGATGGGTTTCTGAAAAAATTATGAAGGAACAGATTGAAGGTTTATATAACATCTTTAAATTAAGAGCGAGTAATATTCATCTTATTTTTCTTTTATTTTCTAATTTAGTATAACTAATTCATAATTTATGTATTTTAGTTTTTAAAATAATCTTGTACTTCTAACATGATTGATAAACTTTACTAAAAAAAACATGTTTTCTAAATAAAAGTAGTCTTTTTAAGTCCTTTTGAAGGAGGGGATAGAAAGTTCATGAGTAAACTAATCGGTATTTAGAAATAAAGATATAAAAGTAATGCAAACAAAGATATAAAAATTTTGAACGAATTGGGATGGCAAGAACCTTTTGAAGGCCGTTTGAAACCAACTCGTGTCAACTCAACCATTTCACAACATTTTATACTAAGTTCGTAATTTTTGCCCAAAACAAAATATCATTTCCAAATAACAAACATACCTGAAATTCGCTATCTTTGATAAAAAAGAACCTTATGAACTCAACAAGATGCAAAAAGAGTAAATATGAGGCAAAACAGGTAATGAGCCATCATAATTCATAACCTGACTATTGAAAAATAGATCATTTTAATTCCTTTGACAGATGACAGATGCTTCCCAGTCTAGGCTTCCTTGTCAGTGAAGTGGAAAAAGAGGGAAAGGAATAACAATTCTGCAAGTCACTACTACACTACTAGCAGAGCCAACTCTAATCCAAGATTACAAAGGCAGCATCTTCTGTTCTTCAGGATAAGAAGAAATTTCTGCTTGTGTCAGGTAAAAAATTGCAAGGAAGCAACAAAGTTCACAAAATTTTGTTCAAGGGTCTTAATTCCTTTGGTATGCCATCAAAATTTCCAGCATTTATAGCGGACTGCAGCATCGGTCTCTTCCCAATTTTCCAAACCATGCCTTCAGCAAGGTGCTCCTTGCTCGGTGTAAGCATCACAAAGTTTGGATCAGCTCTTTGATAACTGAAAAACAGTGAAGTGAGTCCACAGTTAGCAGAAGAGCTCAAAGGTTCAAAACTCAGTAACTGAGAATCACTGAGCAAGCCAGAAATTCATATTTCAGATAGCACTCTACTCTCTGATATTGCAACAATAGTTGATCACAAAGTGCAGGAATGCTTATTGTATATGGAAGAGGATAAAAGTAAAAAGTAAATAAAGCTTTCAAACAACCTGGCTTCTCTAAGATTTTCGACACGGATGCCAAATCCATATGCAGTTCTTCCAACTGTACGATCCCTGGTAGCTGCACAACAGTCCATGTAATCGTTTAGTACTTGTATGATAATGTATGATCCATTGTGGTATATTAGATTCAAGGGAAAGATGTAATTAGATAATTCATCTCTGCTACAGTACTACTTCCCAATCATCCATAACAGGTCAAGACCCTTCCGAAAGAGTTAATATGAAACTAATAGAAAGTTCAACCAAATCACATGAAGACCAACTGAATCAATAAGCTAAATTATCTCCTTCTGAGTTGATGCTGTCTTTTTAAATAAGAGATTGAGATCACACCACCTTTTCCTCGAGTGTCAATCCTCAGCTAACTGTTGTTTTCAGCACCTCTTATCTTTTCGATTTACAACACAAATATACAAATAAATGGTATATATAGTTCTCTCTTCTTCAGAGGAAATAAATGGTGGATATTAATTGGTGCAACCAGAGAATTATCTGATCAAGCTATGCTAGATTAACCTTTTAAAGGAAAAAAGATGGACTGTTGTGGACTAATGTTTGTTCCTCGAAATTGTGGATAGAGAGGAGTTGTAGGATCTCTGAAGAATTAGAATATTCAATTGACAATTTCTTGGATGGTATTCTTTCTGTAGCTACCTCATGGAGCTGTTTATTGAGAAATTTTAATAGCGACTCGACCAGCATCCATTTTTAACAATTGGGCTGCTTTCCAGTCAGCTCTTTAGGTGGCAGGTGTCTCATGTGAGGACTTTTTGTCTTCTCATCTTACCTCTTTTTACTTGAAGTGTCCTTTGCTGAGAAAGTGCTAAATTAAGAACCCAGTTCCACGCATCCAAAATCTGGATATAATATACAGTTCATGCATGGAGAAACCTGGTATAACTGAAACTTGTAGATATTAGGTTACTTGTCTAGAGTTACAAACGACTTTGGGAGTGGTTCCATTAGAGTTTACTAGAGTGTTGGCAATAAAATTAAGGCAGCATATAGTTATATTAAAAGGCATAGCCTGGCATTTATCAGTGTATGATTTAGTAGCACACAAAATATTCTTAATAAGCTACCACATAAACCAACGGACCCCTACGGTCTGTACAAAACCCCTAAAGATAATACCTGAGATGCTGAAAGTGAATGAAGGTTTCCACCATGACTTGAATGCCATAGCAAGTGTAGAGCTAAGAGGGCCCAACTTCCCCTGTTAAGGGCAAAATATAGTTATAGAACTTGGTTTTTTCCACAATGTACAAAAAATAAAAAGAACATACGCTTGTATTACCTTCAGTAAGAAATTTTTATTGGCTTGCCATGATGCTGCTACTTGAAAAGTGGAATCGGGAATATTATTTTCTGGTTTGACATCATCAACTCTGAAACAAGATTATAGGAACATTAGAAACTACCATTTGGTTGGTTATTATCTCACTCACTACTTGAAATTTAATACCTAGTCTCCAACTCAAAGCCAAAGTCGATGTAATTTGTAATTCCAACAATTTCATTTTCTTCAAGGGGGTTCTTCACCTATTTGATTTAAGAAACTGAAATATTGTAAGTTCTTGGATACAAGTAGAAGAAGGATGCATGCTCAAGCCTACAGATGCAATGGCAGATATAACAAGAGATAGAATCCCTAGTCAAAAAAAGAGGGTATATACATTATATATGAGAGAAATGGTAAGGACTAAACACATTCGTAAGAAAGTACAGTAATTGAATCATCAATGATGCAGATGCACAACCTAGGTGACAATCATAGATATCTCATACAAATGTACTCAGAGCAATACTTAAATAACACTGGACTTCACTTCAAACTAAGCCAAACTTGCAATGACAAGGCGGTCTCCTTTGATGTGTTTTTGGATTTGGTTGCTGTTGCTCTTTCATGGTGTACATGTTCTTCACCTTTTTCTACATACAATTTAAATGATCTTTTGTCTAATTCAAAGGCTTTCTTGTAATTCCATTAACTTTGGTATTTCACCTTTTCCTTTTCTTATATTTCATCTTATGAATTCTTTTTATATGAGTATTTCATCTTATGAATGAAATATCATTTCCTACCACTTACAAAAAGAAAAAGGAAAACCGCTACCTTGGAGAGAAAAACAGAAGAGGATATAGCTACAATGCTGCTGGAATCTAATTAACAGACAATACAAGTACAGTCAACAAAATCAGCAACAGTATAAGAAAGAAAACGACACATTTACTAAAATTGCACATCTTGACTTATTAGATATAATCTCCTCCCCTGCACCCTAGATAAACGAAGGAAAATAAATAACATCATTAAGAATTAATATTGACCACACAATTTGGTACCTAGAGTCTGAAGCCAGCTAAAATGAAAGACGCAGCCATAAAATTTATCGGCCAGAGCCGATTGTAGAGTGTATTCAAGTTAAAAGTATTAAAAGTGATCATGGTCAACCAAATTTAGAGTTCATAAATATGTTAATCTCTCAAAATTAGTAAATTAGTAATGCACCAGGATAACATCTTGAAATTTCCAGTATATGTTGTTTCAATCAACTTTTGGTGATAAAGTATGACAGGCAGTTGCGTAATTATTTAGAAGTTACACTGGATGTTTGATGTTTTTGGACACGGGAAGAAGTTTAGCCCTCTAAAAATGTTCCCAGTAATTGATAAGAAAGGAGGCAAGTAGCAATTGCATCTGCATGTTAAGTATATTTACGATAGAAAAGAGAGGTGAACACACAAGGGAGAAAAGAGTCATACCCTCCGTTGAACCACAACATGTTGATAGAATGAGGCAATGAACTGCAAATCGAAATCAATACACAACCTATCAGTAATTGCATTAATGAGTCCAGACATTACATTTCTAAGAGCCATTCATAAGACTACTGTGCATGATAAAGTTAATGAATATGAAGCTCTGGAGCTTTGGAAGCATTGAGTTATATATACGGCTTTGTATTTTTCAAGAAATTGCAGTACTTTCTTTCTTGGACAAGAAACAATAATTTTCTTTTAATATATATGAAAAGTACACAAAATGGAAAATCTTCCCGCAACCCAAAATAGCTCACAGAAAACTGCTCAAAGAAGAAATAATTATAAAAGATATGACCACAAATGTTATTTGGCGAGAGCACACCACCTAGAAGCCAAAAATTAAGCTAGATCCAAATCTCTTACCAATGCTTCCTTTTTCCGAGAAAATATCTACTATTTCACCCTAATAGAATTTTCCAGATAACTGCCCACCTTCCTTTTAAACTTGTGACTGGGAAGTAACTGCTCTAAATTCTCTTTTGCATCTACGTGTTAGAAAGATCCATTGTGCTCCCCGCACTTGAAACAGGACCCTCCAACAAAATAAACTATACTGCCAGCTGAAAATGAGTGATTGAGTTTCTCCATTAACAAAATAGAGCACACACCAATTTCGAAATTTATTACCAGATCTGGTCTCAGATGACAATGTCCACCATATAGACTACACCATGAATCAGTGTCCAAACTAGTAAGTAACCTTATCCTGGAGCCTTGTTTATCTAGATTATCTCCAAAGAGTACTACTTGTAGCAGTTTAAAAACCAACAACTTGAAAAAAATCCCATGTCAACTGCATGTCCTCAATTCTCTTACCACCACTATTGAATATATGCTTTACTTGTGTCTTTTCTAATAACACAATTATTTCTACCTCTTGCTCCACCAGTGATCTTCTGAAATTAAGATTCCAACTTTGAGACATAGCACTGTAACACTCACTAACAATTGACTCTTGGACAGCATGTTGAGTCGAGATTTTGGCATTTTGCAATATCATAACCAACACGTTATACTTTACACAGCTCTCATTATGATTCTATGAATACATAGAGTCATAGACACACCCAAGCATCACCCTCCAGTAAGCTATCCCCTTTCAGTTCCACAATACCTCTTTTTATTTTAATTTATTTATTTATGTTTTTTAATTTTTCATTATATTTTGTTTTTTGTGAATCAGAACCAATATATTAAATCAGAAGAGAGTTTAGAAAAAGGGAGGAAGAGGAAGCCTCTCGACTGTATTTTCAGTTCCTCTTGAATCTTAACTGCCCCTTGAACACAGCAATGCAGCTAAAAATTTTAGTTACATTGCAAAAGATGAAGTAAAATAACAAATGTCTTGAATTCAAGTTCCCGTTATTCTTCATCAAAATTTCAAATATTGTATGCACTATGATCAAACCCATTTAAATCAGTTTATGGACTACATTATTTTACAGTCTCGTATGATTGGAAGGATGTCTATTCCATTATTTTAGATAAACCAAAAATCAAAGATTCAGACTGTATGAGAGTTGGAGAGATCACATTAATTTCCTAAACATTAATTTTTTTCACCTAAATACCATCTCCTTTAAGTTCTTCCCCAAATTTCAAACATAAATATGATATATATTTTCTAACATCCATAAACCTAACCAAATCTTACAGTTAAAAAGATAGTAATAAAACATGAAACCACTAATTCAATTTATGTTTAAACAAACCTTTGAATTTTTAGCAAGTTCAAGACCAAAATTGAAAGACGGGCTCAAAGGACTCCCTGAACCCACATCGTAGCCAACTGCACAACTCCAATTCATTAAATTTTTATATGACACACCATCTTTATTCCCATCTGAAAGAAACAAAACAACAAGATCAGTTATTTTTTCTAACATGAACAAGTTCAATAATAAGAATGACCTTTGGAGATAATTAGGGTTATTGATAGAATAGTGAGGGTATGTTAATAATTAGATATGGAAGTTGTTAGTGAGAGTTGTTATAAATAGAGTGAGGGGGTAGGAAGGAAGGTAGGCAATTGTGTAGGGTGGTTTAGGCTTGAGTGATCTCAAGAGGGAGAGTTCAAGTACCTCAGATGACTTGGGGATTATTGTAATCCTTCTATCCTTTTATCTTTCAGTCTATTTTAACTATTGGGTTCCTATCATTTAACTATTAATATAAAATTTTTGACAAACATTAAGACAAAAGAAACTTCTTTTAAGCTAAAATACCAATTATTTGATTACTCTTTTTTTTTAATAGGAAATTTAAGAGATGATTACTATTTGATTACACTTGCAAAAAAAAAACTTTGATTGTTCTCAGAGATTAGATTCTAGGGTTAAATCATTTCATACTCTCTTCTTTCAATGCTCTTACAACTACAATATTTATATTAAAATTCTCAAAACTTTCAGTTTTTCATGATGTTTCCCAGCAGAACTTTTACACATGCGAAACAACTTTCTCATGGTTTTTCTCTCAAACAATAAAAGATTAAGTTGGGTTGTTGCCTTGTTGGACCATTTTTTTTTTTTTTGGAGTTCCCCTTGTTGTACTCATTCTAGTTCATTTTGTATCTATGATCCTTTTTTTAACACCATCTGGAGTGAAAAATATCAAATTTAGTGAATTGAAACCAACATTTGTAGATGTTGGTCCATGCGCACTTAAACTAATCTAACGTGATCTCTGTTTCGCCTTAGGATCTCTGTTGCGCCTTAGGATATTATTAGCTCAACCTATGATGGTTATTTACATGGGTTAATGCTTAGTAATACTTACATTGTGGTTCATATTGCACTCCAGTAGTTAGCCTCCCCATCTTGCTGACCAGCCATGCACTTTTTGGTAGTTCATCTTTCGCTGTAAAGCATTATGAAGAAAATACAGAGGTATATGACTCTTTACTATAAGTTTTTTTGAGAGTTAAAAACAATGCCATGAAATTCCAACCATTATAGCTCAATACATATAAGCATAAAAGTGCATCAAGACAAAAATATTATAACTGCTTAAGGATTTACTACATATTACTTTTTCTTTTAAGGGAAAAACATTTACTTTACAAGAGTACTAAGTACTGAGTAATACTTATAAATCTATTGTTCTTTCATTTTTCTTTTTTTTTTCTTTTTTTTTTTTTTGAAAACAAAACAAATGGCAGAACATCAAACCATTAAAGCTACGAGTTAAAAAACAACTCATAGCTTGCCTCCGATTGAAACGATATTGTACTTTCATATTATAACACTATTTGCACAAATCAAAACTAAGAATGGATATCTGAGTACTATCATAGTATATTCTCTCCCATCCCAAGGCTAGCTTTATATTTCATAACCCACTCCTTGCTTCACCAGCAAAAACAGAAGAAGAAGAAGAAGAAGAAAAATTCGATAAGTGCATATGTAATGGTTGGAATATAAGACAAAAGATAACTGACACATATATTATGGAACTGTACTCCCACACCAACATGCTTATCAGAAGGTAACTCATTAATTACAGGAGAAAGGCATAAGTGTGACTCCAAGTGACAGATTCCTTGAGCCATATCTGAGTCCCATAAGACCATAGTCCTCAGAACATAATCTGCAGATAGTGAACCATGTCAACATATGCCTTGAAGATGTCCACCAAATTATTCTAGGACACATTTCTTTGTCCACAAAAGTTTGCACTATGTTAATATGTGCATGTGTTAATAGGTGTTCAAGTGTTGCAAACCTTTGCTGCCGTAGCAGTGGGAAAATACCAAAAGCTCCAAATCCATATTTAGGATAGTATGCACATGACCTCATTTGTAAAACCCTGAAGCCGTAAGCCAGCATATACAAATCACCACAGCGAATAAGCAGGAAAACATCAATGGAACAAGCATTTAACTTGAAGGAGCATCTCTTACGGGTCAGAGTTTGATACATAAAGGTCCACGAATGTATGGGGATCATCAATGTTACTGCCCAACGAAAGAATCTTGTTTTCAAGAAGAAATAATCAAGTGTCAAAGAGGAAACCGTTGGCAGTATAGGAAGCATAAAAGATTACCTTTGCCATCGAAACAGTGCATTCCCTACAATCTTCTCCTCAGGTTTATGATCGAGTGGACCTGATACCTAAACAGGTTAAGCAGAAACCAAGATCCTTTTGCACCCAATTTACTCTTAACAACATTCATTTATCGCAAAGGGATAGTAAATTAAGGAACATATAGATTCCAAGGGATACGGTTGCGACCAAATCCACGTGGGGGTCATCAATGGGCTTCAGCATGATCATTGTGCTAAAATGCCTAGCTTCATCGAAATAATCATCGAAAAGACATTTTAAAGCAAGCTTCCCAAACAACAAGTTATACGACGACTCCAACATCCTGCATCGCGTTAAAATGTCACAAAAGCATTTTGATACGTTTATTTCAGAAAAATACAATCTCGAAGCTCGAAGTCTGAAACTCAACAAAACTTCAAGGCGCTATTCACACAGGCAAAGCTTAAGCCATGGAATCCACAAGTAAGACTATAACAGAAAACGGCAACATCAACATGCAAAACTCAGCTGAAGTCCAGAAATGGTTAGCTAAACTGTTAGTCTCCGGCATTGCCGAGAAATGTGATGGAGGCGATTATACCTGGTACGAGCAGCAAGAGGAGGATAATCGAAGAGTGGGGGAACGAGAACCATGGGCGGCGGAGGCTCCTTGTTCATCCAATTTCCCATTGCCGGGCGGAGTAATTGGTGAGCGGATCAAACCGAAGAGAGAGTAGGTCCGGGAAGGAGACGATGAAGGATGAAGAAGATGAGTGAAGATGAAGCAGACGGTTGGGGGAAACGGAAACCTCTGAAATCTTGGCCGCGCATCTCTCTCTGGTGGAAGAAACTTTCAAACCCCTCAGGAATCCGAGTTACGTGTCGCTCACTGTCCAAACTCAGCTGTTCATAAACCCACACAAATAAATAAATAAATTATCAACTTTTTTTACTTTCCAATTTTTTATGTTATAATTAATAGAGATTTCATCGGTTGAATGCTTAACTAATCCTTTTTTTTTTTTCCTTTTGTTAAATTTAATCCTTGCGAGGGTGAAAGTTGAACCGTTGGATAAGAGGAATTCCCCGCTAATATTTTGGGTTCGAGGATTTGGACAAAGATGGGTTCTTTAATATCCTTTTACATGATTTATCACTTAAATAACTTAATGTTCATTGACATCTGTCTCGTCTTTTACTAAGAAGTTATGAGTTTGAATCCCCCACCTCATTTGTTGTACTAAATAACATAAAATTATTCATATACATAAGTATTAAAGTGTAAATATATCATAACAAGCCTATAATATTTATTTTTAAAAAAGAGATAGGGACGGAGATCGATGAAGACAAAATGTCTCTTATCCCAACCCTCTAAAGAGACTAAATGGGGATTCCTCATCCCATTTAAGATGCATACATGCCGGAAAAATGAACACTTATGCTTTCGGATAATATTAAAGTGTCTTATCACTTTAACTATACTATGATTAACACTTATTTGATATGTTGAAAATATTATTTAAGAAATTATGTGGTGGACTAATTTTGTGTAGGTTCATTGTAATAAAAAAAAAATTTAAAAAGAAAGATTGAAAGTTCATACCTTTAATAGTAAGCACTAAATTAGCTAATAGGAAGAGATTGAATACAAATTTAAAAATTTATTGTCTTCCTAAACTATTTTTAAAGTGCATAAACTAGTTAAATAAAATATAATTCTAAAGTTTAAAGAATTATATTTTTTCTAAATGGAGTATTAAGGACCAAATAAATGTAGCTCTCTAATTCTATAGACTAAATCACTAACAATATAACTTAACCAAAATAAATAGGTCGAACTTTTTATTTTTATACTTCAAAGGTTCAACATTGAAATATTGTAAGAGGTTTTTTTTTTTTACTTTGTTCGTGAATAAAATAGATAGCATAAATTTGATCCATTTAATTTCTCATTTCAACTCTATTATTTTGAAGGTGAAACTAATAGTTTATCTTGTAGTTTCAATGAAAAAAACCAATTACATTTTAGATTTCAATCATATTTACTTTTATCTCCGGATACTTACTCAATTTACAGCATTTTAAGCTTAGTAAAATTTGGTTAACTTAGTATTTTAATATATTAAAGTATGGCCATATATTATTAATTTAATAGGCTAATGGGTAATGGTATATTAAAGTTTAAACAACTTGAATGTTAATCATTTTCCATCTATAGTGTAATGGTGAAATATCATAAAATTATAGTAAAATTTTATAGAAAAATGATAACCATGGAGATGGCATCAATACTTTCACTTAAAGTAAGAGGTTGAAATTTCTCATACCTCATATTTAGTATACTAAGAAAATAACAATATAAAAAATTACGAGGAGAGTCTTACCCAAAGTTTAGAACTCTATTTTTGATATCATAAAAATGCATTGCCGTAAAGAAAATTCAAAATTTTTTATGGTATTTGTTTATATATTAGAGAGATTCGTTAGAGAATCATTTGAACTAAAAACAATAATAATAATAGTATCTGTCAAGAAAAATAATAAAATCAAAATCGAAAATGCATTTTTAAGTGTACTTTGAGAATATGGCAGATAATATAGCTTTTTATAGGCCACTCAAATATTATTTAAAGAGTTTGAATCCCTACCTTCACTATATATACACACATACATATACAACTAAAATTCAAGTATAGAGTTTCAACATTATTTATTCATTCTCTTAGGATCGGAGATTGGAGGTTCAAACTCTCGTACTTCAAAAAAAAAAATTTATTATACTAAAAAAATTGAAATACAAAGTAGAGAATTTAAATTTAATTAGATGGGGCCAAAGAATAAAGTGTAAAAAGGCAAGAAGTTCCATTTGCTCATCTTGACCTTACATGTTATCCTTAGTACATTATACAAGTGGTCCAAAATATTCAATTTATCGTCAATATTCATTTTATTATATCCTTTCGTGAAAGTGAATTAATATATACTTTTTAAAATATTAATCATCATAAATAAAGGAGCGAGAATTCAAACTTTCATGCATCTAAAAAACAATAACGTGCAAGGCGAGAGATTGCACGTTGGCAAATCTCTGGTTGTTTTGTATAATTTATAATTTAGATTAAGTGATGATTTTGTTTTTCTTTTGAATATCCTTGTCCAATTAGACAATGAAAACATTTTTAATAAAAGGGAATTGATAAAACTTTCAAAGATATTGCGTAGGGCCAAATGGTTGAGATTTTACGTCTAAGGAAACTTCCTTCCCATGGATCTAGAAATTTAGGCCAACAAATATAATATATTTTTATGTTCAAATGTATTTGTTCACTATCTAAAAGCATTTGACAATAATCTAACACCTATGTTTAACTAAAAAGTCGTGAATTTAAATTTCTACCACATATCGTATTAAAAAAAAATTATAAATATTTGACTACGAAGTTGAAAAAAAACATCAACTTTTATGTAGTAAATTCCAACAAAGTAACTATCATAGGTGGCACATTGGTCCAAAAAGACTAGGATTAATTAAGAGGAAATGCGCTCTAATCCCATGATGGTCACCTATCTTAGGAATCAGTAATTCCTATGTGTTTCTCGACATCAAATGTTGTAAGATCAGACAGTTGTCCCGTAACATTTAATCGAGGTGTGACGCTCACGAATAAAAAAAAAAAATCCAACAAGGTAACAGACGAGCTGATCATTAATTCCCATGATCTAGAAATTTCCAACAAATATAATATATTTTTATATTCACATTTATTGTTCATAGTCTAATAAATCATAAACGTTTGATAATACGAGCATATCTCAATCGGCCAAGACACCTATCTTTAATAAAAAGTAGTACTTAAAAAAGGTCATAAATATTTGACCACAAAGTTGAAAAAAATATCAACTTTTATGTAGAAAATCCCAACAAGGCAATGGACGAGCCAATGATTCCAACTCTTTTGGTTCATCTTTACCTTACATTATGCTATGGAAGTGGTCCTAATAAATCATGTCTCAAGTGGTACATTGAATGAAGTCACTTTCATCCAAAAATATGGTACTTTTAAAGTATGGGGCTGCTAGCTTTAAAGAGTTCCACACCAATGACTTATTTATTTTTCTCACAAGACCTGGATTATTATTAGCCTCCAAAGTCCCTTTTTCAACATTGTGGTTTCTAGAAGTCAAAAAAGAAAAAGAAAAAAAAAAGAAAAAAAAAATCACATTGTGGTTTCTAGGCCTTCACTGCATGGCTTCCCCATCAAAAGCTTTTTTGTTTTTTTGTTTCTTTTGGTTGCCCACTTAAATTGACTCTTCCCATATTGGATGGCCATCACTTTTTCTTTTCAAAATTGTTATTCCTCAAATTAGATTTAAATCTCATTTTGTTGTCCTAATAATAAAATTTAATTTTTTATTATCATTTGAAATAATTCAAAATTTTTTCCAATGATTAAAGTATTATTTTATATAAAGTTTAAAGACTAAAATATAATTTGGAAGACTAATATAGTTTAGAGAGACGAAGGCATAATAACTACAAGAGTTTAAACTAAAATACAAATTATTTTTTATTCTAAATTTTAGGAGACAAAATCCAAGGGTAAGTTGAAATGCAACACACTTTCTTTTTCTCCTTTTTGAATAAAGAGTAGCACCTACTTAGTATATTTATAATATACAAATGTGATGTTTAAGTATATAATAAATACATAATTGGTTCATAAAACTAAACCAAATAATTATTTTTAAAGAATATCACTATAAAATTATAGAAAGAAGAATCTATATGATTTTTTTTATATTAACGCTCACTATTTAAATGGTTTCATTTTTGTTATTCATGCATACCAAACAATGACTAAACCAATTTATGTAAGTGTAGTTTTTCTTGTACAACATGTGAAATGGGTCGGGGATCGAACTCACAACCTGGTTGGAGATATATTTCAATTACCACTTACCTAGACTTGCTTTGACTTATGCCGTTGTAGTTTGACAAATATAACCGACTTTAGTTTATGAATATAGTAGCTATTTGAACAACTATACAAAAAGTTATTGAGATTTTAATCATTGAGATCATGTTTGATAATCATTTTATCTTTTAAATTTTGTACTTTTAAAAATTAAACCGACAAACACTAGATTTTCACATATGTATTTATCTCTTTTGTACCTGTACTGTTGTTTAAAAATGTTTTCAAAATATAAATTTTTAAATTTGGTTAAAAATTCAAATGTATTGTATTTTTAAAGAAAGTAAACACATGTTACAAAAAGCATAATTTTCAAAATCAAAACTACAAATCAAATGGTTATTATAATTTTTTTTATTATAACATGTGAATGTGATTTAAGCTTTTAGACTGTGTCGCGTATGTCTGATGAAGAGGTCATGCTACAACCCATAGGAAAAAAAAGCTCGAGATGTTAGCAATTAAGAGAAAAAAAAAGACAAACGACAAAATGCACAAAATGGAGGAAAAAGTTAAAGAAAAGGAAAAGGGATGGGATTTGGGAACGAGGATGGGTTGGGTGCATTTAAGAAGGGGATGGCGCCAATTCGAAGTATGGTTGTGGAGCAGAGTACGTGGTGTGGCGCATCGGAGAAAGTGGGGAGCCTTCTCCGCCCCTGCCTTCTTTGCCATTTCTTTCTCAATTCCATTTCCCCATTTCCCATTTCCCATTTTTTTATTTTCTTTCCCGTAGATTCTCGGAATCTCTCCCTCTCTTCTTGTTTTTGTTATTGTTCCTTCCGTTCCCTAGGCTGTCTCATCATCAACAACGAAACCCTGATTCAGATTTCACCACCCTTCAGTTGGTTCAAACCCTGAGAAGAACCATCATCATTTTACTGTTTGGTTCAACGTCTTCTCGCGGTTTTCCCGGTAATTCCCACTGTTTCATCTGTTTTCTACAAGATTTCACTCTGTATCTTCCTTTTTCCTTCTAATGAAAGTCCAGTTTGCCATGTCGACTAGATTTATCTGTTTTCCCTGTTTAGTCCTTCACGTTTGGACGATGGATGTTGGTCTTTTGGCCTTTGGGATTTTTACTCTCTCTTCCTCTCCTTCTTCTTTGGTAGTTTTTATCAATTTTGAGGGGTCCAGATCATGATTCCTCGAACTGGGTTAGTTTCACTATGAATTTCAGAGTAGAATGCGATGTGGGTCGTGTTCAATTCTAGGGGCTAAAGATAACTCATGAATGAATGGATTTTATGGTGCATGCAATGAAGAAGAGCGGCTAAACTTTTTATTTTTTATTTTTTGTTTCTGGACCATGCTTGAGAATAAAATGAGATGAAATGAAGCGTCTTAATGAAAGTACTGATGCCTAACTTTCTCTTACTCTTGTTGGCTGAAGGGCTGCAATGGCGATTTGTATACCTGTTGGAAGCTGCAAACTGTTCTGCAGGGCGGTGGAGTTGAAGGGGCAAGGTTTTAGGAGAGCCCAATGGGACGCTAGCATAGCTTTCAAAAGATGCTTTCAGGACGAGCTTTCACGGTATGGAATGCAAATATCGAGCCTCGGATGAACCTAATTATCAAAACAATTTTCTTTAGGTTTTCTGCATGCTTGCCTGGATCGCTTCAATTGTTTTTGTCGATATCATGTTTGGAAATAGGCTGCAGCTGAAATGTAGTTGGATATTTCACGTTTCCAGAACTAATATCAGAAGTGATCCGCAAAATATGATGGGAATGGGATCTAGGAGTGACTTCTCTTTATACCACACTAAATTGTGACATTAAACCGAAGAACTATATACAAGGAAATTTTATTTTGTCATATCATTTCTTGTATTTAACTATGCCATTATATGTCGGAGAATAGCAGGTATATGCTTGTTGAATAAAATCACAAATTGTTGCATTTGTTGCGTCAAGAGATGCACATCAACATTTACAACTTGAGAACAATATTGGTTTTCTACTAATATAAAATGAACTTCGAGATGTGTATTTTCTTTTTTGTCTTATAACTGAAAAAATGACATGGTAACAACATTGGTTTGCTACTAATATAAAATGAACTTCGGATATGTATTTTATTTTGTCTCACAAGTGAAGATGATATGATAAAATAGGATTCTTCGTACACAACAAAAAAAGTATTTAACTCCTATTGAGACATGTGAAGATAGTAGGAATATATTTTTGTCTATTACATTGGTAAGAGTGTAGAATCCTTCACTCTTGTACTATTCAACACCATGGACTTCATTTGACTTATATTGTTTGGCACAATCATCCAGATCATGTAGGTTGAATAAGTTCTCACATCTGCAAAGAAACAATATTTCCCAACCTACAATTAATGAGAAATGGAGAACTATTGCGACAGTCACTTCATCGTGCTTGAGTGACGGTTCAACAAAGTATTTTGATTTTGTTGTTATTGGTAGTGGAGTTGCTGGCCTCCGTTACGCTCTTGAAGTTGCAAAGCATGGATCCGTAGCCGTGATCACTAAGGCTGAGCCTCATGAGAGCAACACCAATTATGCTCAAGGTGGTGTTAGTGCCGTTCTTTGTCCTTCAGACTCTGTTGAAAGTCATGTGCAGGACACCATCGTAGCTGGGGCTCATCTGTGCGACGAGGAGACAGTTAGAGTATGTCTTTCAGCTTGCACTGTCCTACCTTTTTACTTTTGAAAGCTCATTATGCTCGGTTGTTCTGTTCTTTTCTAAGGTTCCCTATTTTATTTAGGTTGTATGTACAGAAGGGCCTGACAGAATCAAAGAGTTGATTGCTATGGGTGCGTCATTTGATCATGGGGAAGATGGTAACTTACACCTAGCAAGGGAAGGGGGGCACTCTCATCGTAGGATTGTTCATGCTGCTGATATGACTGGAAGGGAAATTGAGCGGGCTCTTTTGGAGGCGGTTGTTCGGGATCCCAACATTTTTGTGTTTGAGCACCATTTTGCAATTGACTTGCTAACTTCCGAGGTTTGCTTTTCCCTATTTCTTTCAACAGAATTTATGTTTTAATATGCTTTCCTTGTTTCTGCCAATTTTAGTGACTGTATTAGAATAAATTATGAGAAATTTCGACATCAGCGTACTATCAAATTACAAATTGAATGCTTTAGAATGCAGTAATGTGAAATGATGTTGCTAATATTGCAGGATGGTTCTGAAATAGATTGTCTTGGTGTTGATACTTTGAATGCTGAAACACTGGAGGTGATATCTCGGTTCATCCCAAAACATATTCAAATTATCAGTAGTTTTGACTAAAGAAATCAATTCACGTGTTCTGCTTTTTAACTTTTTCCCTCTCGTGTACTTCCAGGTAACACGGTTTATTTCAAAGGTAACTTTACTCGCATCAGGTGGAGCTGGACATATGTATCCATCAACAACAAATCCCCCGGTACTTCTCATTTTCCAATTAACAATAATTAATCATGTTATGGTGGGCATATTTATACTAATGTTGGTCCACATCTGGTTAAAAGGTTGCCACAGGAGATGGAATCGCCATGGCTCATCGAGCTCAAGCTGTAGTTTCCAACATGGAGTGAGTAACCGTCTCAGTTATTATGATTTATTGTATGTGGATAATATCTTATTATAATTGCAGAGTTGGTTGATAAGAATACAAAAAGAATTTTACCTTACATTTCTATCATTTCCTTGAGGATGCTGATGTAGCTTTGTTCTTGTAATATTGGTTAGCTTTTAGTTATGTTTCATTTGTTGGGGAATGGTTAAGGGCGATGAAAATCATAATTGTAACTAGATTTTGTTATGTAATGCAGATTTGTGCAGTTCCACCCAACTGCCTTAGCTGATGAAGGCCTTCCGGTCAGACCAAACAAGCCGAGAGAGAACGCTTTTCTTATAACCGAAGCTGTTAGGGGTGATGGAGGTATTCTGTACAATTTAAGTATGGAAAGATTTATGCCGTTGTACGATGAGAGAGCTGAGCTCGCTCCTAGAGATGTTGTAGCTAGAAGTATAGATGATCAGCTGAAAAAACGAAATGAGAAGTATGTGCTACTTGATATTAGTCACAAACCCAGGGAAAACGTTCTCTCCCATTTCCCCAACATTGCTGCTGAGTGCCTCAAGTATGGTTTGGACATTACACACCAGCCGATTCCGGTGGTTCCAGCTGCTCATTACATGTGTGGAGGTGTACGAGCTGGGCTTCAGGGTGAGACTAATGTGCGGGGTCTGTACGTTGCAGGCGAGGTTGCGTGCACGGGATTACACGGAGCCAACCGCTTAGCTAGCAACTCGTTGCTCGAAGCTCTAGTTTTTGCACGAAGGGCAGTTGAGCCCTCGGTTGATCATATGAAGGGCTCAAGTCTTGATTCAGGTGCATTGAATAGGTGGGCTAGACCTCTCGTGCCCATGTCCCGAGGAAACGATTTCATGGGCAGAATTATATCAATGACAAAAGATGTGAGGAAACAGTTACAACTAATCATGTGGAAGTATGTCGGAATCGTTCGGTCGACCACCAGGCTCGAGAGGGCGGAGCAGAAGATCGGTGAGCTAGAAGCAACATGGGAAGAGTACTTGTTTCATCAAGGATGGGAGCCAACCATGGTGGCTCTGGAGGTTTGTGAGATGAGGAACCTGTTTTGCTGTGCGAAACTGGTCGTAAGCAGCGCCCTCGCTCGGCAAGAAAGTCGGGGACTTCATTACACGATCGATTTTCCACATCTTGAGGAGAGTAAGAGGCTTCCGACCATCATATTTCCTTGTTCACCCACCAAGAGTACATGGAGCTCAAGGCAGCTCCATTGGCAGCCTGTGTTGTAGTAAAATAATGTCTCTGCTTATGGCAAATCTGGTCCTCTGTCAAAACGTTTGTATTTATAGGACAGAATTATCATTCTTTTGTGTAGTCTCATAAGCCTAAGGCTACATATATTGTCTTGTGTGCACCTTAGCAGTATTATTTGCATACAAGTGTTCTATTATTCAAAAGGTTTAGCTTTTTATTTTCTTTCCATAAGCATATTTTTAGTATTAGCCAACCCAAGCGGTGAATTGTAGTGTAGGTTTAAATTTCCTCCTTATTTGTAATTTAATGTTCTTAAAATTGTTTAGTATTAATTTACTTTAGTTTAAATTAACAAATGGTTTATTGAATTTTACTTTGCTCTCTAAATTTTCATATCTATTTTATTTTGAAAAGTATTTTATCTTCTAATTTACTTTAGATATCAATCAAATGAAATGTTCCTTAAAAGATGTTACTTCATAGTTTTATTAAGCTTTAAATTTAAATAAAGCTTAAAGGTTTAATTGTTGTATTAAAAAAACTAAATTATATCTACAATAGGCAAAAAATAGTTTAGTTAAATATGCTAAATAGCCCCTAATTTCATTCTTAAAAAATGGTCCCTAATAGTTTTTTGATAAATTTTTAATTTGGTCCTCAATACACCTTATTGTTATTATTTTTTGTTTGTTTGTTATAAGACGCAAATTTTTGGTTGAGTAGACTCTTAAGTCTTAAGTTACTGTCAAAACATATCGTAATAATAGATTCTGTTGATAGAATGAGTATGTTATATGTAAGTAACTACAAATGTATTAATCAAATAATGACTTAATGACATAATAATTAGAACTTTTGCTAAATAAATTGGAGCCCGTCATCATATATGGACATTGAACGACGACGTGACTTGGTCGAAGACTCAGAAAGAGGCATCGGGTGAGTTTTATGCAATTGAAAAGGTGTTATTCTTGTGAGCAACCTATTCATCGATAACTGTAGGAGTATGAAGATGTTGGAGAAATCTGCAGCTTTTGGTATCCTACCCAATTCGGGTGGAGACTGGTTTGGTTGAAATGGTAAAGTTGTTGCAATGGGAAGGAGATGATCTTATTGAAAATTGAATCTTAGTGGTGTCATCTCATTCAATAAGGTAGATAGGGATGACAATTTTTGTGCCTACTATCATAAGCGTTTTGAATTAGAGGAAAGTAAACAACGAGTATCCTTGATTGACTATCCTTGTGCCAATGAAGACTTTTCTATTTCTTGATGAAGTTTTTTTTTTACGGAAAAAAAAAGAAATAATTTTTCTCATAAACCTCTTTTTTACCAAGAAATCTTGACTAAAAATTTTCACCTCTATTTGATTTTAAATTAATTATTAAAATATCACTTAGATAATAATACACAAAAAAATGCTATTCAACTAATACAGTACCATTATGCGCTGGTCACGGATTCACGGGTGTTTTCTCGGGGAGGACAATTTCCCCGCCATGATCCGTGAAATGGAATTGCATAAAAAGGAAGGTGTGATGTTCAGAAAAGTACAAATATCTCTTACAAAGCTAAATGAATTGGCATAGGACGATGTTCAAATTTCAATTGTCTTCTCCTTTCCTCCACGCCCGTGGGCCACCGATTTGTCGTACCGTTGTCCCACTTACCCATTGTAAATTTCCACAATCCCGTCATTTCAATTCAGTGCGCTTCCAGTTCCCATTACCAAAGTGGATATGAATCGCTTCCGATTACTCCACTAGCCCCGTTCCTCAGTTGTAGGAATCCCTGAGGAGTTTCGAAAATTTTCTGTTGGAAAAACCATGTGCCCGCTGAAGCTCCGCCCTGTGTTGGTGCTTCTGATTCTGGGTTTAGTGGGACGGCCAGTGGCGTCCAGCGGCGGCGGCGGCGGTCGTGGTGGTTCCGGGAGTTGTGGGTTTCCGGCGGTTTACAACTTCGGCGACTCGAACTCGGACACCGGAGGAATATCGGCTGCTTTCAATGTGATTCAGTCACCCAACGGCGAAACATTCTTTGGACATCCTTCTGGGAGGGCTTGTGATGGCCGTCTCATTATTGACTTTATTGGTAAGCATCACCCTACTTTTCTCATATTTCTCTGTTTTTGAAGATTTTGCACAAATTTCTATCTGGGTTTGCAAATCATATTCCAATAACTTCTCTTGAGAATGTTTGCGCTCATGGGATTAGTGATGGTAATCTTGGTTTGCTTTAGATTATTTGGGATCTTAAACATAGTCCTGCATCGGTTTGAAGGATAACATATCTGTTATTACGAAGACCTGAAACATTTTGGATATAATTTCGAAGTAAAACTAGGCGAGTTTTGGTACAAAGTGTATTATTATGTTACGAGATATAGATAGTTCTGTTTGTTTAGTTTTATAAGTAACTACAAAATGGGGATAGGATTTTGACCATGAAAGTGGCTTACAATTAGTGTATCTAACAGAATTTTAGCAGTCTTTTGAGTGAATTACTTATGGAGCAACAAACAATCAAGATTTGTTTTGAATTTGGAAGCATTTTTGGGGTGTGAGTGTCATTTGCAGCTCTACCAACTAATGTTGTGTTTCTTCTGCAGCTGAGAAGCTGAAATTACCTTACCTGAGTGCATATCTAGACTCAGTAGGAACAAGCTTTAGGCATGGAGCTAATTTCGCAACAGGAGGTTCGTCGATTCGTCCCGGTGGTTACAGCCCTTTCCATCTTGGCATTCAAGTATCGCAGTTCATCCAATTCAAATCTCGCACCACCAATCTATATTATCAACTTCGCTCCAACAGTCAGTTTCTGATTATTTACTCTTTACATATACACATCTCAGAACAGAACAGAGCTTCTTCTATTTGATGTATGAATTTTCTTATATTGTCACTAACAATGACTATGATGTTGGTTACTTTGTGACAGACAGGACATCTCTACCAATCAAAAGCAGTATCGCAAGGCCTGGGGAGTTCTCGAAGGCGCTATATACGTTCGATATTGCACAGAACGACCTTTCCTATGGTTACCAACACTCATCAGAAGAACAAGTCAGAGCTTCCATTCCGGATATACTAAACACATTCTCTGAAGCTGTTCAAGTAGGCGATCTAAACCACCTTACTCACTTACTCAACAGTAATGCGAATAAAAATACTTAAATACTTAGATTCAATTACAAGTTTAGTCTCTAAACTTCAAAGTTGTGTCTAATAGATCCCGAAATTTGAAAAAGTGTCTAACAAATTCCTAAGCTTTCAATGATGCGTCTAATAAGTTTAGGAACTCTAAAAAATGGCTAGTTAAGTCCTTAGTCTTTCAATTTTGTGTCTAATAAGTTTGAATAAAAGAATCGAAGAAGCATCTACTCTTTCTAATAGTTTGGAGACCCTATTAGACAAAAAATCGAAAATTCAGGGAGTCATTGGACAATTTTTCAAGTTTAAGGACCTATTAGATGTAATATTGAAAGCGCAAGGACATATTAAACACTTTTTAAAGTTCATTAGTTTAAGGACTTATTAGACGCAACCTTAAGTTTAGGTATCAAACTTGCAATTTAACCAAAAACTTAAATGAAAGCTCTGATGTTCTTTCTGGGTGCATGTTTAAAGCAACTATACAAGGAAGGGGCAAGATATTTCTGGGTGCACAACACAGGTCCACTTGGATGTCTGCCTTTCAATATATTGTATAACAAAAACCCGAACAATCTCGACAGCATCGGGTGCGTGAAGAGTCAAAATGAAGTCGCTCGAGAACTCAATTGGCAGCTGAAGAATCTGCTGCTAAATTTGAAGAAAATGCTTCCTCTAGCAAGAATTACGCACGTAGACATGCATTCAGCCAAGTATCAGCTCATTAGTAACGCGAAAACTCAAGGTCTGTTTCTTTGTTTCTCGATACCGATTCGAAACATTGATCATCGGGACTACTGACTAACTTCAGCGTTGGAATTGGTGGCAGGTTTTGTTAACAATCCAGTGAAGTTTTGCTGTGGGAGTTACTATGGGTTTCACATAAACTGTGGGAAGAAGGAAGTTGTGAATGGAACAGTTTATGGGAGTCCTTGCAAAGATCCATCAAGGCATATTAGCTGGGATGGCATACACTATTCTGAGGCAGCAAATTTGTGGATTGCTAACCACATTTTGAATGGCTCTTTTTCAGACCCACCATTGCCAATTCACAAAGCTTGTCAAGCTATTACTAATAATGCATGATAATGACAGTTTAAGTTTGATGATTTTTTGTTTTCTTGAGCAAGAAAATATAAGCCACATCTTTAGAAAAACAACATATTTGATCATAATTGATTCTCCACTGATTTTACTTGTTTCTTTTGAATTTTTTTGTCCGTCTATTATAAATCACTCATTTCTTCCTATGTAGATTTTAAATATAGTTGTGATTTTTACTTCTAAGGGTAGTCCAATTAGCATAGACTTTGAGTCTCTTGGTCGTACTGACTTAAAAGATCTCAAGTACGAACTATTTGTGAGCAAAGCTCTGACTCTCGATTATCAAAAAATAATAATAATAATTGTGACTTTTTTGTTCTTGCAAGTTGCAATAGCAATTATTTTTCTTTGAGTTCAATGGATAAACAAAAATCATTTAGAAAACAAATTCTCTACTTTTCCCCCCCAAAAAGTTTTAAGCCCCTTATAAAATACTTATATACAGTATCCTTTTATAAAGGTTCAATGCTGTTTGTATTCTCGGAAAAAAAAAAGATTAAATATTCTGTGTGTTGGGCTTTTCCTCTTTTGCCAGATTACCAAGTCCATAGAGAATATGGATAATAAAGAAAAGCTACTATATGCTCGAAATTAAATCGTTTTTTTTTTCCTTTCTTTTTTTTTTTGTTCATTCATCAAATCTCAAAATGTGATTTCTTAATTCTTCCCGAGTTCCTTCAAGTTTTGACCGAAAATCAGTCATCTATTGTAGCCCCTTGACAAGTGTTCTTTTTTATGAGTTTTCGATTTGAATTAAAAAAAAAAATTGTTTCCCATGTCTCACTCCGAAACTTTGACCCTCAGTTTGGAACTTCTGATCTGGAGGGATAGGATTTTGAAATCATTTCACTTGTTTGGATTGATAAAGGAAAAATAATTTGATTTCAAATTCTGTTTTTTGACTAAAATATTTTTCGTTTTAAATAGGTCGGATTTGGGAGGATTTTAGGTTTAACGTAACGAATTCCAATTTTATCCTGGTGTGAAAAAATACTTTATCACTGTAACGTCCATGCTTCGTACATCCTCAACCAAATTAGTTTCAAGTTACTTATCATAGCTTTTTACTTTTTTTCTTTTTTTAGTTCCAATAATTATAAACTGACTCTCCTTCTATGGTTTATTTTTTGGATCACCATTGAACTAACGTTTATTTTTTATTTTGTTTTTGATGTATTTATTTTTTCTAATATTTCAATATTATTCAGATCTTATATGTTTATGTTTATGTTTTTTTTTCTTTTTTTACATTTTTCTTGTTTTATTCTTTTGCTTTTATTTTTTACTACATAAAATAACTATGATAAAAAAACACACACATTCCTACGAATAAATTGAAATTGTTTGATTTTAAGGTTTTTTTTTTTTTTAAATTTGAATCAAGACATTTGCAATTTTTTTTAGTTTGGTTTTTAAAATAAAGGTGACGTTGACAAATTTTAATTTTTGTTAGGTTGATTTCATTAAATTATTTATGTTTTACATGGTTAAAATTACTAGTTTATATTAAAATATTATATTATTAATAATAAATACTCTACAAAATATTAGGGGCATAATAGTAAAATGTTATATTTTCTTTTCATTTTTCGTGAAAGTCGAAACAATAAATTTTAGTTTCAATGATTTAAAATCATTTTGGTTCCAAACACAATTAAAAATTTGAAATCATTTCTATCATTTAAAATCATGGAATTCGAAATCATTTCCTACCAATTTCGAATGCCAAATGGAGCGCGAGTGTTATTTAATTTAGTTTTTTTAAGTTTCAATTAAATTCCTTATGTTTTAGCTTTTACCCATTATTGATTTCTTGAATGTTAAAATTTATGGATGATAAATTTATATAACACGAGGATGCTTTAGTAATTAAGTTAGCAGAAGAACTAGATCAGTTAGAGTAGTGGGAAGTTTTTAAGTCTTCCTCCAACTCACCAAATCAATTAATTTTAACATCTAATCTACTCTCCTCGAAGGAGAAATTAGATTATACTCCACAAAATCATTTTAAATCTTTATCATCGATCATTTGATTAAATCACCAATCAAACATGTGAAAAAGGAAATTCCCTTTAGGGTTTGACATTGGAAAGAAAAGAAAGACTGAAAATTTTATTCCTTCGTCCAACAAAAAAGGATCCAAAACGAACCTCATTTTTGCCATTTTTCACCGTCACTTTTCTTTTGTTTTTTTTTTCCCTTTTTTTTCTCTCTGGTATCTTCAAAGAGTTAGAGCTTAGAACTCCCTGTGGTCCACATTTTTGGAGTCCACAGAATCTCCCACTCAGCATTGACTGACCCCTTTTTCAAAGTCAAAACTTTCAAAATAAAACCCACACCCTCCTCCCATTTGCCAAGAATATTTTTATTCTGTGAGAGCCACCATACATTAATATTTCATCCTTATACCTCTCCATACTCCACCATACTCAACTTCTGGGGTATGTGTACAGAAAATAATCCTTCAAACAACTTAATTTAATATGCTTTGTATTGGAAATGGTATATGGTATATACATCGTTCTTGTTGGAAAAGTTAAATTACCGCCGCCTATTATGCACACAACAAAATAGTTAACAGTTTTAGTAAACTACACAAAAGATTTATACTGGTTCACCAAAATTATAGCTACGTCAAGTTTTACGCGATGTGCAGGTTCTCAAGTTGGATCTTATATGTTTGCTTGACCCAACAATTAATCATGCTACATTATCATGGGCCTTGGCTCCACTAATTTTTCCACAATTTGCATCAATCTAACGTGTCTGAAAGTAAACGAATGAATGACTATTTAAGAAAGATTAAGTGGTCTTTTTGTTTAGAGGATCACCATTGTTGGGAATTGTGAACTAGCTCCACACAGGTTAAAAACAGAGAATAATATCATAGGTAAGTACATCAATGAAAAGGTTTATGGATGAAATCGAAAGTAAAACTTAGCGGTTGAAGTTGCAGATTTTGCACCAATAATGAGGTGGGATTTAGAAATGAATATGACTGTTAATTTTTTAGTGGACAGAAGCTTCTAGTTTAAAAAGGAAAAAAGGTGAATCCACAGCCATTGTTTGTCAACAATGTATTCTTATCAGTTATCCAAAAGAGAATCAGATTGGACTTTTTCTCCAGATTCCCATATATCAGTATGCAATATTCATGCATTTGGGTTTTAGGGTTACTGCTTTTTTATCTCACTTCTTCTTCTTTTCTTGGTTACCCAACTTGCAATTTGGTGGCTTTTGCTTTTCGCCATTTCGGTCAACACAATGTGGTGACTGGCGATGCCTTTACATCCTCATCACTCACACAAAGTTCACCTTTTCAGACTTGGATAAGGGTTAATTAGCAGGGCCAGGATTTACCCCGGTGAAACCCTTGATAGACAACAAACAAATGACATACACCAATTTCCCTACCAATTTCCCTAGCCTCTCAAGATCGTGACTCTTCTGACTCATTGATCTTGACTGGATCTCATTTTTAGATCGGATACTCATTTGAGTTTGTTGGGTTCTGTTAACATATCAATATTTATGGAGATAGTCTCATCTCAAAACCAATTGAGAAATAAATTCATGTCTATTGTATAAACTTTTGTAAGGTCTCATTTTCTTTTCAATGTAGGATCCTTAACATGTATTACGGTGGAAGTTGATGGACTAAACATGTAATAACGGTAAAGTAAGGATTACTCTTATTTCTACGAGGTATAGGAAATTTAAATCCAAACGGGTGCGTGCTTTGTTGCTCCTCGGTTGAAACTTTGGACCACTTGTTTCTCCACTGCCCTTTCTTCACTGCTGCCTTGTGGAACATGCTCTTCTTAACTTTCAAGGTTTCTTTTGTTTTGCCTGGTCGTATTGGCTCTTCTATTGGAGCAATCATTTGGCATATTTGATTGGAAAGAAACGACTGTCGCACATTCGAAGATAACAATAGCTCCCTTATTAATCTTTGGGAGGATATAAGAGTCTCTGAATTGTTCTGGTCCTCTAAATTAAAGCTATTTTGTAATTATGATATATCAACTATTTCCCTAAATTGGAGTGCTTTCCTCTAGGTCTCATTTGTACGTTTCTCACCTACCTTTAATGAAATGGTACCTCTTTTGGAAAAAAAAAATAAATTTAAAGCTAACTTTATGGTGATAGTTTGAAGATATTCATCGTGTAGCTAGTTGACATTTCTTACACAATTCTTCCATATAATTACCCATTTTTTAAAAAAAGTTTAGCGTAATTTATTCGTAGCACCTAATTCAAACCTATATTTTTGAGTTATGGTAATGGGACTCAACAACGATTAATTGATTTTTATTCCGAACGAAATAGAGTGAGATTATCATTTTAAATTTTCTACATATTTTGCTTTGATGCTATACGGAAAGTATATTGGGATTATTTAATCAAACATATATACCTTTCAACCCCCCATTTTCAACCAAGGGGCTGCAAAAGTAGTATTATTAGACAGACATATCAAAATATGAATTTTCCTTATTCTCGCTCACGAAAAAGATAAGAGACAAATATTTTGATACCTAAAGCTACATCTACACCTAGCTACAAATCTTCAAGAAGACGATAATTCAACCACGAAAAGATAATTCAGAAGTTGAAAAAGGTAAAAAATAAAAAGAAATTAACTGGGGATGTAACAATTGTAAATTTTCTCCCCCTATTCCTAGGAATATAATATTAGATTATTAGGAGTTGACCTTTGCTAAAGGGCTAATTCAGAAATATTCTGGTTCTTGGCCTTTATGGAGGGCCCAAACCTTTTTTTGTTCTCAGCTAACAAGTTACACCACAGAATATACTGTGTGTTTCATTGACCAACCAAGTCCCACTATAAAAATAGCTAACACCTAATTCTCTCATCATACTCTTCCAAATAATCTTCAAACCAATTTTCCCACACAGGCTAGGATTTTTTGTTGCAGAAAATGGATCATCCTCTCGAAACTTCAAGGTCGGTTCGGTCGGTCGGTTAGTCAGTCGGTTTGTCTGACTATCTATTTTTTGACACAAATTTTTTGTGTAACAGGCACAAGTGTGCAGCTTGCTTCAGGCAATTCAACAAGATAGAGCACTTGGTAGACCATATGAGAACCTCATTTCACTCAGTTCATGAACCCATTTGTGCCATTTGCAAGAAACACTGCAGATCTCTTGATTCTCTCAGAGAACATCTCATTGGTACCGAGCTTCTCTATTTTCTCAATATTCTAATTCGTAATCCATCAACTTAAAATTTTAGATAAAAATACGGGTTAGAGTTGAAGAAAGACGATGTCATCTAATTACTTATCTTTCAATTTGTCCACCGAAAGATATTAAAATTTCTAGCTCTGCTCTTGACTGAGAAGTCTTGTAAATTCGAGGTCTTACTTTAATTTATCAACTTAAATTTTTAGGCTGGTAGGTTAACATCATACCTTATATTATTTGGTGTTCAACTCAGAGTCGATTCTTCTCTAATTGATCATATGACCGTCACTCGTTAGGATTTTTGCTAATTTCCGAGTGCCTAGCTTTTAGATGATAGTTGGATAATAATCTATTTGTTCAGGGCCACTGCCAAAACAAGAATGCAAAAACATCTTCACTACTCGAGGATGCAAATTCTGCTTGGCCATCTTGGACAGTCCTTACTCACAAAGGCTCCACCAAGAAAGATGCCAATTTTCGGGTGTAAATTCTGTATGAATCCCAACTCCAAGAACATAGTAATAGCTTTTGAAAGTTGTTGGTTTTTTTTTTAATCTCAAATTATTCTTGTTTTTGGCTTAGGGGCTTCTTGCTCGTCTGGCCAACTTGGGAATTCGTGACGCTTCGATCGTCGTCGACGGCGGCAGAGCTCGAGCCACCGGCACCGTCGCATTGGCTTGCAAATATGTAGGCGGCGGCGGCGATGGGTCGCTGGACATCTGCGCCAAGGTCTGCCTTATTGATGAGACCGAAAATGTGATCTTCTATAGCTATGTCAAGCCAATCATTCCTGTCACAAATTATCGGTATGTAAATAAATTAAAAGGTTAAATTATAAATTTGATGATAATTTTTAGATTTGTGTTACTTTCCCACATGCTTCTGCCATTAATTCTATAATTTAGTGCATTCTTTAATTTTTTTTAAAGATTAGGGACTAAATAGATAGAATCATCATTGGGAAACAAAATACAGATTTGAATTAAACTTCAAACATAAAAAATTTGAAAAATTTCACTTGATATAATATACATTCTTAAAAAATGTTACAACTTTTAATTTTTTTTAAAAAATATAGTGTACGTGTAACTTTTCAAACTCCTTAAAAAAAGGGTGACTTTTTCTTTTTAGTTTGATTTTTGAATTATATATGCTTCTCTTTTTTAATTTCAAACTTTCTACTATATTTAACAATTTAAAAAACATTAGGTTTGAAACGACCGGTATTCGTCCAGAACATTTGAGAGATGCAATGCCGCTGAAGCAAGTGCAGAAGAAGATTCAAGAAATCCTCTACAATGGAGGTGAGAAGGCTAGGGTTCTTGTGGGTCACGGTGTGGAAGACGATCTCAAACGCCTCCAAATTGGATATCCAATCATAAGGTAAATTTCATTAACAGAAGATTAAATTTTTCTAACCTACATTCCGTTCTTGAATTCAAACTCAGTACCCATGATTTTTTTCCCCTTAATCAAACCCCTTTTGAAATATCTTGAACCCACAGGGACACAGCAAATTATCCCCCATTGATGAAGACAAGCAAGCTCTGCAATTCACTCAAGTATCTAGCTCAAGTGTATCTAGGGTAAGTACCACCCTTTCAAACAAACTAGAATATAATTTTTTTTTTCTTGACATATATATATATATATATATATATATATATATATATAATTTTGTTTAATTTGGATTTGTAGATTTGACATTCAAAATGGGATACAAGATCCTTATGAAGATTGTGTTGCCAGCATGAGGCTTTACAAGAGAATGAGATCACAAGTGCACAAAATAGAGGACTATCCAATGGCTTCTGACCCACAAAACAAAAATAACTTTGGAATTTGGAGGCAAAATGAGCTCGAGAGGATGACCCCAGAACACATGTTGGACATCTCCAGGTCTGATTACTATTGTTGGTGCTTGGACTTGAGGATTTGAGCTTCTTCAATATCAATGGCGGCCAATTCATGGGCCGCCATACAAACTTCTTAAATTTTATCTCAACCTCAGAGATTATTCGTTACTATGATGATGACTTATTGATTATGGAAAGCTTAATTAAGTTGGAGAATTTGGAGAATTATTATTGTTACCCTTTGTTTGGAGTCAAGAAAGTTAAAAGAAATGATTACAAATGATGTGGTTGAAAGATGGAGAAGTTCCAGACATTTGTTTTAGTCTCTATAAATTGCTATTTTGTTCTCCTGGCTAGAGATTATTTGATGTAGCCTTCTTCGTTTTATTTTTATGATGTGATTTTTCTTTAATTTTTTACCCTCTAGAAAATTTGTGCTTTTATATGAAATTATGTTTTAGATTTTATATGCTTGGGAGATGATCTTAGGTTAAACCTTAAAAGTACAAAATAAAGGAGATTATATAGCATTGGTAAAAAAAAAATCTATCTAAGTGTACATCCATAGTAATTTTAATTTGAAGAGATAACTAGAACTATCAACCTGAGTATGTTGTACGTATACCTCAGTGGATTAAGACACCATCCCTATCCTCACTATTTTTATTGTGAAAACTTATGGGACCAATACATGACTCAAAAGCATACCGATTAAACAAATAGTAGCTAATTACCAACTTGAGCATAGTTCAATTGATCCACACATATATTATCGATCAAAAAAGAGTTTTGGCAGTGTCCTCTATCTCTTAAGATAAGCATAGAGTTGACTCAGAAGATATGGTGTAACAGCACAAAATAATGAGTCATTTTTTTCCCTGGGAATTGCAGCTTTGTTCTATCTTAGTATCTTCAAAGGCACATCAAAATGATAAAACTCCCAATTAGGTCAAAAAGAATATATATATACATATATATCACCAAATTCTTTCACATGTTGGATGAATAAACCATTATTCAACCCAAACACTTAAGCTTAAGCTTATGAGTTAGATAAATTTGATTCATTTATGAGTATCTCAACGCATGTTTCTAAAATCAAACCCAATCTCTATTCTCCGACTCCCCCATCATAAAATCATTAAATAGTTTTTAGATCAGTAGTTTTGAATATGCCTTTATCGTTTGTATTAAACAGATACTATTGTATATTATTATTGGTTATCGAATTCAATACAATCTAAAATCTATAGATGCACAAGGAATTTAAAATACAAGTGGAGGTGGTGTCATGGCGTATACGATTTATTATTATGAATGTGTACTATAGAAAAATAAAAAAACAAGGACGATCACTAACACATTTTTACGTGAAGTTTAAGGACAAAAATGATATTTAAACTTTTAATTAAACGTTTTATACATATTTTGACTTCTCCAACCTTTCTTGTTTCGTCATGATATTTTTTTGGTTTTTACTTGTGTTGTTCGCTAATTTATGTTTTTTAATTTTTATAAGGGTTAGGACTCGATCCTTTTGACATGACATTCTCGGCTGCCTACAATATAGAGTAGGCGRCTTTTTCATAAGTAACTCAACCATGTGTGTCAAGAGTAGTCTAGCGATATTATGCTAAAAGACTTTTTAGCAGATTTTAAGGTTATCCCTGATTGCTCCATTCCACCTATGACTCACCTTTGGCTTTCGTCTTGATAGATTTATTATTTTACGTTATATATTTTATGAGAACAATAGTTTAGGGAACCTTGCTCTGAAAAGTCTGTGATTCTCTGCCTAATAGGGCAGTCAAGTCAACAATCATCGTAAGGGGCACCAACCAAACGAGATCGAGACCAGCACCTTGGCCAAAAGAAAGGCAAAGGGTTTTTGGCAACAAGCAAACCACTCTATCATAGACGCACTTGTAGTTGTTTCAGATGCGATAAAAAAAATCTTTCTCTTTTTCAAGCGTAGAGACTACATATGAGGAAGATGTGGAAGATCAGAAATTATCTTCATCACGAGATTGATCGGATCTGTCGTAGATACCCAAAATTCACTTCTGCTTTAGGTGATTCGGGGGGAGCAGAGAGATCCTTAATTACTGATATCGATCCTAGCTATTTGTTCAGTGCTAGCGGCGTGAACTCTGATTCGATATTGGGCATTCAATCAAAACCAAATTGTCTTGCAAACTGGGGTGGATTTTACAGTCCTGCCCGAAGTACGTACATTGCCCAACCAAAGAAAGAGGAATAGAAAACGAGACTTTACGAAAAATGTTCCTTTCCCCTGGGGCTCTATTGTAGAGGGTCTTTTGGGGTGCTAAGATCCGATCGGAGACCCTAGACATGCGAGGCCGTCTCTGAAATACATTTCTTCTTGACTCTATTAGGTTGTGGGGCCTTCAATTGTCTTTTCTCCACTTTCACCAGTGAGTGGTGAGTTTCCCATTTTCCGTTCATTTCCATTTAAAGATATAATCTTTTATGGAATCGATCCCCCGTTTTACTCCAAGTCTAGAGAAAGAAAGGGGCAAAGTCCACTCCTCTCTCGGCGTTTGCCAGCCACTAGAGCGAGAGATCGGGAAGAGGAAATCAGGTGTGAGGTCTGAGGTCAACTCATCCAGCCATGGATGCGAAGAGACTCAGTGAGTGAACTAGGGTGGGGGATCGAATTCACAACCTCTTGATTAGAGATATATGTCAATTATGCTGAGCTATACTCGCTTTGGCTAGAATAGTCATATATACATATATAAGAAGGTACTTCAACTTGAACCGCATCATTGAACCTAAGAATTTGACGTATTAGTGAGATATTAATTTTTACCAAGGCTGGTTGAAGTCATAGAAATTAAAAGAATGGAGATTTTTATTATATCCTCATTATCATGTAGCTAGCCCTAGCTGAGATTTACGAATATTCTGGTTCTTTTACTTTTCATTATGGGGCCAAGCCTTCAGATCACTGCCAAAGATGGATCTGAAGTAGAAAGAAGATGGGAATTCATAGATGTTTGGTGATGTTGTTGTTTTTTCTTTTCTTAATCAACCAAAACATAAACGAGTTTGGTAACTATTTTTTTGTTAGCTCAGTTGCAAATATTAGTTAGGTCTGATTTTAAAATGACAACTTTACTAAATGATATACATCTATAATATATCTGACTATTGATATATGTTTGTAATATGAGTGTCTGATATACTACGTGAAAATTTTTTGCTATATTTGAAAATTTTGAAAATAGGTGACATATTTTAAATGCATAAAAGATTTTTGTTACCCACGGTCATTTTCCTATTTTTATCTATGTTTGTTAAAAAAAATAGAAACAAGAAATTTGACACTAAACATGCGGTTCGAGAAACCCCGACCACCATTGTAAATATCCCTTCTCTCTCACCAATTTTCATTTGCATTAGTTGGGGTGTAAGCATTGGACTGATCGAGCAGCAACGGATCACCCGACAAGAACTTTAAATTCAGTTTCTATTTTTTTTAGTACAACATGTGGGGTGGGGATCGAACTCACAATCTTTCGATTGAAGAYATATGTCAATTACGAGTTATGCTTGCTTGACAGTTCTAGCTCAGAATTACAATATTCAAAATTTGAAGACCTCCTTAAAAAAAAGACTTTTATTACAAGAAAACGCAGAACAGAGCAAAAACAGAGACCAGAATTAGAGTGTCAGGGGACGGGATAAACCACAATTTTTCCGGTGGTTTCGAGATACGAAATACGCCTTAACGGCGCYGGAGAACGAAATTGATTTAAAATTGCTTGAATCTGAGATGAAAGTGAAAGTGAAAGTGAAACACGTTTTTATTTTTTTTTCCTTCTTTTTGGATCTTTCTTTTTCGATTAAATTTCAATCTCTTTCGGACAGCCTGTGGACGTACCCGAATGTTATTGAATTCAATATCTATGTCCCCATCAAGTATTCAAGCTCCGTTTGCATGYGTAACATTAAAATTTAATATATTTGATGTCAAAAAAATATCTATTTAATTTAAAAATTAAYTTCATATAAAACTTTTTACTTTTACTAACCAGAAAAAAAAACACTTACTGAAAACAAATTTATTTTTTTTCATATAAAATTTTATTTCATAAAAGAAATAATGATATTATTGTTTTTCTTTCTCTCTTTAGTTTGCAATTAATAGATATATGATATGARCGCTCGGGCTTTCAACCTTTTCTATTTGACTTTATTAGTTTATTAGTGTAGTGTATGGTGACTCAACCATCAACCTCTTTTATTAGAAATGTAACCCTTAGTCTAATTTTGTGGTGTGAGTGATATGTGTGATAACAATTTCATCATTGGACTATTTTTTTGATGCAATGGCAAAAGAGACATTTCTTACCATCTTAAAAGCATATTAATACCACAATAGTAATGTACATGATCTAAGGACAAAACATGAACAACAACAAACAGAGTGTGCAGGATTTGCACAACTTATTGCCAAACACAACCAARTACACATCACAGAAAACCTGAGACGCCTCAAGGGATTGGATAAACCACAACTTTTCCAGTAGCTCTCGAGGTTTCGAGGTGGGCGAATGCCTGGAGAACGTCGGAGAACGGAAACGGAGATTTGGGGTCGATGATCGGCTTCACCTTACCATTCTCCAGATAAGGATTTAGTTTCTCTAACATGACAGCATCTGAAGTGAGGAGGAAGAAAGCATCAGGAAAATTTGGAACCGGTGCTGCGATGCTCACGAGTTTCCCGCCCTCTTTGATCGCCTTCACAGCTTTATCAGGCTGCCCTGTAGTTTTTCAAATCAACATTGGGAGTCAGAGATAGAGAAATCTGAATAAAATGAAGCTTCTTTCTCCAATAAAAGTTAGAGACGGATGTTACCGACTGCATCGTAGACTACATCGAATTTGTCGGGAAGGTCTTCGAAGTTTTGCTTTGTATAATCAATAGGCAAATCAGCTCCCAAGCTCCTCAGGAACTCCTGTTTTGCTGTGCTGGCTGTAGCAGCTATTCTTGCCGCACCAAACACATGCTTTGCGAGCTACAGAAATGCCAAGATCACATTAGCCRATAATGAGAAAATTGGAAGTCTAGTGTCAACAAGAACAACTCTTCCAAATAATGAATATAATGTAGCACACACAGCCATCATATACCTGTATAACATGGGCTCCGACTCCCCCAGCCCCTCCCAAGACAAGAATCGATTTTCCAGCGGAAAACCCAACCCGTTCGAGCCCTTCATAGGCAGTTTCCATGGCAAGGGGAAGGCTAGCAGCCTCTATGAAACTCAGATTCTTGGGCTTCAGAGCCAACACCTTGTCTTCTGTGGCAGTGTATTCTGCCAAAGTGCCAACATTCTTTGGCTTATCCAGTGCTTTGTGATTTATATCTCCATATACTTCATCTCCTACCTTGAATTTTTTCACCTCACTCCCTACCTTCACCACCACACCAGCAACATCGTACCCCGGTACCGACTGTAACAACAAATCAATTCAAGAAACAAGAAACACAAGAAAAGGTTTCATGTCAGCAGGATCCAGATTATTTGGACATAGATAATGAGGTACCATAACTAGAATTCCTGTGATCAGTTTGGTTCAAAAGGATTCCCTAGTATGATATAGCTTTACTTTTACTTTCTATCAGAAAATTCACAGAAGTGATCTGTGGACTACGTTTGCATCAAGAAGTCAGATGAATTTATTCGAGATCAGTTTAATCAACACAGAAACTCCCATTCTAATACACAGATGAGAAATTCCATAAATACATATATATCCCACTCAGTACCCAAACTAACGAAAAAGACCCAAATCCAGAAATGATGGTTTAATCTTTGCAAAATCAAGAACAGACCCAGAAAAGTAAAGATCAAATAAATGCAACCCAAGTAACAAATTATGAGAGAGAGAGAGAGACTCACCGGAGGGTTATAGTTAAAGGCTTTCAGAATACCATGAATTCTCTTGAAATCAATCGGGTTCAGAGATGCAGCAACAACCCTAACGAGGACCTGGTTTTCGCTGATTTGAGGAACAGGGTAACTGGATTCAAGCTTAAGAACATCGGCGGTGTTGCCGAAGTCATGGTAGACCCAGGCCTTCATCTGGTTGGGAATGGACAAAGCAGCCATGGATGCACAGAAGGAAGCAGAGATCCCAATTCAAAGGGCCAGTCGGTGGGTAAGATGGAAACTAAAATTGCTGGTTGGGTATTATTTATTTCCGGCGAAGTTGATTTAAAAAATCACTCGCAATTTTGCACCTTGTTCACCTTTCGGGTCGGGTTCATTGTTCATCCGAATCCATCTGATCTGACGCCATTGAAATTGGATATCAATAATTCAATATCTTTTTAACACTTTTTGGATAATTTTCAACTTCATCAATTATATTACCCACATTTTGTAGACAAAGAAGAACAAAAAAGAAGAAAGCAAAGGCGAACGCTTTGTAAAGCATCTCAAAGACAAGAACGAGTAACACGTGGTACTGTTCTAATCTCATTTGATTATTAAAATTATTTTGTCAGATTCAAGAAACTATATTTATAATTATACTACAGATAGATGCATATAAAAACTGAGYTGCAGGCGTTGACTGGGTTAAGTTCACCTGAATACGAACTACCACAAAAATCAAAGAAAATGGTAGCAGGATTTATGGTCTACTTCAGACATTGATGTATTAAATTCTCTTAAACTCTTTTGTCCATGGTTTTAATAAGTACTCTCTATTAATAGGTTTAATTACAAAATAAATACCCTTCAACTTTGTGTTTATGTAAAAAATATTTTTCAAAAATATCCTTAAGTAAATATCCGTTAATATTTTGAGAAGAAAGTTGATGAATCAGAATCTGTCGTTGTAATATAGCAACAGATGTTTGGTCAAAGGTATTTTTGAGATGTTGCTAACGATAGTATTGAAACTTTTSAAATCATCGACATATTTTTCAAACAAAATGTAAAATTCAAGGATTTTTGTTGTTGTTGGTAATTTAGTCTTATTAATATATGTGGCCGGCTCCTTTAATGAGATTGAACGAGTCAACGAGCTTCTTGGTAAGGGAAAATCTAATTCCTAAGTTGGGGCAAACCATCATACTTAATAGTTACTGTTACTGAGTGAATTAGTGTAGTTTGAACAATTCCTTGTTGATTTTAAGGTTCCTTCTGAATAAGTGGATCTTATTTTCTAAAGTTATCATGCAGCCGTTTACTTAGAAACTACAATCCCCATCACAGTATTAGAATATTTGACTCCATTTGTCAAAAAATAAGCCTATTCTACATCAGATCTAGTTGAAATTGTTTATTTGTTAACTAACATCAGTTACTTCTTTCCGTAATAATCTGTAATGATTCAGAATGGATGCCAACTGCAGAACAAGTGTTCATCTTCAATTCTTCATCATATTTGCAGAGTAACAATGAAAACTCCCAAGTATTTTCCAGTGAAGAAAATGAAATTTACCTACTGCACAAAGTTCTGATAAACTTTCTTGTATATTTCCTTAGGAGGATTGGTTTGTTGCTATCACCACTGAATAATTTGCGAATAAGCAAGTTCAGAAATGTTACCTAAGCAGATTTACAGAGGGTATGACCAGAGATGAGACAACTCAAGGCAAAAGCTACAAATGCAACGATGGATAATCCCACAGATGCAGCAGCCATGTCTGGAAACTTGTCTTTGCCCCAATTGGATTGCCAGTCATCAACTCTGGTGGCAGCCGAAGAGGAAGCTGATAGAAGAAGATATGCTACTATCTGAAACAGAAGAAAAGAAAACTGCCATCAATTTCTTCAAGCTTATTTGCAAATGTTGCAGGGATTGAACACTAAATGAAGTGAACTAATGAGTTGAAACACAATCAAATGTTTGCAACATGAAATCGTTAACTTTGAATTTGTAACAATCGCACCTTTTTAACTTTGAATTCGAGCAATTACTCCTTCCCACGCCAAGAATTTGAACCATTTGAAAAAATTGCAAACCACTCTTAAAATATAAGAGTTCTTACCATTAAATCTTAAACCCTAAACCTCAGCCCATTCCAAAATCACGGGTCGTTGTAATTATACCTCCAAACTTATGAAATTGTTGCAATGAATTCCAATCACCATTGGAGTTACAACAATAAGGGTAATGGCTTGAATTGAAAGTTTAAGGGTACAGTGGTAACCATATTTATTCGGAGTAGTTTTCTAAAATGTCTGGGTTCAAAAGGAAGCTGAGCTACCTGAGGAACCTTCTTTTACAGGGATGACAGGAATGGCCCAATTCCAAAAAAACGTCCATTCGAGGGTAAACAGTCGTACTCAAATGGCTTTTCAGACAGAGAAAAATAAACTTTCCCACTAGCAAATTGGAAGTTACACCTCTCTGCTCTCCATCTTTAGAATATAAAGTTTGTGGTTGCCATTAAAGCCTTTTCAAGTAGCTTGTGCTAGTTATACCCAGAAGTTTTTTTTTTTTTTTTTACAACCAAGTGATAATTCCTATACTAGATTCTTTGCTTCAAAATAAAGCCACTTTTCTTACGAAACTGAACACAAAAAGGAAAAATAAGAAAGGTGCGAGGGGCAAGGAGGCATCACCAAAGGAAAGTCAGAGAAAAGGTAACAAAAAGGATGCCCAAAAGCAAAGCCAAATAGAAAGAAAAGAGTAAGTGAAAATTACTCAACCAATCTAAGTTTTTCCTTTACTACTACAGATCGTTATAGTCCAGTAATTTTCAAGGTGTATTGAGAGAATTCAAGCTATTAGTATTAGTATCCTCGTAATGAAAAGAACTTAGATTCTTYGGTAAGAAAAATGTAAGAAGAAAGGCCTTCAATATGAGTGACAAAAATCTCAGTAAAGGAATACAGTAAGAGAATCATCTATCCAGTGAGCATTATGCATCACCTTTTTATGTTCTGTGGTCCCTATAAGCTATCATAGCAGATAAACAATAATGTCATCAAGACTAAACTAGTGGCTTAATCTTGGCCGTCCAATATGTGCTCATAGTGATGGATTTAGGTTAGGTACTGATATTATCACAAAATTAATAATCAATAGATTGAACATTAGGAACCCAATTCCAAGCCAAACAGAAGAAACTTGCCTGATCAATAAAGAAATCGAAGTATTGCTTGAAGTGATTAAGGATCATGTGTTTCCCAGTGGAGAGAAAATATACAAGATCGTAGGATTGAAGTGCAGAGTAAAGAAACCCAATTACATTCACTGCCATACAGTACCTGAAAAATTCCATCAAAATCCCAATTGAATCTACTCCATCAGAGAAGAAGAAATTTGATTGAATTAAATACAAACAGAGAGATTATAAGCAGTAGAAAGGAATCGAAAGACATCCAATTCAGTTGAACTTAAAGGCAACTCTATGCGAAAGAAATTTCAATAGGAAGAAGTGATTTGAATGAACCTGAATTCCTTGTAGCGATAGAAAGAATCCAAAGCCCAGCCCTGATTCTTATCAGAAGCCATAACCGAGAACGACACCAAACAGAAGGCGAATCCACAAATTCTGAACCCTAACAAGATCTTCTTTCTCATTTCTTCCCTCTTCATTTTCTTCATAGACAAACTCGCCATCAGCTTCCGACCTCTCCCAACCGCGCCGCCATCGCCACTCTCTACATCGGCATCGCTTACGTCTTGGACTTTCCGTACGCCTTGTATTTCAGCATCCACCTCGGTCACCACAATCGGCTCCGTGGGCTGCGCGCGGTTGGCGGCCACAGGTCTGGGAGACGGAGGATTACACGGCGGCAAGTTCTCCATCGGCGTAATCGAGAGAGAGTCGTCAATGGAGGAGTGGCCATGACTGTGACAGGTGTGATCGGAGAAATCCGATGAGAKGGAGAGAGAGTGAGCCGGAGGCGAGGGACGTTGGCTGCCGGGGCCGGAGAGGGAATGGGGAGGTGAAGAGCGAGCAGAGAGAGGAGGATGTGATTCGTCGTCGTTTTGTTCGGGGTATTGTTCGGTGGTTCCTTCTGCTTCTTCCTTCTTCATTTCTGCTTCAGAGCTTGCAGCCATTGAGGCGTACAATCTGACCCCGAAAGAATATTTTAGACGCAGAGCTTCAACTTCAAGTTCCAACCAATTTCTGTCGTTTTGTACTTCTACTTGGATTTCTGCTTCGTTCKGTCTAAAAATGGCTTCTTTTTTTTTCTTCCCTTCTTTCTTTATTTTCAACTAAATAACAATATATTTATTATAACTACGTCTTATATACTAATTATAGTTGAGTTACTMATCTAGCATGTTTAGTATTTACATTATGTGGCTTAGTTTTATAAAAATATTTATATTAAATTTGGAAATTACAAATAAAGACATTCTTGAATTAGATAATTATTAAGTTAGCACATTTGAATTTTTAATTTTAATTATTACTCCTTGAAATTATGGAATCTTTGCAATTAAACTTGTCAATATAATATCCTTAGTAGGTTGAATTTATAGTTTTCTTTCTTTTTTTGGAAAATGAGGTTTCATTAATCAAGAAGAAATTGCCACGTTGGCTACAATGAATTTAAGCCAAAGAGGAATTTTTTCAAACAACCACAAATATATTCCAAGAGGAATGGATTCATAGTTAAGGATTTAATTAAGGAAAAGTAATAATAATAACCAATARAGTGTAGAAGATAAATTTGTGTTAGGGTAGTTTATCTTATATATCCCTATTCTACTTTCTTAGTGCGGTTTTGTCTGTTTTTTACAAAAGTGATAAAGACTTTCTTTAATTTTTTTTAACATGTATTTTATCCMTCCATTGAGCGGTTCAGATTTGCTATTTTCCATATTATTTAATGTATAATCATTACTTGTTAATCTAATTATTAGTTGTGTTAATATTTAAGTAATAAGAACATATTGAAGTTCAACAATAATTGGTCGTGAGTTCAATCTTCCACCTCTACATGTTTTACTAAAAAGGTAAAAATATGTTCAAATAGGAAATTAAAAAGTTTAGACTCTAAACGAAATTTAAATAGTAGTTTATAATTGAATTGAATTTTAAATTTTTTTATTAAATACAACAATGGAGTGAGAATTCAAAATTCACAATTTTTCAAGAATCTATGTTGGGGTTTGCAACCTAATTTTTATTTAAAGAATAAATATGTTTTTCTATGCGGTATTTGGACAGTAATTTCGGGTTCCATCAGCGATCAAATTCTCATTGTCAGTGTCCCACTCTTTTCAATATATATAATTATTTTTCTTCAACCTATAAGGAATTGCCACGTCACCTAAGTAATTGGCGGTGAATGGTTGGAGAAGATGTTCAAATTTGGCTGTTTCTCAATGGCATCGTGTGGGCCCCAGCCACTAACCAAAGCAGAAGTGGCTACTGCCTATTGGTTGTTGGTTGGGAAAATGGATTGGATCTGGACCGTTCACGATCAACGGTGAACGGTCCAGATTCCTGTAACTGTTATTTTAATGCTAAAATAATTAAAGGTAAAATACCTTTTTAATCGAGAAGTTCGGACAACAAGTGGACTGCATCTCTAAGTTTCAAAATCATACCATTTAATTCTTAAGATTTTGAAGATAATCAATTTTATATCACCCTTGGCTTTCCAAATGGTACAATTTAGCCCTCAAAATTTTGAAAATACTCCATTTAAGTCTCAGTTTTGTTTAATTAATTACAGAAAGATAGATAATGTGACATACTTCATAAAAAATAAACAAAACAAAACTCGCTCTCTCCTTCTTTTTCTTGCACATCTTGCCACTAATGCTACAGTTCGACTATATCGCCGCCATTTAGTGATACTATTGTTTAATTGAAGGCACATTCTTTCATTCTAGATTTGAACAAACCAAATATGGTTCGAAGCAACCAAAGAGGGAGATGGGAGCTGTGGTGGGGTTCCAGATTTTGCATGAGTTAAGAGGGGCAATGAGGTGGGCGATAACGATAGGAGTAGAGGGCTTGCAGTGGGAGAGGAGAGAAAAGAAAGAAAAGAGAAGGGGCCTAGGAGAGTATGTTTTTTATTATTTGTATTTTTTTATTTTATAAGCTATCATCTAGATATTTTTACCATAAAGTATTGCCAACATATTTTTTTTGTTAAATTAGCGGATATAAACTTAATGGTAGGGACTAAATTTGAGTGTTTCCAAAACTTTAAATTACACGATTTTGAAATCTAGGGACAAAATTTACCCAAACCACATGAATCAAAAAGGTATTTTTGAGTGAAATATCAACCATTGAAAATTTAAAATGATTTAGGTAAAATACTTTTTGGTCCCTAAAATTTGAATTTAACATGAGATGTTTATTTAAGGGGTGAGGTTTAAAATAAACATTTTAGCGTTGAAAAATAGTTTTAAATGATCCGCATCTAAAGTTAATTTACTCTATAAAAAAGATGACATAGCAATTAAATAGTGATCATCCATCGTTGATATGACATTTTAAAMTGAGTTGGTAGAAAAATATAATTTTTAATTGTTTTGATGTGGTTTTTTCTCTCTAGCTTCTCCATGAAAAGTATAATATTAATCATTAAAAATTTTGGTCTTCCTTGGATATCAATTTTGAAAAACAAAAAAATTAATGTAAACAAATTGAATTTGATTGTAACGATCTTAACCTTATAGTTAAGGATTGGTATAATTTTGTAATTTTTAAGGGTTTAATTACAATAATATTGTAAGTTTAGAATTTTAATTTATTTATATTTTGTTAGTACAACATGTGGAGATAAAGATTGAACTCACGATATATGTCAATTACTGCTAAACTATCGCTTTGTCAAGTTTAGAATTGTATTGATCTAATTAAAACTTAAGGGTGTGATTATCACAATCTGGTAGCTAGGGGTGATTTTTGTAATTTTTTCTTAGAGGCAAAAAAAAAAAATCATGATGAATGGGTCAAATTGCTTTTGTAAAACAGGGCTTGGGCCTTAATATGGGCCGTCTCAATTTAGAATGACTTGTATAGTGTAAATAACCAAAATAATTTCAAATGGATATATTGATATATCATTATTGGATTATTATTTTTTTCATAACTTTTTTTTACGAGGAAATTACGATAACGGCAAAAAAAATGTATAAGAAAATGTAGAAATTAAGCTTAACATCTCACCAGTGATATTTCGAAAATTATACAATACATTATCTATAAAAACTATTTTAAAAAAATCAATTATATGTTTATATATATATATATATATATATATATAATTTTCTACCCTTCATTGATTTAACACATTTTTTTAATATTATCCAAACACATCTTTCTTAAACTCAAAACTACACAAATTCAAAAACAAGATTTATTGAAATCTTCGAACCAAACGTTTTCTAATAGTTTAACATGTACTACAAATATATGACATCAAGTATAGTTTGATAAGTTATTAAAAGTTATTGCATGTTTGTTTTACTATTTTCATAATTATAAACATATTTATTATATATAAAATCAACTTTATCATTTTTGTTTTTAAATACTTAATGATAATTGATGCAATTTTCAAAAATATCCCCAACTTTTTTTTTCTATTTGTACTTTTGTCATTGTCTTTTACTTTTGAAGCACTAGAAAGATTGATTAAAGGATTTCATTACATAGAAAATCAAATATTTAATTCTATGATCCCACTTGCTCCAACTGCATTATGCTTATAAAACATGGCTTCCACTAGATGGGTATCATCATCAACTCAAAACCATATAAACTTTGCATTTTACAATGAAATTATTTAACTAATCAAAATTGCTTCGATGGAGAGAAAAAAAAAACAGAGAGTTTCAATAGAGTGGTAATAGATTAAATTAATGGGATGCGAGATAGGTATGTTATTTAGAGTGCTGGCATTTTATTTTACTTAACATGTCAAATATACAATATTCTCTAGTAAAAATTTACATTTTTAAGAGACAATAACTCACACCTAGCATAAACATAATTTAGAAATAAAATATTTACTCGTTCCTTTGAAGTACGAGACGACCCATATTTATTGTATTAAAAAAATTTGTACTCTATCAATTTCAAAATCTAATTGGGAATACTAAAACGAAAGAAACTTGAATAATTAACAAATCCATATCCACAACATCTAACTCATGAAAAACTTTAAATAACCAAACAAGAAATTCAGATATAAGCAAGACTAAAATTGTCTAAATAATTCATTCATGTTGGATCAAGATCAAAGGAGAGGAGAGAACAAAATGGTATTTTTTAGGAGGTTTGGTCAAAATTGTAATGCCCATTCAAATTTGGACAAGTGTTTGAATGAATGAGTTCTAAGACCCATCTACTCAATATGATAGGAAAATGGATGGGTTTCCATTCCCCAACTCAAAAGAAAAAAAAAAGGAATAAAAGAATAAAATTTAGATATATGTATGTTTGGTTATTTTGAGAAGAAAATGTTTAATTAATTTAAGAAAATGCTTCAATTTGTCGCAATATTTCTCAAAAAAAAAAAATATATATATATATATTCTAATCACGGTTGAAAAAATTGACAGTTTATTATTATATTTTAAAAAATCTTCTATTTTTACATTTTTTTTCTCTTGTCAAATATTTATAGATGGTGAACACTAGATAAATTCTTACAAATCAGGACTTAAACATTCTAAGACTCATCTAGACATTCTTATTTAACACGCAGTAACATGACTCATCCAAAATGTGAGAATCTCGGAGACATCCACTCAAATTCAACATATTCCTTTTTTTTTTCTTGTTCTTATTTTTGGGAAGCACTTCCAAAGTCCCTACAAATCAACATACAACACATGTAAAATATATATATAATATATCATATATTATATGCTTTTTTATGTTATGTGTCAATCGAATTACTTAAATGAAGGTTGTGCGCACAATATACTCTCTCCCACCATAATCTAATCTTTTGTTTTTATTTTTATTATTTTTAATTTTGCTCTCTTTATCTCATGAAGAGCACATTCTCCACTACTACGTACAATACTCTAATCCATTCCTTTTATGTAAATTTGGATGGACATTCAGAAGTAAGGGGAAAAAAGGGATTATTCCATTGAAATTTTGAAACAAGATAAAATCATTCTAAAATTCTTTCCATACTCTTGAAGGCTAGTTAAGTAAATATATATCTTATTTCAATTTTTTGTTTTAATATTCTCGAGATTTCATTTCCAAAACATGTTTCTGGTTCGTTGAGACGCAATAGATTTTAAGTTTACTTGTTAGGTTTTGAAATTTTGAAAGTAACATTCGATCATTTAGTCAATAATGATCCTAAATGATTTATGAAGTTTATTAATCATTAGTTGGTCTAATAGAATGAGTTACGTCCGTGTGTATTTTTATTTTCCTTCTGTAAATTTAATTTTTTTAGTAATTTTTAATTTAGTGATTTTGGTTCTATAAATAATTGTTAAGTAAATATTAATTTTTCAAAAAATAAATTAATTAGATAAAAATACTCTTTGAAGAGTCAAACTACATAATAAAGTATTTTATTATTAATTTCTTTTGGGTACAAATTAGTTTGTTAAGTTGAATGGTGACTCAACTATGCATTTTAATGTGCACTTTTTTGGAAAAAATATATGTCCACTTGCTTAAAGATGGTTGAAACACTCATATTTAAAAGTAACTAAAAAAAATTGCAATCTCAAAATATAAATTAAATAGTAATTAATCTAGTTTAACTAATTATGACACGTCATGTACTAAAAAACACACATAAATTGTTTTAAATGTAAATATTATTATTTTACAAATCTTTTTACTATTGTTTTTAATAACCTTGCTCTATAAGTGATTGTATAGATTAAGTAGTAAATTTTACTTATTCAATTAAATGAGATAAATAAACAAATCAATAGCAATTATGTTATTATATACAATGAAATTGATCTGAATGGCCAAAGTGAGCATAGCTCAGCCTTAATTAGCATATATCTCCAATCATAAGGTGCGTTAATTAGCATATACCTCCAACCATAAGGTTGTGAGTTCGATCCCCTACCCCATGTTGTAAATTGATCTGAGGGTTAGATATTATTTTTTTCCCTTCAAAAGTCTAAAAATTAAATGTAGAGATAAAATGAAAAATGAAAATTTCTCGTTATGCTATGGGCAAAAAAATCAAATTGTATAAGACTTCGATAAAGCAAAAAAAGGATAATAAAAGAATTGATTCTTTAATTAATCAATCATATATATGTTCCATTTGTGACATCCTTTGACTAAAAAAAGGTTATGTCTACCTTTTCTTAAAATTTTTGCCCTAAAAAATATATTTTTTTTTTGTCATGCTATTTTTTTATGATAGAGACACGATTGGAACTTAATTAGTAGAATATTCAAACTCTAGAGGGATTTTTTTTTTACATTTAACTAAACTTTGTCAATTAGATTGTCTTAGTTTGATCTGCTTTATTAACATTTATAAAGAATTAATGGTTAATTTGATTTGAATTCTATATTTTAGACCATTTTTAATTTGGTCCACCATATATTTCTTTTCAATCGAGTCCCTAATGAATGAAAAAGAATATTGAATGATCAAAAGATATCAATTCATAAAAAGATAATATATTTTTTGGGAAACAAATGAATAAAATCAACAAATTGAAATCCATTCTTATTCTTTTTTTTTTTTTTAATTTTAGTAATCCATTGATGCATGAAATTGAAAACCTGGGACATGAGTGTTTTAGGATTGAAAAGCACCTAGTTCCTTTTGCTTTTGGCATAAAAAATAAAGAAAAAGATCATCCATATTTTAATATAAAGAAAATATAACACAAAAGGGCATGACTTTGAGTAGGAAAAAGAATTCAGCAAAAAATTGGATAACCATAATTGAAAATCTATTATGGGCCCAAATTTGACAAGACACGTTGGCAAATCCCCGAACACCATGAGGGGTTATGGGCCAAGTTCGAACTCGATAGACCAAGGAGGGAAGGCTTAAATGGTCAAAGACGGGTAGTTCACCTTGACTACTTTTACTTGGGAAGAGTTCATCCGACGAAATATCTGCTGACATTCGACGGGTGTACGATCTCACGTGTCAGAGTGTCCTTATAGTCAGCTAATGACTCTCTACTCAATGGTATTACTTGAATTTTCTAAAGGACATTCCCTTAAATCATTCCACTATAAAAGGAGTTAAACCTTTCTCAAAAGTATGCAATATCTTGCACAAAATCTCTTACCCTCCTCTTAGCTCTTTTGAACTAATTTCTAACTTGAGCTTCATAGTGCATTTAGCAAAGCACCATATTGGTGTTGAGTTTAATCTTGCAAGACAACAACGTTAATGTCCACTGACTATGACGGTAGACCAGATTTCATCAACACAACCTAATATTAATTAAAATACTTTAATCTAACCGAACAAACTAACCTCTCTCTCTATATATATTAAAAACTACATAAATTCAAATTAGGAAAAAAAAATTGCTTTCATCATCTATTCCAATCTAGGGTTAAACTAAAATTTAGATAAAGAAAAATGGTGTGAGTGTGACACTCTTTTATCATCTCTCCAGTTACTCTTTTTGTAAGATAATCATCATTTAAGTATTTTTTTCAAAAAGGATTTTTAAACTGATTTAAATTTTGTAGATTGAAAAAGAAAATTCTAGTGGAAAAAGGGTAATTTAATAAATAAAATACTCATTTTGATTTTATTTAGAAAACACATTGTTTCAAAACCATCTCAA